CGTGATAATTAGTATATTATTAACGTATATAAGAAGATAGAGCCTATATTTAATATATACGAATACCGAATAGTCCGCTTATAAGCGAATAAATCTAATTACTATTAGAGTCCTATAGATAGTATTATACTATTCGCGAGGACTCTGTTTTAGACCGTATAAAGTCTTTAAAAGAAGGTCGTATTTTCTAGGCTCTTTAAAACTATTAGGAAGTTAAATATAGATTTCTTTAAGAAGCTCTACGTTAAGAAACGCCGTAACGAAGTTAATATAATATATATACTAGCCGAAATATATAGCGATTACGTAGAATATTTTAAAGCTTAAAGCTTTAGCTATACTTATATAAATATTAAGATAATCGATTCCTTCGTGTTACTTAAACCCTTTTATAATAAGATATACTTTATAGGTCCTATTATCCTTAATACGAAAGATCTATCGAAGCGGAAGAAGCGTCTTTTTAGTACTCTTAGTAGGAAGATTATATACGCGCTAGGTACTATTTATTAGCTACTTCTATATTTCCTTATCTATAGCTTTAATCTATTTAGTCTATTTATCCTTACTATAATTTTATATTATATCCTATTAGCTATCTAGTTTATATAGCGTTAACTAAGCTAAAGCTTAATATAGAAGCTTCGGAAGTAGTTATAAGTCTATAGTTATACTACGGATTAAAAAAGTAGCGAATTTAATATAATTAGCTAGAGCTATATTTAAATACTTAAGAAAATATAAATATTCCTCTAACTCTATAGCTACTTAAGTCTTCTTATAGACTTATAAGAAATACCGAAGACCTATCTTAGGTATAGTTTAAGAACTACTTTCGATAGTTTTAGGATTAGCCTCGATAGTTTTAGAACTACCCTCGATAGTTTCGGAACTATCCTCTATAGTTTAAGGGCTATCGTCGATATATTTACTCTATTTATAGGTAAATCTCTGCTTAATCTATTTACAAAGCTTTTTAAGTTAGGCTTCGCGTTTAAATAAAGAAAGTAGTATATTAGACCGCTTAGATAATAGTAGGTCTCCTATTAGAATATAAGGAGATAGAGTTACTAGCTATACTAGCTTATTAGGGCTATTAGCTAAATCTAGCTAAATTAGTTAATCGCTATTAGCCGGTAGGAAATCTGATAGTATATAGTAGCGTTAATTAGCCGTAGATTATATAGGAATTAACTTTAGCTCTATATCGAGATTATACGTAGACTTAGATAGATCCTTTGTTATATTCTTATTAAAGACTATATTATAAGAGACTACGATCTTTTTTGAATAAATATTATAGAGTCGATATCTATTAGTACTATAGCCTACTAGCCTTACTTCGGCTATATATAGAGAAAGCTTATCTACCTTACGTTCCTTTAGAATTAGATACTAAGCTTAGTAGCTAAGTATATATAGAATTAAAATATCTAGCTTTTTACTATAGAAAGCTTTATATAGAGTTATATTAATAGTAGACTACTAGAGACGGTTTATTATATAATTAATACCTAAAAGTAGCTTACCCTATAGATATTTAGGAAGCTAATTTTTAGCTAATATAGCGATTAGCGACTTAATAAGCTAATAATTTCTAATCTCTGTAATACTATTAAGCTAAGATATATAGGGGAGAATAGGGTCCTAAATAATACCGTTTTCTTCGTAAAAAGTAGCGATTTTAATATATTCTTATATATTATCGCCTAAAATTACCTTAACTTTATAGTTAAATTACGTTAAAAAATAGATTACTAATATATGAATTTTATTAGTAATTTCGCTCTTCGCCTTTAATAGGAAGACCTAATAGAAGTAAGTAGTATTATCGGTAACTATTATAAAATAATAATTACCTCTAATATCTATAATAGAGATAGGACCCTAAATATTAATATAAAGCTTCTATACTAGTATAGTCTTAATACGCTTACTTCGTCTAAAAGATAAGATATAGCCTTTACTAAGAATATAAGGAGGATAAGGATACTTAATACTAGATCCCTTTTTAATATTAATTCCTTCGGTATATTTAGGTATATACTTTACCTTCTACTCGTCTATATAATAGGCTCTACGATAAGCTAGGTCTATTAAAATAGGTTAAATCTTACCGATTTAAGAAGCTATAGCTAAATCTACGGCGGGTATATAGCTATTACTAAATATATAGGATAGTTAAATAGATAGAGCTCTAAGTATATTAATAAGGCTATTACTATTATAGGTACGAACCTAATATTAACCGTTCTCCTGCTTTACTATAATAATAAGCTCTTCCCCCCTATATAGGGAGCTATATATCTTATTAAATCGAGTCTTAATACTAGAATCCTTCGTAAGTTACTATAAGGAAATAAGGTTTATATTAAAAGAAGGAATATACTAGACTCTAAGTAGCTTAAGCTTAGAAATATTATTTCTATTTAAAAAGTTTAGGATAATATTACTATATCCTTTAGTCTATACTTAATAACCGTTAGGAAGCTTTATATCGGTAATAAGTAGCGTAAAATTAATAAAATTTATATAATAAGATATTATATATACTAATATACTAGAATCTACTATCTAAGTATACTATTTATCGTGATCTATTAATATAGCTATAATATTAATAGCTAATAAGCTTATTTTAGCGAAGCTTATTAAAATCTTATTTTCGGATTTCTCCTTTAAGTCCTTTTTTAAATCAGAAGTACTAGCTATAGCTATATTAACTCCGCCTTAAGAGGTACCCTTATATTTAGGATTAAAGAAGTACTACTTACTAGTATAAGCTATTAAATACTTATAGTAGATATAATAATACGATAGCTAATTATTATTATCCTAGTTATTTTAACTTTAGCTACGACCTTATCCTAAGCCTCTACCACGGCCTCTATCTCCTCGGCCTCTACCTCTATCTCTACCTCGATCGTTATTTTACGTAGATTTTATATCTTTTAAGGTAGAAATAGCTATAATTACTATATTTATAGACTTTTTATTCGACTTATATTTAATAAATTTACCGAAAATATAATTAAGTATACTATCCGGATTAGCTAGAGATTTATATATATTTAAGAAACCTTTTATACTTTAGTAGCCGTTAATTATAAGCTTAAAATAAGCTAGAGCCTATTTAGGTAGTAATAGGGTATTTAGAACAGCTAAATTCGTAAGGTCTAAAGTAGCTTACTATTTAGTAACGAAATTATACGGATTACTACTAGTATATATAAGCTTAATTAAAGATAATAGTCTATAGCTTAAAGTAGTATAGTTACTAGTACCGTATATATTACTAATACGAAGGAAGATTTTATAAGAATCTTTATAATTATATATAAAGCTACGAGCTAAGTCGCTAAGTATATAATAGATAAGATATTTCGTAAGTATATATTTCCGGCGAAACTAGTAAAATCGGTTATTTAGTTAAGTTATATTCTTATTAATCTACTTATTAAATTCCTCTTCGGTAGATTCTTATTTAAGTTAAGCGAAAAGGATATTTTAGATAGCTTCCTCTATAGGAGTATTATAAGGCTCTTAAATAGGGTATATTATTTTACCTATAATAATAAACTATAGATCTTCGTCTAGGCTATCTATAATAAATTAAAGCCCTTATTTCTATTTCTCGAAGTTAGCTCTTCCCTTAAGTATAGGGACTGATTCGGCGAAGGTTTTAGCTACCTTATAAGCCTCGAGATCGGAAATTATATTAAATATATATAAATAATATAAAGTTATTATATATATTAATCCTACTACGACGATATACTATTATATAGGTAAGGAGCGTAAGAGCCGGAAGGTATAAGGTCTATAATAATAAAGATATATTATATAGTAATCCTACTATAGCGAAGTACCGCTACGTAGGCGTATCTACTATAGCGATATGCCGCTACGTAGATAAAGAGCGTAAGAGCTCTGAAAATAGCGTAGAAGCCGGAAGGATTTTATATATTTTTAAATAGCGTTAAAGCCGAAGGAGGGACTTTAGCGACGATTCGATACGATAGCTTCGGTAGCCGTATTTGATGCGTAGGGATCGTTAAGTCGTAAAGAGGTACGAAGTCTGCACTCTGTAGAAGGCGCAAAACGCGCCGAAAAACGATGGAAAAAGAGGTTATTATGTAAGTTATACCTAGGTAGTAAGGAAATGTGAATAACCTTACTTTTTGTGCGCTAAGTAGGGCTCATAACCTATTAGAGGCTACTGGGAGAACGTAGCAGACCTAAAAGAGGGGAGAAAGGAATGGTGAGATTGTATCTGGTGAGAGGTGCCTATCTAAGCTACGAAGGTGGTGTGTGGGCGCGCACCACGCTGGTAAGACGCGCTAAACCACCAAGCTATCTCAACACTTAGAATTGCTCAATTTCGGGGCTATTCTACCTCTACTGAGACTCGATGTTTGGGCTAGCGGTGGCCCGCTGGAGAGGTACCTCACTTAATGAATGACCTGTAAAGGAGGCCATTAAGAGAACCTGATATTACTCGACCTGCGTTTAGCGTCCTGACGACGCGTTAGGACGCGCCTTTTGGTTTTGAGCATAACCCATCACGTCCGGATTCGCTAGAGCTGCGAGTATGCAGTGCCGCCGCAGCACATCCATGAATATCTCGCTAGGACGTTCCATCATCTAAGGGGGGAGTCCATGAACAGGCCTAGAGCCACATACAGGTCGCATAAAATTGATGTCAGCCAACGAAGCCAGTCCGATCGGAATCTGCAATTGAAGCGCCTCTCGCATCTCTGAGTGGGCCAAAAAGAGGCATCGAAGTTGGGGACTTTTTGAAGATGATCATTCCAGCCACAGTCATCGATTTTCGCCGACAGCTAACCCGATTTCAGTCTTTAGTGTTAATCTATTCATGTACCGGCTATTCTATCATTCCGACCTGACACGATCTTTATGCAAGACAACACACCCGTCCATACAGCCCACATTCCACAAGGGTCGCGACTTCCTAAAGAGAGACAACATAATGTGATGGAATGGCCACCACATTCGCTCGATTTACCTTGAATCCTATAGAAAATCTATGGGGTAGAAAGCGTATGCTTTCTGAGCAGCGTCCTGAGCTACACGATCTTGCTGGCAATGCCAAAACGCGCGCTTGGCTTATTGAGTGGGCTCAAGAGGGTTGGATGCAGATTTTCCTTGAAGAAATTAGTGATTATGGTGATTCATGTGTCAACGGGTACAGGCTGTAATTGAGGCGGAAGGCTAGTATACAAGCTACTAACTTACATACAGTGTAGAAATCAGCGCTAATCATATTATATTTTTGGTTGCCTAGTCAACTTTGAAGACCGGCAGAATATCAAGTAGGGTCCGATTCTTTCCCTGTGGAACTGTACAGCAAAATAGAAAGGACGGCAAAGGCTGATCCAGTAATCTTTGATTGCCCGGTGATACTCTAAGAAACGTCGTTTTACAAAGTCGAGGAACCAAGGAAAAAGGGAAGAATTGACCTGCTGCAGAAGACTCACGGGTGGTAATGACAAAACATAGACATGCGAAGGAAATACAAAAAGGGTGGTAGAAGCAAAAAGATTATAAAATACAACCAGGAGCGACCAGAGACTCTCCCCAGGTCAGTCTCTTTTGCCAGGTGAAATGAAAAGAAGATTCAAACATAGTCCATGCACGGAAAGAGAAACACCCTGAGCTAAACTGCAAGTTGGGACCATTATTATGCTGAGTTGAAACTCCAATTGGCCTCCACAGCCCATACCGCTGCCGCATCATTCATCAGACCATTTTTTAAAACCAATAGGTCTGGCCTTCGTGAAAAGGTCATTCATTAAAACGAGTAAAAAGAGCATCCACGGCGGGTGTTTCACCAACACACTCGCACCCTGTCTGTGTTTGCGACGTGCCCTCATCAAGTTTGCGAAAATATGTTCGAGGAAGGTAGTTTTTGTAGGGGGGGGGGGGGCAAAATTGGTCCCCAAGGGAAGGGAAGGGGGTTTGAGCCAAATCACTCAATTGCTTGAGAAGTGCATGCGCGTGTCGACGAATGGGTTCAGAGAATGCTCTCTCTGAATCGAATCAGCATGATATCCCGGACACAATCACGCAAGCTCAAAGGCGCACTTAAGCCTTGCGCGAACGGGTGACGGGGCCGTTGGAGCGACCAGTCGAGGTGGCGGAGCCATTGGAGTCCTTGGCAGTGGCAGAAGGGGTACCAGCAGGCGAAGGGATCTCGAAGTTTCTCATGTCGATCAGAGACTTCTTGCCAGTGTTGCTGCGAGGACGACCAACCTTGGCAGCCTTGTTGTAGGTTGCGATGTAGAAGGAGATGAAGAGCAGCAGGTAGGAAGTAATGATACCAATACCAGCGAAGGCAGCGAACTCCTCGCCGGCGCACTGACCCATATTGGGAGCCCAGGGGAAGTAAGTCGAGGCAAAGTAGGTGTAGGAGGCGAAGTAGATGAAGCCTAGAAAGTTCGACCATGTTAGAGCTTGGCCCCGCGACGGTGGCTGCGATTTGACGACTTACCAAGATCAATGACGAATTGAACAATTTGCAGCATGGTAATGTACTTCTTCCACCAAATGCGAATACCACGGGCGCTCTGGAAGTAATACCAGTACATGACCACGTGAACCAGCAAGTTGATGGTAATAGGCACCCATTGAACGGCAGTGAGACCAATCAGCTGAGTGTAGCAGAGCAGAGCAGTAGCGCCATGGTGGTAGGTGTGGAGGAAAGTGAGAGGCTTCTTCTTGAGGACAAGGAAGACAGTGTCCAGAAGCTCCACGTATTTGTTGATGTAGTTCAGCTGTCGGGGAAATTGCTGGTCAGTCAAGGTCCAAAGTTTGAATCACCCATCTTTGGATAGTTCTAGGTACGATCAGAGTACTTACGTAGTAAAGAATGATCAGAGGCTGGGTCCATCCACCACGGTGGTCGCAGATAGTGTAGAAGACACCGTTGCGAACGAGTGTGGGCAGAAGCTGCTCCACAAACAGCGCGAGGAGAATTGCACTGATAGCAGTGAGCAAGAAGTTGTGGATCATGAACAGGGTGTTGAGCTTCAGAGCCGAGAAGTTCTTCATGACCTCGCGACCACCAAAGATGACAATGTAGTACACAACCAGCATGGTCGCGGTCTCCTTGAAGGTGGACATGGGAGTCACACCCTCAATGAACTGGAAATGGCTGGCAGGGTATCCCATGACCTGCTCGTACGCCTTGTCGAAGATAGGCCAGAGGTGGACGCCAAAAGGCCGGTCCAGGGTCGGCATTGGCACTTTCTGAAGGAGGTCGGCCATTGTGTTGTTTTGGGATTCGTCGACAACAAGCGCAGTATTCGTAGGGAAGCAGGCAAGATGCAGGAGCTGTGTTGCGAAAAGCACCCAAAGAGGATATGGAGATCAGACAATAATCTGATCGAAAGGCGCCAAAGCCACGAAAAAAGTCGGGTGGAGGAATGGAAAGGACCGATGTTAGAGAAGGAGAGAAAAGGGAGGGAAAGACAACATCACTTTTTGCGTCCGCGTCCGTCGAACACCTAATGTGGACTAGCGCGCGCCGTGAAAAGGGGGAATATCCACCATCCGAGGACTCCGGTAATGGATTGTCGGCTGCTCGATGCAGGACAATAATCTTGTTCGCAGGTCATCCAGCTTGTGTTTCTAATGAGGAACCATTTACTAGCGATCAATATGCTCGTATTAGTATACTCCCATCATAGATAGTGTCTCTGCGTCTGGAGCGGACTCGATTGATGGTTGTGGTAAGTATGTATTGGATAAGGGGCCTGCAAATACAGGCAAGACTTTCACATGCAGATCATAAGCAGAAAGCCGGAGTTCAGCGTAACTCGTGCTGCACACAGCAGCGATAATCCGGCTTGTTAGGATCTCTATGCCTATTCGAGTATAGAAGCATCCTTCGGTGTTAGATGTTATTAGTCAAGCCCGGAACTCTGTAGGGGCATTTGGTGCGACATTGGTGAACACTACTGGAACAGTAGCATACGACCGGGCATCAAAAAAAATCCAATTGGATTTCGGAATTCAATCAACCCGGGTTCTATCCATCTAGTTTACGTACAGGCATAAGAGGGTTCACTAGAAGTGACTCTATGCCATGCAACTCTTGACCCTTTGCGTCAAGCACGGCTGTTGCTCGTATCTTGGGACTCAATGGGGGGGGGGGGGGGGGGGCGCAATAGTGAACTCGAACTTGGCCCTCCGTCGAATATCTCACAGTCCTGCTAGGTAAGATGCTCGGACCTAACTGTTGAGATAGCTTGGTGGTTTGGCGCGTCTCACCAGCGTGGTGCGCGCCCACGCACACCACCTTCGTAGCTTAGATAGGCACCTCTCACCAGATGCAATCTCACCATTCCTTTCTCCCCTCTTTTGGGTCTGCTACGTTTCCCAGTAGCCTCCAATACTAACGACTACCACTTGTAGTCTGGCTATGATTTGAGCGGGTTCGACTTTACGCAAAGCTTTCGGCAATTAACATCGTGTTATCAAGCGACGGTAGCAGTCATGAGCCATCAAGCTACCGACATTGAGGGTGTAATAATTTGTCAGAGGTTGACACCTAGATGAAATTGAAGCTTATTTGACCACCTACCTAATGAGCACGTCGTCATACAAGATAAATCGGACCTTTATTATGGGGCGGGTACAGTATCTATGTGATGACTAACGTATAAAGACATGCCCTTCTCAGTACCTTACTAGTATTATGCTGAAAGTAGAGGATGTTCCCAGCACCTATGTGTCAACAATTGCCCTAAGCCCAGGCTCATCGACAACATACTCGGTCTGTTCTTACGCTATTTTGATGGCCAAATTTACCATTGAGCTAGATCCCCACCCCTACGTTAGCTTATCAACCCCAGATCCTATCCCAACTTGCGTCCTTTGGTTACACACGACAGACGTCGTACCTAGGAACCTCTCGAGCCGTGCTCATCCTCAGCGTCCTAGTTTACTAAGGTATGCAGGTACGCACTCTCTGTCTATTTGGACTAGCATGCCCATTTTCGGCATACTCGGAACATGTAGATATTGCTGGAAGTTGCGTCCTAGAGCGACTGTGAGAGCCCTCATAAGAACCATGTGCTCGTAGCTTCCAACTGGTGGTCCTCTAAGTCAGATATAACCCTTCAGTTGGATTCCATTACCAGTGTGGTACCTTACCAGGTGGTAGCTCTGACGCTGGAAGGGATATAAGCCCGTTGACAGCGAAGCTTGATTGATCTGTTTCGTTCTCATGCCCGCTTTACTTCCTCTAATTGAGCGATCAATTCTGTGGCAAACCAGACAATTTGCTCATGCCTAGTAAGCGTCCATCCTGCAGTCCGTCTAATATTACTAGGTAGACGGGCTTGTAAGCGCGGCGTCCACTTACGGTTCCCGTGAACAAATTCTATTGCTCCAACGGAAACAATATTGTATAGAAATGGAAAGTTCGCCTGCACCTATTCGCTCGGTTGGGGGATCATTTGTATCCATTGCATACCTCAGTGAGCAGAATGTTCCCCCATTGATCCAAGAGGGTGAGAGGAATGGTCGAATTTACCTTCATTCTCCACTCCCACTCGGCTGTGGTATCGATGTCTCACGAGATAGGTTGAATTTCAAGTCGTGGTTCCTAATGTGCTGAGGTCCAAGTAATGGCCAAGTAGATGACAATGAATTGGATATAGGATCAAGCCATTCGCGAGCAAACACACACATCAAGATTATCGATTCCGGTCGATGATACGTTCTGCAAGACTCGGTCGGGTAGACAGTACAGAACTACAGATACTGGTCAGTTAGTAGCCGTCTGCAGGAGGATCCTGACATCGCAGATGATGACGGCATCACATAACCAATCAAAAAGCTCGAGATCCAAGCCCGAGACTAGAGCCGGTCTTCATGCCTGAGGCCGAAACACCACACCACCCGCAAAATCCAGCCGGACTTACACGACACTTCTCGACTTCCTCCCTTCCCCGTCCTCAATTCGCAGCTGCCCCTCCTCAACCACCGTCTCTTGACTCGGTTATATACCTCCGGCCCACAATGTCGTTCCTCTCCGTCTTCCGTACCGCGTCTCGCGCTGTCCGCCCTGCCAGCGTTGTCCGAGCCCCCCTCGTCCGCTCCCAGATGCAGATCCCAGTGACTCTGGCTGCCCGCACCGCCAACTTCGGTACTACCCGTATGCTTCGTTCTGGTCACGAGGATGAGACTTACGAGGAGTTCTCCGCTCGGTACGGCTACTTCATCGACCCATTGGGGGCGTTTCTGGAGGTCGAAATGACGAAGTGCAGAATGATGGACGGTGTATTGCGCCCGCAGTCGCTGCCGGAATTTCTGCTGCCGAGTCGATCTTGCAACTTTGCCAAGAAACACAATCGCTGATATATTGGGTCAATTGCAGTTTCGAGAAGGAATTCGACGGTGTGCAGGATGTTTTCGAGCTCCAGGTATGAAACATTAGCCAGGAACGACTTCGGGAGATAGCGGATACCTTTTCTTGTCATGCGAAAATCGATCGCTACTCGGGGCTCAAGCCTGCAGCGACTACATCGAAATAAAACTGACTCGTCTGATTCGAACAGCGCAACCTGAACAACTGCTTCGCTTACGATCTCGTCCCCTCTATTGAGGTCCTCACTGCGGCCCTGAAGGCTGCTCGTCGCGTCAATGACTTCCCCACCGCTGTCCGCGTCTTCGAGGGTATGCGCGCCTCCTGAAATTGCACCTCCTGCCACAGGGATTTGAATAAAAAAACGCTGACCCTTCCAAAATAGGCATCAAGGCCAAGGTTGAGAACCAGGATCAGTACAAGCAATATCTTGACCAGCTCGACGGTCTGCGTCAGGAGCTGGGCGTCGCTCTTCGCGAGGAGATGTACCCCCATGAGGAGTAAATAAGCGTTTTTCATGTTCTTTGATCCCCCTCATTCCCGCTCACGCCAAACGCTCTCTCTCTCCCGCTTCTTTTGTCTTATTCGTACTTTCCAGACCTCGACTGAGGTACGATTGGTCGAACTCCAGGATTCGCAAGCTTACGCTCCTGAGGGTCGGTAGAAGAGAAAGCTGTATACATGTCTTAGAGTTTTTCTGTGTTATTAAGTCCTGAACTTATCCGGAAAATGGCTTCCTCGGACGTTTTGGTTGGCGCTTGGACCATTTTGCATCTGCTGTTCATAGCTATTTTATGCGATGTCTTGAACAAATAATAAGTCTTCCCGGCTTTCAGCCTTGCGCGTCACTCAGTTCAGGTCTATGCCTACCTACAGACCTAGAACTGGGTTGATCATGGGCCACTTCGGCGCACAGGTGAATCAATGTGAGAATTACGGCGGGGCCACCTGTCAACCCTTACACAATCAATCCGACCTAGAGGTTGAATAGTATCGACCATTCATTACGAAGATCCGGTTTGTGGAGATGGACGCCTTGGTTTGAGTCATGTGCAATTGAACATGAATACATGTACAGAGGTTAGTGCACACCTGCCAAGCTCAATCTATGCATGCAATCATTTCGCAGTCAAGGTCGCATTTTCGTAGTGCACAGGAAGAACATATTGCGAGGTTCAGATGAAAAGAAAGCAACAAGAATAGTCAATAGGTATACATCCGCTCGAACGCCAAGTCCCCAAGTCTTATCGAATAATTCGGGGTATGCAGTAAGGGAAATGCCCCAGGGCTAGGACTTTCATAAAAGCGCCCAAATACACCACAGGGCCGCTGCGTCATCAGTTTTTCCGCTCTAGTGAGTGCCAACGTATTTGAAGTACGTAGGGCGACAGTCCTCTTTGGCAAGGAAGTCGGCACCGGCGAAGAATTGGCCGGCTTTGCATCCAGAGCATTTGGGAGAGTTGGGGCAGTTGTAGTATGGAATGTGATTGTATCCGATATCACGGAACCTGTTCGACCGAGAATTAGCATGAGAATCCTTGATGCCGCAACAAGATGGGAGACCTTACCAGTGCACGTTCGCAGCATTCGCAAAGAGACCAACCCCAATCGAGTGAACAGGCGCATCGCCCCAGCGCTCATAGAAAAAGCCACCAGCACGGTCCAGATGCTGGAAGTACGACTCATATTGCTCTCCTCGGAAGAAGTCGAGGTCGCCAATTTCAAAGTTAGACCAGAAGTGGCAGGTCGAATAGCCATTCGCATCTTTGGTGTGCTCGGGCCGAGCCTTGTCGTCCGTAAGCCATTCCCACATGTTGTTCTCGTTCAAGTACGAAGGATTCGCCGCCAGGAATTTGCGGGTTTCGGGCCAAAGTTTTTTGATGGTTTGCGGAGCATCGTAGAGATTGATCGTAAAGCCGTAAGTTTTGTTGTTGTCTTCCATGTATCGGAAAACGTCGTAATCAACATTGCAGAAGAATTGAACCTTGGGCTCAATTCGCCAGTAATATCGGTAATCCTTGAGAGCTGCGTGTTTGTAGAACATCCCACTGTTCCAGCGACACATTTGGTGGTAGGAAAGCTTGGAGGCGTATTGGATGCTTTCCTCTTCGAGAATCTGGGCGGATTCGCGGAAAAGCTCCATGCTGATCCATTCGGGGACCGCCCAGTGTTCTTTGGGCACCAACTCTGTAGTAACCAGACGTGTCAGTCACAACTTTCTGAGATCTGTACTATCATTCACCCGACAGCGAAACCCTGCCCGATAAGAGGATGATCTCTTAGCGTTCATACCATATTGGACCTTGGCCTTGGTAACAGCTTGCGTCTTCTGTTTGAATTCCTCGGTGAACGGTTCGTCATTGAAAAAGATGTACGGATAGTTGAACTTGTGGTTCCAGGTGCGCTCGAGGTCGCGCATAGTGCTGATCAGCTCGTAAAGCTCCTGGTTGCGCACAAGTGAGATAAGTGCAGCATTCGTGCGGGCGGACTTGTCGCTGTCGGGGGAGTAGTCGTGGTCCTCAGCGCGCCATAACTCGCCAGCCGGCTCCCCAGTAGCTGCGGCATATGTCAGTCTCATCGTATAGGTACGTAGAGTAGTATCGAATCTCCCATCGAGGAAAATCGCGGAAGTGGCAACGAACGATCTAATAGAGGATCCCGTTTCATGCCGTGCGTCAACTTAGATGAGACTCCTGATGAGTCCTGACGGACCTGGAATATCAGGAACAGCGTTAATAAAATGCATGCTGCACCGAGCATGCGAATCGGTCGCGCGATCGCCATCTTGTGTCGATTCGGAGACAAGTCTGTGTAAGTAAGTGAAAGGGGGGCGAAACACATTCCAAAAGACCAAAAAGCGACGACAGGGCCGGCCAGTCCAGCCGGGGGCCGCCTATGCCCTATGAGGACTAGCGCCCGCGTTGCCCACGCGTCCCAGTTGGCTTGAGATCTCCAGCGCTATCAACAATAGTCTGATTCTGAGATAGCTTCCACCGACTCAAAGTTCTCAGAGCGTCCTTGATGTCTATTGCTTCGATCTATCGCCCAGCTACCAGGACAACTCATGGAAGTGGAGGCTATCAACTCGTTAATAGAGGAGCTTATCACTAAGGTCGCGCGTCTCTTAGTAGACGCCCATGTAAGCCTATCAAGACACTTTCGGTCTCCTGAGCGTGCATCATATTGATACCAATACCTAGGGATCACAACATCTCAAAGGTCTCAAGCATCGGGTGAAGGCCGCGCTGCGTCTTGGAGTCCATGGGCGAACGAATCAATTTGAAGTCACTCGGCAGCTCGAAGGATTGCAAGAAAAGTTTCAAGTCCTCAATCGAGACGAGCTTGCAGAAGGTCTCCGCTGTCGTCTTCTTCAATTGGAACAGTATTCAAATTCATGGCATCCTGAAATTCTGAGCTTCTTACTGCAATTGTCTGATCGCCCAGCGCTGCTCGTGGACAGTAAGGTCTCACGAGCGCCGTCCGTTCCAAATCCCAATCAGCCATTATCATGGGCAGATCTAGGGGCTCATGGTGTGGCATATAGCGACGAAGAGATTTGGGATGATGTCGACTTCGGCCCCGACTCATCAGACGATGAGCTTGCTTCTGAGGGTGGTAGTGGGTTCCTTCAGGAACGCCCTCTGCATGCTTCCACTGCGGAGGCTCCGAATTACCAGATTCCCGACAACACATTCGTGGATGGAGACGCAGAGGAACTTCTGCCTTCCATCGAGAATGCGCAATTCTGGAGGCCTGAAAATGCTCAAAAGACAGGAAGTGGGCCTCTCGCCATTACCGAGTTGCAACTAGCGCGTGAAACGATATTCATGCTTCAAGCTTTGCCGACCTCGATTTTTGAATTTGTTGCCGGGGACATTCTTGTTGACCGTCGCTTCACACTCACTCATGCATCAGAATTGGGGATTGGCTCTTTGTTGGAAGCTTTTGCTCAAAAGGGTATCAGGATCAATTTACTTCGGCAATTCACAAATGCAACGCAGCAAACTGCATACATGCAAACATTTTCTCAAGGCGTTGGTCAATCCCTGCGTGGGTTTGACGAGGTCCTCTGCACGATGCAACGCCAATATCTGTCGCCTGGCTCAATTGTAAGCCTTCTTCAGCTCTACGATACAATTAGCCGAGCTTCACATCAGTTGTTGTTGCTGTCGGAGTTGGTCTCAGACCTCGAGGGATCGGATGAAAGCCCGATGCGTTGCCTTGATCTTCTCTTTGACCTTGTGTGCATGACAGAAGCTTCAGGAGACGAAAAAACCTCCAAGAACTTGGGCAACCTCTTCCTTTCATGCTTCAAGACCTATGCACAGTCTGTCCAGAGCTGGATGGCAGACGGTCAAATCGACTCTTCTGATACTGCTTTCTTTGTCAAGCGAAAAAATACACATGGGGACTTGCGGACGATATGGTATGACTGGTTTGAGATCAACGAAGGGCCCAATCGACAGAATATCCCCAAGTTTTTGCAGCCGAGTCTTCAAAAGGTGTTCACGACCGGCAAAAGCAAGGTCTTCTTACGAAACTTGAATGCTCTTCCAGAGGATCACGAAGCCAATTCAGCCAGCACGTTGTTTGACATGGTCTTTTCCGGGACAGTCCATCAAGCGCTACCCTTTTCTGTTCGGGTGGAAAATGCCTTCAATCAACTGGTTGATTTCTATCATTCGACCAGTGCGGGCTTGCTACAGATTGAACTTGACTCACAATGTGGGATCTGGCATTCATTCGTAGCCTTGAAACAGGTGTACTTGGGCGAAGACATAAGCGCGCTTGCCGTTCTCGATGGCAAGATATTCGACTTGATAGATCGCGGTCGTGCTTGGGATGATAGGTTTCTCTTAACCGAGGTTGCTCGTTCTGCATTCAGTGTGTTGGCTCACGTCGACGTATCGAGAGTGGTCGTACGAACACAGGTCGGACTCCACTCAGCCGGGAATTCCTCGAGTCTGAGTCGAAGTGTGCAGATTCTCGAGAGCATATCAATCGACTATGTTCTCCCTTGGGCCCTCACGAACATCGTTCCACGCGACGCCATTCGAATTTACCAACGGATTTCCGCCTTTCTCATGCAGATTCGCCGGTCAAAGTATGCTCTTGTCAAGCATCGCATACGCCAAGGGCGTAATATTGTGACTGGCGAGGCGAATGAAGCACTCGTGTGCAGTCTTTACCACAATCTCACGTGGTTCCTTGATACTCTTTACTCACACTTGGCTTATGTCGCGATATCAGCTTCCACTGCGGCTCTGCACCAGGCTCTGCACGACGCTCAGGATTTGGACGCAATTATTGCTGCTCATGACCACTACATCCTCTCACTAGAGGAGCAGTGTCTCCTTTCGCAAGACCTGAAGCCAATTCATCAAATTTTTGTGAAGATCATGGATCTTGCAATTCAACTTGTTGATCTGCAAACAGTTCACGCAGCTGAAGGAGAATCGCCCAAGCATGGTGACATTGATGTGTCTAAGGAGCGGCGGCGACGAAAGCAGACTATCGAGAGTGGTTCGGACTCAGACTCGGAGCTGGATGATGGCTTCGAGTATGAACAAACTCTAACCATTTCATTCAATGAGTCGTCTTACGATGCTCAACTGCGGAACTTAAGACCTCGGTTCGAGAGTCTGATCTCGTCGGTTGTAGATAGTTTGAAGGGTATCGCTCGCTCGAATGGCCACTCAAATTGGAACATCTTGGCAGAACGTCTGGAATGGAGACTTAGACAGAGCGTCAATTGAAGGCCAATTAGCATCGGGGGAAACCCTTTGTCAGGCTTGAGCACCTTCACGGAGTAGTGCATCTCCCAAAGCAACTCACCTCGATACACGATGTATGCCTCATCTCTGATCGCGCTACCTTTGCATGTGGTGCCATTTTACCTATACCTGCCTCTTGAGCCCTATTAAGGCTGAGATACGCGAAGATACACTTTGTCATGAAGTGAGAAGCACCTCTACGTTAGTATCACAAGTTGCAAATATTCTAGTGTACAATTATAAGAGAAAAGCTCGAATACTTGCTTGAGAGTGGTACATACCATGGTCCTGCTACAGATGGCAGGAACCATTGAATATCAACGGGAAAATAAGGCAGAACGGGGCGCTCTATCCATTGAAAGCGCGCGTAGCGAGAGAGGAATTTACCAAGGAGGCGGAGGCAGTATGGAGCGTTCCTTACTGAAACTTGAAAGTGATCAGATACATCACGAGAACCCTCGAAGTGATATTCATAACAATAGCATCCAGCACTAGCCGCCAGTTTCGGCGAGGAGTCCCCTGGGCTATTTGATATTGGCGTGGAATCCATGTGTGTGAATCACAGGAGCAGGACTAGACTATATGGAGAGCACGTATTGGAGATCCAGTGAAGGACTCTTCCATGCCTCAGGATGGAGGACGCTAGTGGTGGAAGTTGCAAAGGTGCCAGAAGTACAGATACGTCAGAAATCACGATAACCGGGTATTCGAGTGAAGTCAGTGGAACAAATCGGCAGTTCAGCGACCTGATCAAACCCGTTCCTCGCTACTTTACTCCGCATCTCGTGCTCAAGACACTCCAAAGTTTGCCACCACTCGACGAGGACTCAGGAGACTTCAATCATTGGACGAGCTCACTCGGCAGTCGATAAACCAAGTCTGTTCACTCGATCATTACAATTAGGTACTACTACCTACCACAGCACCTTACCTTGCGTATGTTCATATGTACGTACTATCGTAGGTAACAGGTAGGTATGTACTTCCCTTCCAGATTTTTGTTGGGACGACATGTGAAAGTCCCCACGGACGGCTTAGCTAATCTGCACCGGTGACGGAGCCCGAGTGAATTGCACGTGAAAGTGCATCAGCACTCGGTTCTCGTCAAGAATTATTGGCCCAGTTGGCATTGCGCAAGAGGGAAAATTACGACTCGCGACAGGGAAACGACTGTTCGGCGAAGCCTGTTGAACCGTTCCACCCCCAACATGGAGACCGAGAAATCTTTCAGCCCCGACGCAACTGATTCAACCGCCTCCTCCGCTCCAAGCAGATTGCCCTCAGGACCGTCGTCTCTCGTTGGAAGCGCTAGTGCTTTCCCCTCACTACCAACTCCTGCTCGACAGAATGCCTATTCCAACGTGATGGACCTTGAAACCAGTATTGCCGAGGATCGCGCTCGGCGGGCCACCAGCGTGATCTCGATGGATGATCTGGAGGCTGCTCAGGCCCTGGAAGGGCTTCGGTCCGGTAAGTATACCCTCGTTCTCCAATACGTTAACCTTCGATCTGCCCGTGATTCTGTGTATATCTGCAATCGTAAATTGACCACGCTCGATCGGCATGGCGAATAGGCCTGAGCTGAGCTGCGCGAAAGTTTATATAACCTAGACTAATTATTTATCGGCTAGATTTTGGTCAATCTCCTCGAACGACGCGACAGCCCAACACAACTGTTTCACCTGAGCCGCCGCAACCTGAGCCGCTTTTGTCACTGCTCACTTCATCTCATCCGCTGATATCATCTGCCATCAACGGATCTGTCTCAGCGTACACCACATCTAAGTCTTATTCGGCCCGTTTCAAAACGGGAGCCGAATTCATTGAACGTAACATCGGTTCACCTGTCGCGAACACTGTTGGAACTGTGGGGCGCAAGACAGGCGTGGAGAGTGGGATTCGCTGGGCATTACAACGACGCGAATCCTCGGAGGCAAAGCCTTCCAGTAAACGTCGAAAGGTGGCTGGTGAAACCACCTCAGAGCCAGTAGAGGACGGGGCGACATCCGACACCACGATGACGCCTTCACGAACCCGGAGCTCATCAGATCTCTCCATGGCGGATACGCTGCCCCCATACGATGAGATGCGTTCCCCTCGCTATGAGGAAAAGCCCGACCGTCAGGCCCCGCCTACTTGGCAGAGTCGATTAGTGATCTCAACGTCGGGGCTTGGTGTCGCCATGAGCGACGAGTCATTGCGCAGTCTGCAATACTGTTTGACATGGCTGCGCTGGGCGAACGGGCGTCTAGGGCGGGCCATCGTGGCTCTCCAGAAGGCGATGTCCGAATGGGAGAGTCAAAAGCAGCAGGAAGGGGAGGACCTGGAAGGTGGATCACAGGCCGCAAACGCGGACAGCGCCTCCCTCCTTACTCAGCGCATGCAGGCTGTCAAGACCGACATCCTGTCCACATTGAAGCAAGTGGTGGATGTGGTTTCTAGATATGCCGGCGGTGCTTTGCCGGAAAATGCTCGATATCTTGTCCGCAGACACTTGACGTCCTTGCCTCAACGCTTCCAGATGGCAAGCACCTCCCAACCGCCTCCAGATTCGCCCGAGGCGTCATCAGATGCTCGAATTGGTGCTCAGCGCGTTCTCGTTCTTGCCAATGAAGGGTTGGACATTCTCGGCCAAGTCAGTGGCGTTGTCAATGATACCCTGGTGAGCGCGGAACACTGGTGCGAGCGACTGGGACGCAAAAGGCCAGAAAACAAACCCGTGTCCGACGTGGAGAAGCAGAGTCACCTCCCGCTGCCTTCTGCTGGCCACACCAACGGTGCGGATATCAGTGCCGATATCAAGGCACCTATCGTGCCGGGACCGGAAACGCGGGAGGACTTCCAGATGAGTGGAACGGAGAAGGCATAGTTCTTATACGCATGCTCCGCCGCTCTTTTGCACAGAACCTCACACAATCTTTCAATTTAGGATTCGCCTCCAGTCGTCACACCAAAGTCCCTCCATCCAAGTGTGTTTGCGCGTTCTTGTTCTTGTGTTTTTGTGTGTCGTTGGTATTACGTTGCGCAGACCGTACCATTTTGATTTCCATTTCGTGCTTATGACGTTGCTCATGATTGATATCCCTTGTCTTTATTGACGTTTCTAGCCTGCTCTGAAAATCTGTGAACTATTTTTTGATTACCTCTTTACTTACTTGCAGTATGTATTCTTGCAGCTTCACCACACAGTTCTTCGTTCCGTAGTTGTACCTTGAAAAGTTTCATATGTAGTCTTCCATAGCTGGCTTGCACTGTTTCAAGGTGACAGACCCTCAGTGTGACCTCTGATTCGGACCCTTTCTGTCTTACTCACAGACAACGAGCATTTTAAGCCATCTAGACGGATGCAGAATTCTGATGAGCCGACTGTTCAGTAGCTTCCACGTAGCGGTCCCTTAGTCCCCTAGATCCATTGCATTGGTCGCGGGCGTTCCAGTCTGGGATGAATCACGATCCAAAAATGCAATTAAGCATTCATAGAATCAAGCCATGTTGGAGCTCCCCATTTTGATCTCATGTATTAAATAGGCGGCTAAGCTTTGACGATTCGACCGATTGACCGACAGACATTGAACCTACCGGTCGAGGCTCATCTTTACCTCCTCGTCTGTACTCTTGTAGCATCCATGTACCTTAGTAGGTTCTAATTTAATACCGGCTAACCTACCAGTTAGTACCTAGTACCTACAGCCTACTATGTAGCAGCATTCTCATCTTATCGTCACGTGAATGATCCCATGAGGTTATAATCGTACTCGGGCTGAGATCAGGCCTTATGCGGACATCCAATTCAAGAGTCTAAACTTCCGCCGGAGGTATTGGCATCCAGGCTGCAGCCCTGCATCTTCACGCTCGGAGCCTTTCACCAGACAGCATCTTTCGGAGAATCCGAGCTTCCGTCTCGACAGACGGACTACTGACGGGCTTCATCATCGAAGAGGATGATATGACCGGTCATTTCATCCTGAGAGATCATGTGTTTACCGTGCCGACTCCGAAGCGGTCAACCAAACTGCGGTCATTAACACGTAGCAGTGAAGGCCTGCTGATTTTCATCATTTTCATGACCCTTGCTCAGATTTTGCCTCGCCATTGGCATGGCATCTCAATTGCAGAAGGCCTGCAGCCATGTTGATTTGCAGAATCCTCCGTTGTCATTGTTTTGTGCGCGGTCCGCTGCTCATGCGGCCGTCGAAACCCCAAGATGTTCCAACTTCCCGCCACCACCCCTGAGGTTACATGGTCTTGGCAAAGACAAGAAGCCGAGAGAACCGTGGCAGCTGCTTTGAGAGCATGAGGATGACAGTCCGAGCAGGTAGACCCGCCAGGCCGGATAAAGTACCTACCTTGGTGTCTATCTAATTCACCCAAAGCGCCAGACCTCAATCAGACTGGACGCTGCCCCCCAAGTCCCTCGGCGACTACTACTGTCGTAGTACTAGCAACACCTGGCTGCAAGAATCATGATGAGTCACACAACGAGGGCCTGAGTTGACTCCGCAGACGAGCTTCGATTTGTGCAGGTAACAAGGTCCTCCTGTCTTTGGGAAGTTGGTAACTTGGGTGGCAGGAGGCGCTTCTCCAAGACCAGGTCATGTGCCTCAGCCATGACTGATTTCCAAGCAAGACTCCTTCTACGGAACTTGCCGTTCTTGCCGTTTGGGGGCATGCCCACTCCGGCAGTGGGAACCAGTCAACGGACTTGGAAGCGAGCACTGGGCGCCCAAGGCGCCAGTCTCTGGTCCATCCCGGGGTTCTACCGCGTGGCCATCCACGCCCTGCAAGAGGCTTTGCATATACTCCTCCACTGTACATCCTTCAGACGCTGCCTTCTGCAGACTTGATATGCTCTGATCGATGCATCCCCGGCCCAATCGATCCCTGATCATCTTGATGTTGACCAAGACTCGATCCCCACCGCCATTTGCAGGCCTTGCCAACGACGGTCATGACCATTTTCAACCCAGCTTATCGGGTCAGCGCTACGGTCTAAATCCCGTAGGGTCCCCGCTTCAAGGGTTCCCCCCCCCTGGACCACATGTTGCGGCCTCGAAGCGGGGCCCCAGGTGGATCTTCGTGGCCGCGGAAAAGATCAAATTTCAAAGATCGGGAGCAGATTGGCCGGATGGTGGAGTAAACAGTCGGGGTGATTGGAGAAAGATGTCCTGTCTGGGACTCCGAATCCGCTACCTTAATGCAGTATCCAGCTGGCACTGGGTCGAGCCATAGGTCTCCAAACGGGCTTAGTCGCAGCGAATATTTTTCATGACTAACTACTCTGTCAGTAATTAACTTAGGTTGACGAGTCAAAGTCATAGGATCTGAGTCCTGGATTCTACTTCTCATGTGCAGGTCAACGCAAGCGTCAGCTTGGTCTCCTCGTCAATCATCCCGAATCTATGAAGTCGATAGAAGAATAGCACCTCATTGCGGGCCGTGACTCAAGCGACGGAGACTGCTCAATCACACCTCGGACCCCAAGTTCAGTCATGGATCTAAAATCCCCCATTGTGGGTGCAAACACCGAGTCATCGAACACCATGGCACACAGCTCAGTCAGCTATGAGCAAGGCCGGGAAGAGATTCGCTTGTCAAACCCACAAGGCATGACATCGTCCCCACGCGGTGTGGACGTTGAGAAGGCCGAATACGAATTCTCGGAATTGAACAGACAATTCTCAAATATTTCATACCAGGCTCGGCGCTTGTCGAAGCAAGCTTCGCGAGCTTCCAAGCCAACTATCACCGCCGAGGATGTGGAGAAAGGAAGTACTGCAGCCGATTCGGAGGAGCCGTGGGACTTGGAGTCTACATTGAGGGGGAATCGCGCCGCAGAGCAAGAAGCAGGGATCAAGGACAAGCACATCGGTATCTCATCTCTGCGAACTCCCCGGAATTTCTAAGCTCATCCTGACCGTGCCACAGGCGTCATCTGGGACAATCTGACAGTACGGGGAATGGGCGGCGTAAAGACCTTCATTAAAACGTTCCCGGATGCCATAGTCGACTTCCTCAACGTGCCCGCGCTCATCATGCAATGGTTCGGATGCGGTAAGCAGGGTGAAGAGTATAATATCCTCGAGGGGTTCAAAGGGCTGGCCTTGCCTGGAGAGATGATTCTGGTGCTGGGGCGGCCTGGGTCGGGATGTACATCTTTCCTCAAGGTGATCGCGAATCAAAGATTTGGCTACACGAGCGTCGACGGAGAAGTCCTGTATGGCCCTTATGACTCCGCGACCTTTGCGAAGCGTTTCCGTGGCGAGGCTGTTTACAATCAAGAAGATGATATCCATCAGCCCACTTTGACTGTCAAGCAAACCATCGGCTTTGCACTGGACACTAAGATTCCCGGCAAGCGGCCGCACGGGGTGTCCAAGACGGAGTTTAAGGACAGGGTGACCAGCATGCTTTTGCGTATGTTTAACATCGAACATACAGCCAACACCGTGATTGGTAACCAGTTTATTCGAGGTGTCAGCGGCGGTGAAAGGCGAAGAGTCAGCATCGCCGAGATGTTCTCGACCGCTGCCTGTATTCTATCCTGGGACAACTCAACTCGTGGTCTCGATGCCTCTACTGCGCTGGACTTTGCCAAGTCATTGCGAATACTGACAAACATTTACAAAACAACAACCTTTGTCTCTCTATACCAAGCATCCGAGAACATCTACAAGCAATTTGACAAGGTGCTGGTCATCGACAGCGGCCGTCAGGTGTTCTTTGGCCCCACGGAGGAAGCTCGCGCCTACTTTGAAGGACTAGGATTTCGAGAAAAGCCCCGCCAAACCACTCCAGATTATCTGACGGGCTGCACTGATCCATTTGAGAGAGAGTTTCGAGATGGACGAAGCGCTGACGATGTGCCATCAACCCCTCAAGCTTTGGCTGAGGCTTTCGGCAAGTCCGCACTGAGCCAGCAACTGGACAAGGACATGAGAGCATATCGTGCGCAGATCCATGAAACAAAGCACATTTATGTTGATTTCGAAGTTGCCAATCTCGAGGCGAAGCGTAAATTCACGTCCAAGTCATCCGTCTACTCCATCCCTCTCCACTTGCAGATCTGGGCGCTCATGCAGCGTCAGTTCCTGATCAAGTGGCAAGACAAGTTTGCCTTGACCGTCTCGTGGATCACCTCGACGGGCATCGCCATCATTCTCGGTACCGTATGGCTCAATCAACCCGAGACTAGCGCAGGTGCTTTTACTCGTGGAGGTCTTCTGTTCATCAGTCTCCTATTCAATGGCTTTCAGGCCTTTGCGGAACTTGCTGGAACCATGATTGGTCGATCGATCGTCAACAAACATCGAGCCTTCACCTTCTACAGACCCAGTGCCCTCTTTATTGCGCAGATCATTGTAGACACCACGTTCGCTTTTGCCAAGATCCTGATTTTCTCAATCATTGTCTACTTTATGTGTGGTCTGGTCCTCAATGTTGGAGCATTTTTCACTTTCGTCTTGATCATTTTGACGGGCTATGTTTGCATGACCGTCATCTTCCGAACAATTGGTTGTCTTTGTCCCGACTTTGACTCTGCGATCAAGTTCGTTTCCGTCATCATCACGTGCTTCATCTTGACCAGCGGTTACTTGATTCAGTGGTCGTCAGAACAAGTATGGCTCCGCTGGATTTACTACATCAATCCTTTTGGCCTTGGCTTTGCATCTCTGATGGTGAATGAATTCAGTCGCTTGACTATGACTTGCACTAAGGACTCGCTTGTACCGTCTGGGCCCGGCTACACAGACATCGCCTATCAGGCTTGCACGCTTGCTGGTGGTGAAACTGGGTCGGCTATCATTCCAGGATCCAGCTATTTGATGACTACCTTCAGTTATGCAAAGGGTGACTTGTGGAGGAACTTCGCTATCATGATCGGACTGATCCTGGCCTTCCTTGCATCGAATTTGTATCTCGGCGAGACTATTCGCTTTGGAGCTGGTGGAAAGACCATCACGTTCTTCCAGAAAGAGAATCAAGAGCGCAAAGAACTGAATGCAGCCCTGGCTCTCACCAAGGCTAATCGTCGGCCCAAGGCAGACACCGGGACAAATTTGCATACAAGCTCAACATCTGTGTTCACATGGGAGAATGTTTGCTATGAGGTCCCAGTGCCCTCTGGAACTCGGCGGTTGCTCAACTCGGTATATGGTTTCGTCCAGCCCGGCAAACTCACAGCTCTGATGGGGGCCTCTGGCGCAGGCAAAACAACTCTGTTGGACGTTCTAGCTGCTAGGAAGAATATAGGAGTCGTTTCGGGCGACATCTTGGTTGATGGCCGAGCACCTGGGACCGCATTCCAACGTGGGACCTCATACGCGGAACAACTTGACACTCACGAAGCCATGGCTACCGTTCGAGAAGCTCTTCGCTTCTCTGCCGACCTTCGTCAGCCATTTGAGACACCCCGGTCGGAAAAGTACGCATATGTTGAGGAAATCCTAAGCCTGTTGGAGCTCGAGAATCTGGCAGATGCGATTATTGGAACACCCGAAACAGGCCTCTCTGTCGAGGAGAGAAAACGAGTCACGATTGGGGTTGAGCTTGCCGCCAAACCCGAGCTTCTCCTCTTCTTGGACGAGCCAACTTCGGGTCTGGACAGCCAGTCTGCATTCAACATCGTTCGATTCTTGAAAAAACTTGCCGCTGCTGGGCAGGCTATTCTTTGTACCATCCATCAGCCAAACTCTGCGCTTTTTGAGAATTTCGACCGGCTGTTACTCCTTCAAAGGGGAGGCGAGTGTGTCTATTTTGGTGACATTGGTGCTGACTCTCAGGTGCTGTTGGAATATTTCCGGCGCAATGGTGCTGACTGTCCCCATGATGCTAATCCCGCCGAATGGATGCTTGATGCCATTGGCGCTGGGCAAACTCGCCGCCTCGGCGATCGAGACTGGGGTGATGCGTGGCGCGATTCACCAGAGCTTCGCTCCCTGAAGCAAGAGATCATCAATATCAAGGCAGACAGAGCCCGGTATGTCACCGAAAGTAACGATGAAGGCCACGGTCCCGTCGAAAAGGAGTACGCTTCGCCACTGTGGCATCAGGTCAAGGTTGTTGGACGGCGCACACACCTGGCTTTCTGGCGATCTCGAAACTATGGATTCACGCGGCTCTACACTCACGTGGTGATTGCGGTCATCACCGGTCTGGCGTTCCTGAATCTCGACGATTCTCGCACATCGCTTCAATACCGCATTTTTGTCATTTTCAATGTCACCGTCCTACCGGCCATCATCCTACAGCAGGTCCAGCCAAAGTACGACATGTCCCGGCTGATCTTCTATCGCGAATCGGCATCCAAGACATACAGTCAATTTGCCTTTGCAGTCTCGATGGTTCTGGCTGAAATTCCGTACAGTGTGCTGTGTGCTACCTGCTTCTTCCTGCCTCTATACTATATCCCTGGATTCCAATCGGCCAGTAGTCGAGCAGGATACCAGTTCCTCATGGTTCTCATCACCGAAATCTTTGCTGTGACTCTGGGACAGATGGTTTCTGCCTTGACGCCGAACAGCTTTATCGCCTCGCTACTCAATCCACCCATTGTCATCATCTTCTCCCTCTTCTGTGGCGTTGCCATCCCCAAACCTCAAATGCCCAAGTTTTGGCGCGCATGGCTGTACCAGCTGGACCCCTTTAATCGTCTGATTGCAGGCATGGTGGTAACTGAGCTGCATGGTCGACCGGTCGAATGCTCCGGTCACGAGTGGAATACGTTTCAAGCGCCCGCCAACCAGACTTGTGGCGAGTACATGCAGCCATTCTTTGAACGTGGAGGCAATGGATATCTGCTTGAGAACGCAACTCAAGCTTGCCAGTACTGTGCCTACAAGATTGGAGACCAGTTTTATTCGACCTTTAGCATGAATTTTGACTACCGCTGGCGTGATTTGGGTATTTATGTCGCGTACGTTGGGTCGAACCTGATTATTCTCTTTATTGCCGTAAGTACCCCCTTGCTCTTTGCGCAATTTGAACGCGATGACGCTAATATGTCTGTGGTAACAGTCTCGGTTCTTGAACTTCAACCGACGATAGCTGATGAAGTTTCAAGCTTGTGATCGAACTTAGCATGTGGAAGATGATTTTATGTCTCTCAAACTGTCATGATCTTTTTCTCGCGACCCCGTGCGATTGTAAAAGCAGGACATCCACTGTCCCCGTTTAGCATATAGTTATGTAGTATAACGTCTTTTTCAACAAGATGCATCAATGTTTTCAGTTCATTTTCATGTGTTCATTTTCTCCTCCTGTGTCCTGAGCACATGTGCCATACATCCAGCGTGCAACAACCCAGGTAGCCCCGCCAGTATCTAATATCCAGCAACCAGCGAGAATCCTCAAGATCCGCGGTAAATAACCTATCCACCTCCTCATTCTTGAGCTAAGCTTACCTGGTCTCCGACGCTCCACCGAAAGTGATCTGCATGAATCCAGGTTGGACTGCATGGATGGAACCCCCACGCCACTTGGCCTGACTAGACAGGGCCCATGATCTTTACCTATCACAGTCGTGGTCAGACCACCCTCAGATACAATCACGCTTGCCTTTCCGCCTATTGTCGTGCGACTTTGATCGCAGTGACTCTGCAGTGATGGGGGGTTTCTACAGCACGACAAAATGGGCGCGGTACCTCGGGGTAAGTCCGATGGACAAAAGTTCCGGCACCTGGTGGCACGTCCTGATCGTGGTTTTAATGGTGTGAGTAACAGAGAATCCGGTCATGTCTGCTAGGGCACCTTGGCGCTGCTGCACCAACAGAGGCATTGTGACTTGTCGCTCATCACTGATCCGACCGATCTGGAATATTGACTGTCGTCCACCGACCGGACCATTGTTGTTGCATTACGGCTGTACAAGGTTTCTCTCTGGCCCCCCCTGCACCCGCCGTCTCTCACTGGTTCATTCGACATTTGAAGTAAGCGCCGTGTCCTTCAAATGGCTTAGAGAACTCTTGGCGTCTATGAACTGCAGCTTGTAACGACTCGGCCGTGATATCGCAATCCATGATCGCTATCGGTGCAGGGATCCTGAAACATAGGTTGGCGACGGTCGGCTGCTGAGCAGCGGTGATTTGGCGAATACGTTCAATAGCTCGTTTTGAACTGAAGCTAGCATGACGAAGGACCGACTGCCAGTCTGTGCGGGTGCAGAGCTAGTGAGTGGGATCTCAGGAGAATGGTCGACGCACAGGATCGTTGAACTTGATCTTGTCAATGCACTCGTTTGTGGTCAGCTCTTCGGTGAATTGCAACTTCACGTCTGTCACCTGAAGACTGAGAGAAAGAAAGAGCAATTCTTTTTTCCAAGATCGCAGATTGGAAATCATCTCCCCCAATCTTGTGGCCCCCGGCTTTTGGGGAATTGAAAACTTTTGTATCGGTCTTCTAGACCAGGTCTTGAGGCGCGAATCCCAGAAAGAAAAAATGAACGCGACGAATATCATTCATCCTCAGCGAGGACCTCGAAGTGATGATCCAGGGTTACAAGTGGTCCCTGGTTATGAGAAACAAGTCGTTTCGAATGACTACCCCATTTATCTCTACGGACCGGAGAGGCCAGAAAAGGTCGACGAAGAAGAGACAAAGACTCCGAAAACGACCTACTGCGGGCTGAGGCCGGCGGTCTTCTGGACGCTTCTTGTCATCGCATTACTGGTCGTCGTCGGGGGTGCAGTTGGTGGCGGGATTGGGGGCACAATTGCCAGTCGACACAGTGCGGAGCTATCGTCACAAACAAGCAGGTATGTTCTGACGAGATCAACCCATGAGATGACTCAACAGAGGACTGACGCTCTTGGCTTTCAAGTTCCTCTCCACCGATATCGTCCACAACTCCCCCTACAATGTCGACGTCAATGCTGTCCACTCCCCATGACGTTCCAACCACATTATATACTGTAACTGCTTCAAACACTTCAGTCTTGTTTCCGATGACCAACACGCAATCCAATCCCACCGCCACCCCTGTCACGTCCGGAACGAGTGGGATCGCCGATAGCCCATGCCCGGGCAAGAACTTGACCACGCTAGCAGGCTCCGATGGGTCACTATTTACCCTCTTGTGCGCGGTCGACTGGCCTAGCGGAATACAAGCTTTGTCCGGCAAAGGAACAGTTCACGATTTGACTCGTTTCACTCGATATACACTGCCGTCGTGCATTGCAGACTGCGTCGACTGGAACGATGACAGCTCTCATACGTCTAAGTGTAAAGGCATTGTCTACACAGCCAACTTGACGGCGGCATTTGGGGGTGGACAAGACGGAAACTGTTTCCTGAAGAGTGCAGTTGGAACGTACTTTCCAAATAGCGGCTTGTCCATGGCTGCGGGGATCATGGGAGGATAGAGTGGGCTTCAAAGACAGGGTTCAACCTGGGCTGTAATTGTGTGAATTATGTCAATTTACGCGGAGTTTCCCCGATATAAAAGAATATGTATTGATATCTAGGGAGGTAAATTGCAGAGAGCCCAGCAATATGTACGCCTCCTTCTAGATGTCTCCTCGAAAGTTTCTGTCCATGTAGGCAAGATAATGCTGTGAGTATTGTCTTTCGCCTTGAACCGATGGGTGAATTGACTAAATTGTCATTCATCCATTTTAAAGTCAGTGCATGACTTGAGGGAGATCTTATCCTCTCGGACGAGAAGAGCTCTGCTATAGATGGCACAGGCACAGACCCGCATGCACCTGACTGCTTCACACGCCACGGAAGTTAGCATTCTGGTCGAGACTTGGCCTGACGGACCACTTCGGCAATTTGAAATCAAAAGTAACAATGAGCTTGGAACAGGCTCGCCTTTCTCTCCGAGCTTCCCCAGTCAAACCTTCAAGTTAACGGGTAAACAGATCTGCAGGCCGAACTTTCCCCCACACTTTCCAACCCAAAGTGGATGAGCTTACTCCGCACGGTGAGCAATACCCCCGTGGGGAAGTATAAAGCAATCTTTGTGGAAGCAGCCAGCAGTCTACTACGTCGAGCTGGAGGAGGATACGTTGTCTGGTTTTCTTGTTGACTCGATCGATTATCTGTTTGTTCAGTCGACGCCTGTCCCTCATACTAACTTACCATGATTTCTCAAGAGCCATCCACAGGGTCTAAACCCGCCATTGAAAATGTGCCCACCTCAACGCATGCCGAGGACCAGACGCCAGATCCTACATGGAAGTCCAAAAATGCCACCGACGGGGACACGGCAATGGCACTTTTCAACGACCCAGATGAGCTCCACGAAGAGGTCGATCCTGAAGAGGCAAGAAAGCTGTTGCGCAAGATTGACTTGATGATCTTGCCATATCTGGCCGTCTGCTATGCGTTTTTCTACATCGACAAGACGACTCTAAGCTATGCGGCTATCTTTGGCGTTCGGGATAATTTGAAACTGCATGGCACACAGTATAATTGGCTGAGCAGTATTTTCTACTTTGGCTTTTTGGCGTGGGCGTTTCCTACGAATTTTCTGATGCAAAGGCTTCCGATTGGTGAGTGTCCTTCTTTGGGATGTCCTTGCTTCAGCGGCTCATTTGGATATTCTCTTTACAGGCAAATATCTCGGTGCGAATATCTTCATGTGGTATGTGGAACGATCATTCACTGACAAGACGTAGCGGTGTACTGATCAGAAACTCTACAAAAAGGGGTGTGTTTCTCATGATTCAAGCGGCTTGTAATAGCTTTGAGACGCTCGCTGCTCTACGAGCGCTCGGTGGTGCTGCCGAGGCATGTTCCGACCCTGCATTCATGCTCATCACCAGCATGTGGTATACACGACGAGAGCAGCCAGTTCGGATCGGATTGTGGTATACTGCCAATGGACTTGGTATTGCGCTCGGCGGTCTCTTGGGCTATGGCATTGGTCACATCCGAGGTGCGCTACCTTCATGGAAATATGAGTTCATCGTGATGTGAGTATCAAAGTGATGGCCGCTTTCCCTACGAATGAGACTAATCTGGTCGCCAGTGGCGCTCTATGCTCGGCCTGGGGAATGATCATGTTCATCTTCCTACCTGATTCACCAGTGAGCGCTCCAGGTCTAACTCAGAGGGAGCGCCGCATTGCGGTCGAACGTATTCGAGAGAACCAGACGGGCGTGGAGAACAAGCATTTGAAGCCATACCAGATTTTGGAAGCATTCAAAGATTACAAGCTTTACATCTTCTTCATGTTGGGCGTGGTTTGTAAGTGTCGAGTTCAATCTTGCTTTCTTGTCTCTTGTTCTCTGACCGATCGATCTTTTTTACATATGAGCAGGTAACATTCCTAACGGTGGTATCTCGAATTTCGGAACTATCATCATCCAAGGCTTTGGCTTTTCGACCCTCGTGACGACACTGATGCAGGTCAGCGACCTATATTCCTCTTTGTCCAATACTCTATGCCAAATCCTGACCTCTCACTAAGATCCCATACGGTGTTCTCATCGCACTCTCAATTCTGGTCTGCGTCTACCTGAACGATCGGTATGAGAACCGCAGATGTATTTTCATCTTAATTTTTCTCATCCCCAACATTGTCGGGGCATTCGGCCTCCGATTTGTCCCTGCGGACCGTGGGGTCGGTAGGCTAATCTGCTATTATCTGACTGGGCCTTATAACGCGGCTTTTGTGCTGGTTCTTAGCATGCAAATTGCAAACACTGCTGGTTAGTCCCCAATTGATGGCTTGCAGGATGGGCTGTCTTCATCTGGAGACCTCCATGAAATCGCAATATTGACATGTTGAAATTGCTGCAGGACACACCAAAAAGGTCGTCACCAACGCCGTCCTATTTCTGGGATACTGCACAGGTAACCTCGCAGGACCATTCTTCTACAAGACCGATCAATCGTGAGACTTCTCCATTTCTATATCTTTATTTCCCCCACTTCGCCGCCAACGCACCATCTCAGGCCCATCGCTAACGATATTCTCTAGACCAACATACCCACTCGGAATCTGGTCCATGATTGTAGCACATCTGATCGAAGTGGTACTCGTTTCGGCACTAGGCCTTCTTCTTCGTTGGGAGAACCACAAACGGGACCGGATTCAGTCTCAAATGCCTGGGGGGCTGGAAGGGCGGGATCTCGATGCTACTGCGTTTTTGGACTTGACGGATCGGGAGAATCTGAAGTGAGTACAGACCTTGTTTTCACTTCGTTGGATTGAGGACATGTGTCGGTGAAAGAGCCGGAGGAAGATGAGGTGCAGGTGGCTAATTCGAATAACACAGTTTTCGGTATATCTACTGAGTCATTTGACATATCCATTGGCAAATTGTCTCATAGGCGATGAATACCTATCGGCATGGATCCGTGGTTGGAGTTGCGAATTTATGATTCCATTAAAAGCCGGGCTTCGGCAGGAAGGTCCAGTGTACCACGAACATTCTAAGAGTGAGGATGTATGAAGACTCGGGCTGTCTCGGTATCTCATTCGTTCTTCATAGGCAGGAATATACATGATTTGAATAAACAATGCCCGAATGAAATCGACAATAAAGAGAAAGTAACGTCTATGAGCGCCACCGCAAGAACCCTCGTCTATTTGTGGAGCTCCGCGAATTCTCTTCTTCAACCTGGTGATCTCCGACAATCTTCAAAAACACCTGGTCCAAAGTCGTCTGACTGACCGAGTAGTACATGATACCAAGATCTTGCTTGACTTCTTCTAAGCGACGGAAGAGATCACCAATTTGGCCATTACCTTGCGAGACTGGTGAGGCATTGGCATGACCCTCCGAAGAATCTGTCGCCGAACCTGGTTCAATTCCGTCTTCTCGAGAGTCGACGCTTCCACAAGATTTACTTGCAGAAACTGCAGGGACACTGAACCGAAGCTGTCCGTGGTAGAATTTCTGCTCAATCACGGCCCCGGGGAAAGTTTTCTGCACCCAATCCCGGATTCGAGCCATTTCCTCGTCGGACGTGTGCGGAGCATGAGTATGCACAAGATGCACATGGTACATATTCCCGTGCTTTGCACGAAGGTAGTCTGTTGTCCCAAGAGCCAGCATACGCTTGGCCATGATACCAGCACGGCTGGCCAAGGCATCGGCTTCTTCCATAGAATGTGTAGTCAGAACAATGGAACGGCCTGGTGCCACCGAGGCCAGTGTCTTCCACATGACACGTTTAGAAGCGGCGTCCATTCCAGAAGATGGCTCATCAAGCAGGAGCACAGCGGGGTTCCCCATGAGAGCGATGCCCAAAGAGAGCTTGCGCTTATTTCCACCAGATAGTTTTGTCGCCATGCGGTATTGGAAGGGCGTCAACCCAACGGCTTCAATCACTTGGCGTACATTGTGGTCTACATCAGGTACACCGCGGATCCGAGCATAGAATTTCAGATGCTCAATCACTGTCATCTGGTCCATCGCGTCAAACTGAGGACAGACGCCCAGATGGGAGCGAGCTGCCGCAAGAGATTTGGTGACCGAGACGTCCTCAACGAAAATCTCCCCTCCATTCTTGGATGGCTGTATATCTCCACGGATAAGGCTGATTGTTGTGGTTTTACCCGCCCCGTTGGGTCCAAGCAGAGCAAATACCTCTCCTCGGTTGACGCCGAAACTAATATTCTCAACTGCCACGAATTTCTTGAACGACTTGTTCAGATTCAGGACGCGAAGCCCATCGTCTGACTCCTTCACGCGTGCCAGTTCCCGCACAACATCCTCGTCCATTTGCGTCTTTTCCTCGACGTCTTCAGGCTTGGTGTGAGACCTGAAGATATTCAGGCTCTTTCTGCCACCGTCGAGGTAGACCAGTAGCGCGAAGAGGACAATTGACTGGACGATGAGATAAAGAATTGGACCACCGTAAACCGTGATCTCTCCTGGATAGGACACAATCTGCCTATCTCTGCAAAGAATGGAAAAGATGTTGAGAGAGAGGAACATAGCGCGCGTCAAACTGCCCACAGGAGTGACAATGGAAATTGTGAAATGGACGATTGAAAGATATGAATCGATTTCCGTGGTGGGAGCATATGTCAAGACTGCCATGTACCCGATAAAGTAAATCAGGAAAAAGACACATTGCATGCCAGCTACGAATGCAAATGCAGCGAGCTGTGACTTCGTGATGAGCGATATCAAGTACGCGAGAATGGTCGAGCAAATGCCGTAGAGGAAGAAGACGACGAAGAGATACTCTGGATGATACCAAACGTCCGATGCCGCACGGAAGATCACGATTGTCAGAACGCTGACTGCTAGCACGACACAAAAGTCGAAGCAAAGATACGCTAGCCAAAGTGGCAATTTGCGAACTCCATTACTGTAGTGGAGAGCCCTCACATTCCGGAGTCTTTCGACTGTTGGATACAACGCAAACATGGCTGGATATACCGAGTAGGCGAGACCAAAATAGGTCAGCAATTGGAGCATATTTCCAACACCATTCTGCCAAGGGATGTCGAACGCCTGGTATCTAAATCCGATTGGTGTCTTGATTAAGAAATTGTCCAGGGCATTCTGAGTTGCAGCGGCAAGTGGAAACAATCCATTGTTTGCTTTCCAGGCAAAAGTCGGGTTCGAAGAGGCATCACCAAGCCAGAAGCCACCAGGCGTGACGTTCTTGCGATAGTCATTAATGTATGAATTGAACTGATCGAAAGTGTCCACCGTATGCACTAAACTTGACAGACTCGATGCTTGAATGCCAGAGAATCCAGAGATTGACCTGAGAAAGCTCTGAATCGACGAGGTCGAGATACGATCTCGGGGCCCGGCAACGAATAGAATATTGTCCACTGAACTCAAAGTGTTTACGTCTGGGGAGCTGAACAGTCCGGGCCCAGAACATGTTGGCTCGGGCGCATTTTTGAGGAAGAGAGTGACCAGACCACTGGCGATGATCGGTATGAGAAACGCAGCCAAGTAAGGAATAAAGTTGCGACGTAGGATGACCAAACGCTTGCGGAACATAGTCCAAGCTTGCCGTGGCATACTGATTCGCTTTCCCTTCAAAATTTGAGGGCCATCTGCCCCATGCGCAGCCTGAGTGACCGTGTCGCTTTCTGTTTCCTTTGGTTTCGCAATGATATTTTGGACGGGATGGGCGAGATCCTCGATGATCTCACGAGCAACCTTGAGAAACACGTCTTCAATTGTTGGCCCACTGATGCGATAATCACTGACCCCTCTGTGTTCAAGTGCAGCAATGACATGGGGAACTTGTGCGGAATCTTGGACCATGTAAACAGTCTCGTCAAAGTGGGATTCTTCCTGCACTCCTTCAAGGAGCCGTTCATTGCGCGTAGTCGACGACGGGCCGTGCGGCACATGGATCCGGTATCCTGAGCCTAGGCGAGTCTTGAGCTCAACCGTTGACCCGTCGGCTTCCAGTGACCCCCTTGAGAGAATCGCAATATGATCAGCGAGCAACTCGGCTTCGTCCAAAAAATGAGTTGTCAAGATGATAGTTCGCCGCCCACGTTCAGCTAGAAGGATATCCCAAATCTTGCGTCGGGAAATCGGGTCCAGCCCAGATGACACTTCATCAACGCAACAAACAGAAGAGCCACCTGTGAACATCATTGCCAACTGCAGTTTCCGTTTCTGTCCACCCGACAGTGTCCTTGACTGTGCTTCAACCTTGTTCTTGAGATCACAGGCCTCAATCAATGTGCGTAGATCATGCCTTGAGTCTGGGCCGTGAAGACTCTTCAACCCATTGAATATCTTGACATGCTCTTCCACGGTCAGTGTGCTCCAAAGAACATTCTTCTGAGGACAGAGGCCGAACTTGCCCTCATTTTCGCCATAATCGAGTTGTATAGACCCGGAGGTGATTTTAGTGAGACCAGATACTGCGTCCAGTGTGGTAGACTTTCCCGACCCGTTTGCACCCAGCAAGACCATGATCTCACCTTTGACCACGTCTAGAGTCAAATTGGAAACGGCGTGAACAACCTGCCGCTTTGATCCAAAGAGGCTGCCGAAACGGCGATTGAACCATGAAGGGATGTAGTCTTTCGAGAAGCCGTCCAGCTTGAGGGCCAAAGATTCCGGCAAAGTACCGGTTGTCCTCTTGGTGGAGGTGGTGCCATAGAGTGCCCTCTCAACAAGGGCACCTAGGACCGGATACGCAATGATCTGAACGATGAGAAGGATCCACAGCGCGATCCCTGGGATTGTCCACGAGCTCTCAGGTGCAGCCTTGACAAGATTGGTAGGAAGACTTTGTCTCTCCCATCTCGCCATCCCGATGGTGAAAAATACATAGTTCATTGAGGGGAACAGAAGACTGAGCACCACCACCGCGCCATTGCTTGAAATACCGCCTAGCTGAGCGACAATTCCAAGCAGGAGGTTGGCAAGGACGATGGTGATGCCGCTTAGCTGCGCCTTTCTGAAAAAAGCTGCGCCAAAGATCGAAAAGGACGACAGCGCAAGACCAACGAGAATGTGATTGATCAAGATGACGCCGACAGACGTTTTGGCAAAGACACCGAACTTTAAAATGATCGCAGTTACGACCCATCCCGGAGCATAGATCAAGTCCAAGGCAAGATGGGCGGCAATGAATCGGACGGCCTGAGCTTTCCAATGTGACGAGGTCGCAATGACACAGTCAATCAACTGGCTCATTCCGATTTCGCGTTCCATGGCAACCAAACCAGTCAACTGATAGGTCACACCCACCATTCCAATGAAAAGAGCGATACTGATCACGTCGATGATGGCACTCATGTAACGGACCCGGATCTGATCCTGTCGTTCCTTTTGCGACAGCGAGGTAAAGGGATATTCATCGACCTGCCGAGGGAGTCCTTGTCCGCTGCTAGACCCATTGCTCTGTGCGATTGCCCAGTCAATGGAATGCTGTAGGGGAAGCAAGTAGATTTCCTGATCGTTGCTGTTCTTCTTGGTGTCTATTTTTGTGCCCAGTGAGCCGTCCGCGCGGATGGAGTAATTCCATATGCCATCAGGTCCCTCTGTTGGCGAGGAATAGAAGACAGCCGCCGCCACACAGGAGGAAGTACCCCTCAGTGTGGTGCGACAGGTCTGTTGCAGCTCCTCTTCCGCCGACAGGGTGACGACTTGATCTCCATACTGGCGCGCTGGGGCAGCTACTTGATCAATGACTTTCTGGATGTCACCACCTCCAAAGCCATTGTTGACAAAGACGACCTTGTTCCTCCCGCCGCCTACAGCGGAAAGCGCATCTTTTAGTGACCGGACCGGGGAAGGCTCTCCGATTCCATAGACAGAAGGTGGCACAAAGAAGTTGCGCGCATAGGATCTAATGTTTTGGTTAACTTGATTGAACTCAGCAACATTCCATGTCGATCTCAAGCATAGATGGAGAAACCGCCACACCCGACCGTCACGCTGTGCACGAGACTTACATAATCGCCACGAAGACCACGGGCAAGACGAATGCACGCAAGACCGTTGTGAAACTCGGCCGGATCAATGTGATCAGCAGGTTTTTGACGATCAACGTCCACACCTGCTGGAGCAAACGACTTCTCATGGTGATCGACACTTTCGCAAAGGTACTATCAGAGGGGGTGAAAACCGAACGGGGAGGGGGGAGCTTCACCTGGCCTGTATTTGAATTTCTTATTCCGAGTCAACCTGCCAGCGTTCGTTTTCGTGTTTCTGGCTTTGCGACCTTGGGTCGTGGGACTCGGGGCTGTGAATGGACCAAAACTGGTTTAGCGCTCAGTGGCATCCTTCTTGGACCTCGTCACCATCAGCCTCGGCGCGTTCGCTTGCAAGGCTCTGTTATGCCTCGATGGGGATTTGTTGGCAAGATTCATGTATTCCATGTATGAGAGTGACGGCCTATAATGAGACCTGGACACCACCTCAATCTCTTGGCTAATTTCTGCTATGTTCGTCGACCACAAAGCATGCCTCTCATCTGATGGCCCTGCGGCTCGCCGGATGGATGTCTTTGCTGCACGGATCGCCTCTCCAGAAATGACTCGCTCGATCAGAAAGACGCGAGTCATTTGGTCTTATCAGGCCTGCTTCAATCTATTTCACTTAGTCTTGGCTCCTAGAGTTGATTGCCCCCCCCCCCCCCCCCCCCCCCCGCCAAGCCATATGGACGAAGTGTCTGTGTGAATGTTACACGCTCATGACCAGCCATCAGAGTACCCGGTTGTGATACGCTTGGTACTTCGGTCTCTCCAGACAATGAGATGCATGAAATCTCAGCATGCAACACCTACCAGGTAACTACGGGTTCTGGAAACCTTGTCAACAGCCAGATCTGTGGCTGGTGAACAACAGAGATCGACCGATCCTTACGATCGATCGGCGTCTTCGGGTCGCGGAATGTTTTCCTTAACTCGGCCATCCAATATTTCATCAGATACAGTTTCCATGCAGCCCGTATAGTTGTCAACCGAAACAACCTTCCAGAAATACTCCCCATTTGCGGATTTTACCCTCCCACGTTCTGATGTGCAGCGTATACCGTACTCGTTATATATATGCCATAAACTCTAAGATACACCAAGTGCTTAGTGCTGGAAATAGAAATGTCAGACCCTATACGGCTGCGCTGCTGCAGAAACACTACATACCTTATCTCGTTGCATGTCCTTACATCTGAGAATGGACTGCCCGTCGCTTACAAGTTTGTCTTCTGGAACCAGGCCTGAAGGGAGCAATGAGGATGTGAGATCAGTACTGTATAGTAGTCGCCAGAGGGAGGTGGCTGGCGTGAACATGATGTGCTTCATCTTCTAAGGTCTCGAAGCTATTAATTTACATATCGGGGGCATCCCGACCCTATGGTTGAATTGAGTGCTTCTATAACACGAGCGTCTCACGAATTTCCGATTGTCTACAGCTACAGAGGTAGTAGGTGCAGCTGTAGAATGTGTGAGAGGGATGAGAGAGATCCTATCTAGGCTGTGGACTGCGGTGAGACGGCAGTATCACATGCCATACGAACAATCTCCTAATGGATGTTCTTTCTAGTGTCTAGTCTCTATTGTCTACTGTGTCAATTCTACTGCAGAAGCAGCAAAAATGCATTCGAGGGTTCAAGATATCTAGAAAGCCTTCTGTAGGCGCGGGATTGTCCACTCAAGCCAAGGAGAGTTCTGAAGCGTACTATGAGAATGCAAACATTCGGCCCCGTTCTTCTTCTATAAAACTCCTGATTAGAATTCTAGTCAAAGAAATCTACTACTATACTCAGAGATTCAATGACAGATATAAGGTTGTTGAGTTCGATGAGTATCTATGTTGAGTAGACAGGAAGAGAAGGAAGGTCGTCATTGTGGCAAATGCATCTGTTGCACCCTCTTCAACGTAGACTAACATCTATGCTTATCAACCTTTCACAACACATCAAACTACTATTGGGTTGGTTTATTTCACAATAAATACAAATGCACAACACGGTATTATTGTCTTCAACATCTTGCCCTAAATTTCCGGGTCTATAGACAGTAGACAACCGCTGTCTTGAGTTCTTGACATCTATTTTCCATCAATTGTAGCCGTGCCGTCCTAACAGTGATACCCACCTGCCCGTTGTACAGTGTTGGGTGTTCGCAGATTGTTTCGATGACGACCAGGCGCCCGATTTAACAAGCTGGATCGATACATATACATTCAGAGTAGTACCAGATAAATTTTGGACCGTTATAGAGAGTCTTCGATACTGGAAAGCGTCCTTTCTCGTTCCGTCCACGAGTTCCCAAGGCTGTCTGATTTTTCGGAGTATGGGACAAGAAGGGTAGACTCACATCAACCAAAATGTGTCGACACGATAAAGTGGACCAGTGTTATAGAGTAAAGTATCTCGATTCGTACACCCTACACAGTACTCACCCATTGAAGCCCGAAGCTCTGAAAGTTGCAAAGTGGCGTTGGATCGAAGGCCAATAGCCAAACGACTTGTGAACTATAAATTGTTCAGCCATAAAAAGATAGCCAGAACAGTCGACATTCGACTTCAACGTGTCATTTTAGATCATCTGCAGCAAGCTCTAACGGCCTTGGAAGAAGCTCAACCCACTAAGCCGGCACCGCTGTCCCGCTGTGGGTTTAGCACAGGACAAGCTGGTTGCTGATGAGAACTGCAACGTGCTGTCGTGAATGCAGCCAAGGAGAAAGCATTGCCCCGGTCAATTCTTGTGACGGGGACCGATCAGGTTCATAAGTCTTCTCACCGCAAGGTAATAATACACACCATCGTCTGAAGAGTGAAGAGCAGTTGAACTCAGCACCCGGCTGGTCAGCCAGTTGCCCGTTCAAGGCAAGGTCTCGTAATGGTTCCCTTCCACAAATCGCCAGGCATTGAACAAACTTCAACGGCTAGCTGCCCGGCTGATTACGGTATGAGGTTGATAGCCAGGTGATGTATCGGAAAAGCGAAATATGCGACAGTTCGGCCCTTCGAGGGACCGACTTCCGAAGTGGTGAAACCAGCGCAATATATCGGGTATGTTCTAGCTTTCTCACAGCTGCAAGGCTGTGAAGCTGCCACTCCTGACGATCTCAGGCCCGGTCAAGGCGAGCAAACTTCACTTCCGGACGAATCGGTCTGATCAAAAGCCGAGCGATGCGTGTCAAGTTCCGCTTACGTGAACGAGGTCAATGCCGCCGGCGGGCAAGATGAGATCAGTGGGGTACTCTGGTCCCGGGGGTACACGCCTGATGCGTTCAGTTGTCTGCCAGTCAATCAATGCGGGTCAAGTGTAGTCCAAATGGGGCAAAAACGGCTGGATCGTCCTTCACTTGCCTGGGCCTCTCCATCCGGCCACGGGCCTTACGGACAACGCTAGTCGTCGCTGTAATCATATGGGATTGGTATGCGAGAGAAGGCGGGTCTGTCAATGATCCCATGCGACCAATATGCTTGAGGGGAAAACGAGATGCACTACTAGTGTTATAGCATGAATACCAGATAGGTTTGACGCATGAATATATAACCTTGCGAATCACGCCATCTTTCCTCCAACTCTCCTCATCCTTCAGTCGTCATATTGGGCCGTAGTTGACTCGACTACACACTTTCGCCTGACATCTCTCCCGCCGACCCGGCAAAACCAAGCGCGATGGGCTCCATCGGATCGGCCCTTCCCACCCAAGCTTCCAACGCCCTCTTCCCGGCGACGCCACCGAAACGGCTGCTCCTGTTGAGCGTGCCCCGCACCGCATCCAACTTGTTTGTCAAGGTCTTGAATCCAGGTGCACAGCCTGCTTTGAAAACCAATGCTTTCAGCGGCTACTTCTTCTACCCGGTGCTCAGCACGGCGGCGTTGGAGGGCCTGACATCCAAGGAAGCGAAGGACTGGACTCCCCAGGAGAGACAGAGGTATCTTAGTCTGTGCCAGGAAAGCTTCGACAATCTCGAAGGTCTCTCCCAAGAGGCCACGAAAGAAAACAAAAGCATCTTCACAAAGGAACATCTGACCTGGCTGATTGACCCGGCAATGCTCTACACGTCGCAAACGGCCCCAGTGAGGTTGGAAACCCCAATGCGCATCAACGTCGCCGAAGAGTATAGTTCATCACGAACATATACCCAGCCCTCCATTTTTCCTGACGAGTATCTCCGGACTTGGCAGTTCGCTTTCACTATTCGTCATCCTGCTTTGGCATGGCCTTCTTTATACCGGGCAATCAAGAGAGCAGGAGAAGAAGGGGGCTTCGTAGACGAGGATGGAGCACGAGGTGCATCCCTCGGCAACATGACTTTTGCCTGGACTCGCACAATGTACGACTGGTGCGTCGCGCAGCCTGACGTACCCACTCCCCCATCATTGATGCCCACGACTTGATCCATACGCCGGAAGTTGCACTCAAGTTCTGCGATCAGACCGGGCTCGACAAGACGTGCCTGCAATTCGAATGGAGCAAGGACGGCAAGAAAAAGTCGGACCACTGGGGTGATCTTGATAAGAATCGTCCAGATCGAACGGATGCCCACCGACAAGCTGCCAATATCTTGCTCGGGACGTTGGAGGCCTCCACTGGTTTGATGAAGGACAGAACGCCGGCACATGTTGATATTGAGGCCGAGCACGCTAAGTGGGAGGTCGAGTTTGGCAAAGAGATGGCCGGGCTCATCGAAAACGCCGTCCGAAACTCTATGGGAGACTATGAATATCTTAGAGCTCACCGTATGCAGGCTTAAAGACGGTCGCTGATCAAACCTGAAGTTTGGAATGACTTCAACACACACTATCATGACCCGTATTTTGTCATTCAATCGATTTTCGTTGGCAATGGAAAACCCTGTCCCCTCTCGAGAACACAACACAGACCTTGCAATTATCGATTCTGTTTCAAAATAGCTCCATACTGAGATGACAGCGAATGTAGAATGATAAGTATGAAAACGTCGCGTCTCTGCGATCCCGTTTGGTCCTAGAGACAGAGGCAGATTCGATTGAAGAAGACCGCCTTCAGCTCGATATTCAACCCCATCTGCTAAGATGCCCGTCCCTCTCGAGATTTTGTTCTTCATCTCATTCATTTCGTGGGTATTGATTCGAAGGCTGTCTTCTCCTTAGCAGCTCGGCCAGAGAACGGTTTCCACACCAATGCCGTTGCCCGTGTTCCAATTAGCCGTCGGTGGCGCTCGGTTGCAGCGAGACGGACGCGACATGGATGAACACGGTATACACTCAATCAATGTCAATCAATGTCAATCAATGTCAATCAATGTCAATCAATGAATAGAGAAAAATGCTTGTTGGTAGCTGGCAAATATAGACAAATAATAATACAACCGGGACATGCTTCGTCTACCGTTTCGACACCTCGTAGATTCACTTCCTGCTACCAGCACCCATGAAAGCCTTCTTTTGGCGGACGTAGGCGTTGGCAATGTTCTCCACACTGCGGCGATCGTGCTTACGAGACCTGAATCAAATAGATATATTAGCAAAATGAAGACATCTGAGGCGCCGATCCCGAAGGACGTGATGAGAAATTCCACATACCGCATGTAGTATAATCTTGCGCGGCGGATCTTGCGCTGTGCTCGCTGGACAATCTCGACACTCTGAATGTTCGGGTTGAACACCTTCACTGACATCTCGACAGCGACGCGAGTGAGCTCGTTACGGAGCAAGAAGGACGTGTCGATGCCGCGGAGCTTGATGCTCAGAACCACGCCGTTGAAGGGATCGCCATTCTTAAATGTGACTCGGACAATGTCACCGGGCCTCACACTGCGCGGATTCCGACGGTAATCAAAGAGAGCCTTGCGCTCACCCTTGGGATCGAGAGTCTCCAATTGCGACTCGGTGACCTTGGCGACGGGATCTTTGCATGCTTTGCGAGCGGAGGGTGGAGGGTTGAAGACTTTGATGGGTTTGGGGGCTAAATAAGAACGAAGAGAAATCGGTCAGTTGAAATTCCAGAAACATCAAACTATATCACCAGACATACTATTTTCCGGACGCATGCGAGTCGGTAATTGGGAGAGGAACTGCTCGGGGACGCCTTGGGGAAGAGGCACGCGCTTGGGACGCTGTGAGTAGACCGTTGAGAGACAACGGCGAGTGATCTGAGACTGGATCATATCTGGAGCCTTCCATAGCGACCGTAAGCAGCCCAGTGGCCGCATCGTAGAGAGGGACGCCATTATCGTGATGGTATGATAATTGGGGATTCGGAAGTCCGAGTCGAGTTTTGGATGGAGGGCTCCGGACTGGCAGAATTTCTGCCAAGTCCCGATTTTGTTCGGCGACGCCCTTCTCCGCCTCGTCTTTCTTTTCGTGGTTAAGCCGTCGGTTCGCCAGAACCACATAGCTGTGTCGTCTGAAGCTTCTTTTTTTCGTCATTGGAAGGTGTCCATTTTTGATACTCTGATCGTATCAAACACGCAATGGCACGATTCGTAATGGGCAGCTTTGCCCGCTGGTCGAGCAGTGTCCGTCACTCTATGGTCTCTCAATCACGGAGCTATGCATCAAAATCAGGTAATTCGAATCTGCAATACAGAAGAGGCTCACTATGCTAAGACATGCGCAATGCAACAGCGATCCCCAGTTTCTCTGAAACTTCATCTTCCCAACTCGATCAGCTTCTCCATCGATTCCGTCAAGACCGCTTCATCCCAGCAGGACTCCCCAATCAACAACGCCGCAACATGTTCAAGGAGAAACACAAGCAGCGACTCGAGGACGAGCCCGTCTCCGTCGCAATTAACGAGAACGAAGATTACACCTTGCGACCCATGTCAGTCGGCGAACTACCCACGAAGAAGGACGCCTATGAAGTGTTGCGACTCATCGCTGCGAATAATGAATGGAAGGCACTCTTGCCCTTCCTGAGTGGTCTATACATGTCTCATTTCCGCCTGAACCCCAATCGCTTCGCACAGCTTGTACGCAAGGCTAGCGAGGCTGGCAAGCTTTCCATCATCATGGAGTGTGTTCGTCAGGCTCACCGCACTGGGTTCCACCTCCGTGATCTGACGGTTGTCGAGCGTCTCTTCTACGATATCCATGTCCTTGCGCACAGCGCAGATTTCCAGGGACCCGCACTCAACAAGGCTCTCAATCTGGCCAAACAAGCCGTCGATCTGATGGATCAGGACACTTCTTCACAACAATCAGCCTTGAATACCAAAAACCCCAAAACTCAGCCGTCTGTGATCGGTACCCTTCTCGAACTCACTGCTGCCCGGGCTATCAACGAGTTTGGCGGCAAAGATCAGGCGAACGAGGTTCTTGGATACGCGCGCAAGCTGATCGCTGCCCGTCCCTTATACCAGGAGCAGAAAGCCCTGGCAGCTCAGAGCGGCGCTGCTACGGAGCGTGCTCAGCAGATTTTGCCCGTCTACAATGGATTACGGCTTTCCATCTCTATTCACGGCTTGGCCTTGGATAAGGCTCTTCACGACCTTGTGACGGCCTTCCAGGAGGAGGCCAAGATTGAGCTCGAGAGTATTGTCGACAAAATCGACAAGCCCCAGGTTCAGAATCTGGTGCAGTCAGTCCTGCAGGCGTGAAAATCTATGTGAAGACGAGCATATCTAGCACATGTACATTATCTTGATTCCTTTTTCTACACCGGAGCCTGCGTTTTCAATTACCGCCTGGAGGTCCTATTTACAGTCGAATACGATTTGACAAGCCTTGGTTGCTTCATTCAAAAGTATTCTTCAGAATTATTCTTCATTTTACTATGTATGGCCTACCTTGGCAGAACTTGTAGGCACAGCATCAGCGCCATGCCCGGGCCAAATTCTTCGCCGGAGGATTTTTATGACTTTGAGTATACTCAAACATTCAGTGTCAAGGTATTGTCGATACCGATGCGTCCGCGGAAAGGAAGCTTGACCTTCTCATTCACAACAGCAGGTCCGGAGACAAGGATCTAGTGTCCTCCGTCATTAGAGAGATGACCAACAGGATTTAGTTCAATTAAGATGACTTACCTCCCCCTGGGGGTTGTCGTCGGAGTTTCCGTCCTCGGCAACGCCAATCAGCGTGATTTCGGTGCTACTGAGAGGTGCACCAAAGTGGCTCCATCCGCCGAGATTACGATAATCAAACACGTTGGTCTGGGTAATGGCACCAGCAATACCAGGACCAGTCAACGCGTAGACCACGCGCGCATTCATGTAGATGCGTAGATCGGTCATCTGTTCTGTCGTCAAGCGAGTCGCGGGATCTGCATCGACTCGGTGTGAGATGCACAGAAGACGAAGCTTTCCCAAAGAAAGCTCTGCAGTTGGTGCGATGTGGGTAAGTTGATTAAGGAAGCTGTTGGATGGCATGTTGCCTGCATCCAATGTGCGAGCTTGCAACCATCGACCAAGAGATGTAATGAAACCAGCGCGGGGTGCCATCACACGATCGTGGTACTCCGACATAGTCCTCGAGGACGCAATGATCACTGTAGGAGAAACACCTTTGGTCGCAAGGGCGAAATCGACATTTTCCCCAGCGACTGAGTTGAGAGCAATCGAGGCGTTGGAATATAGGGCATTGAAAATTTGACAAAGGGGATATGATCGGGACAAAGAATCAATAGAGAGAACAAGGTCAGACGCATTGACCCGTTGGTTTCGAGGAAGCGCCGACCCGAGAGCCCCAATGGCCGCCACGAGGTTCTATGTAGAAAGTTAGATCACTTCGAGATGCGACAGGACGTATCGAGTATACCTCTTGTGTGAAGTTGATGAACTCGCCGGTTTCAGATTCAAAGGCCCACACGGTGCTGAGGCCCGGTGCTGGGATTGCAGGATCATATTCGGGAACTTCGAAGCCAGCAATGTCTTTGCCTTCTTCGACCAGCTCATGCCAAACGGCAACGTCAAGCGAGGTCTCGACATCCTTAGGAACCTGATGCCAGTCCATGTGTTGATTGCCAAGATGAGCAACCCAAAGGACGGCAGACAATTGCTTGTTATTCCTCGTAACAAATGTTAAGTCAAGTGAGCCAGCCTCCGCAATTAAAGCATCGGCTTGGTTCTTTTGTAGCTGGGCTGAAAGAGTCGCGGCGGGCAAGCCATGAGGAACCAAGACAACTCGGAATCCAAAGAAAGACCCAGCTAACAGGACCAGAAACTTAGAGTATTAGTTATATGTCCACAACGACTAAGAGACAGAAAGAGACACTCACCAAAGATCGAAGCAAGGTGTTCAATAGAATCAGTGAGGCAGACCGCAACCGTCTTGACCCCGGCTTTCTGAAAGTGACGACCGATTACGTTGATCTCTTGGGTGACCTGCCCTAGAGTGTGCTCTACGGCTCTCTTCCCAAGAACCGTATAGATTTTGCCTTGTTTTCCGGAGGTAGTACCATCTTCGTTCAGTGCCCCACGGACCGCAGTTCTCCAGATATCACGCAGATCACCGCGACGGCCAGCTGTCCATTTCGGAGTACCAGGGTCTTTGACACCCAATCCTTGACGGAGGGGATAACCATACGGTGTTTCGAGACCGCGAAACGTAGCTGATTCACCGGCTTGACGAATCGGAGAGCCGGTCGATTGACGAGCGAGCAAGAACGGGTGGACATCCGGATCCTTAATTGACACGACAGAATAAATGCCAAAGAGAACAAGCGCCGCAGCGATGACCGAGGTGAAAATACTCCATTCTGCAAGCAGGCCTTCAATTGCTGCGTCTACCCTCTCCAAGACAGAGAGCTCACCAGCCATCGTGGGCAGTACAGACTGCAGATAGGTCTGCTCTTAGTCAACGAGAAGGCCCGTCGAGGGTGAGCAGAACCAAGCTGCAATTAATTATGAAAGAACGAGCCAATGACAGCTCGACAAGTGCTGAATGGAATGATGCTTGAGTTTGTTGTTGTGTGAGACGATGGTCTCGAGATCCTCAATCGACCGAAGCGTGAGCGGCGGGTCCGTCAGCTGTCATCAACCGGGTGTAATCCGTTCCAGAATCCAGATAAGCCGATAACATTTGAGGGGCTCGGCAAGCTGGCGCAAGCTATGCAAGAAGCGGCGGCACGGGTTATCGTATAACCGGCGGTTAGTCTGGACGCGCGCGGCAGCGGCTGTTTCTTCACGAGGTCCCTAGCGACCATCAACACTACCAGAGTTCAGTGTTTATGAAGGCCTCTGAGAGATCAGTCTCCCTCATTGCAATGTTTTACTAATCTTTAGCTACCGCCGCACCACAGAAGAAAGAAAGGTAGATTTTCAATTAAGTACGACAGATCTGGTAATGTAAGTTCTTTATTCGATTCCCTCTACACGCCGCGTCACGAAGTCGTCGGGTTAACCATCGGACTCAGCTGCGTTTCTTGCGCCGCGAAATCTTGTGTCCCAGCAACTTCAAGTCACTCTCGATCATACGGCGACTCAATGGCTACGCAATCACTCCCATCCACACCCAGGGCCGGACCCTTTTCCGCGCCTGCATCTACACCTGCGTCGGAGGGAGGTACGCCAGGGAAATGGCGTCACCCCCAATTGAGCGAGGTTGTGCGCCGCCAAAATGCTGCAAGCTTTAGTGACAAGAACTTTCGAAGCGTGCTCTGGAATGGATCGACTCTTGTTTGTACCTGGATTTTCGGCGGGGCCTACAAATCTTAGTATGCCAAATCAACTGGGTCCCTGGATGAGCTTAAGCTAATAGCTGTCCCAGTGCGCGGCGTATTTTCGACAGCAAACCTGCTTGTTACGAGTTTCCCTTGTTCATCTTTCAAGCTTTGCTGCTCTTCAATATTCTTCTGGCGCTTTATCCTCTCTTCAAGCCAAAGGACGACCTTGCCGATATCCCACTGACTCCGACACAACGTGCGCTTCTGGGCCTTGACCCTGGCCTAGCACCCCCAGCTACGCCAGGGACTACATATGTCACCCCTCCTCGGTATCGCCTATCCACTTCCCGAAAAGCCAGCCCTCTCAGCGCTAGCCGGCAAAGCGGCTCTCCAGTATCTTCGGCTTCCACCCTCAACGAGCGACGCGGCTCTTTCGGCACTTCTTTCTCGGCCGCATCTAGCCCTATTTTCGGTAAAACGGCGAACGCTGGAAGCTTGGATTCTAGTCACAGGCTGAGTGTGGGTTCTTCATCGCCTTTGGCCCGAAGCAATTCGTTTGGTGAATCCACGATGTCCAATGTGTCTAGCATGTCTGCTATGTCTAGCATTGGACCAAGCACCCCTTCTCCGCTGGCCGGCAAACGCCGCAACCTCGGACTCAGTAACAAATGGCTATACGAGAGAAGTCGCAGGCTCTCTGCTAGCAACAGTACCCTGTGACGGCCAGTTAGTGTTCACTTTGATCATAGGCGGCGCGATTAGGAGTTTTGCATCTGGTTCTCCTGGCCTCGGCGTACAATTCCCTTTTTTAAATCCAATGTTCCATTTTTCATTCATCATGAAGTGCCATTACGAGGGTCACTCTCTCTTCGTAAAATGGCGGGCGGGTCCTCAGCACCAAGACGTAATGATCATTGCTCCTGTAATTCAATATTTGGAACGTCGACGAAAAGTGTCGTGAGCACGTAAAGCACAGTTCTGTAGTCTTGAATTGGTGGTAATGACCACTCCGCTGCAATGGGTTGTTCAGTCATAACAAGGGTGCCTGGCAGGTACACAGCTTGTTGATTTCCCCGAACTTTGTTTTCGCGACTCGGCAAGTTGAGAGGTACCGGGAAGCCAAGACTCCGCACTGACGACCAACATAACCACCATCATTCAAAGCGATCCATTCGCGCTCGATATTCTCGCTGCTCAGGAACATTTTCTTCCACATCTCTTCTTGATGAAGGCTTAGTTTGCAGGTCTTGTCACCTTGGCGATGGGAGCCTCAGAGTCAAAGCTTGTTTTCAAGCAGGGAATCTTTCGATTATCAGAGGAGAAAGAGATCCCCGCAGGCGATCCATACTGGACACGAGTAAGTCTCCTGGCCTTGGGGCACCTGCGATTGATTCTGTCTTCATAAACTGACTGATGAAATTCAGTTTTGGGAACTGCCTGAGTCCACCGAGGACGTGTTTGGATTGTTCACGCCGGCCGATATCCGCCGCACTCGCGACCATGCTTTCCCCAATTTCGAAACCCTCCTCCTATCAGTATCGTCGCGCTTGATCGTTTTGAAGAATCACCCTTCGTTTCCGGATCCTGACCTTGCCCCGGAGCGCGATGCGCTCAACTGCATACGAATACTGACTCGCCTCTTGCCGTTCGTTCACGAAGCAGAGCATTTGGAACAATGGGAAGAGAAGTTCTTTTGGGCAACGCGAAGGAAGAGGACCAGGCAGGCACAGATTGCAGGTGAGGTTCTCTTCGATGAGGCTCAGTCTGAGCAGGGGGATCTTCCCTCCAGGGGCGAGGAGTCCGTGGATGTCAAGCCTCTTGCGGAGGAGCTGATCGACACGCTGCTCGACCTTCTTTTCTTCGCGAATTTCACGATTCCGGTACTTCCGACGGCCAAGAGCAAAATCTCTTACTCGATTTGGCAGAGCGGCGTTGGCTGCAACACGACAATGGGTTCGAGCAAGGCTCTTGAGAGTAATCGTTGTGAGATCTTGCGGCTACTTTTAACAATGACGGGAAAGGCGATGTATCTGCCATCGAGTGAGTGTCTCCATTGGAAGTGTTGGAAAGGGTCACGCCTTGAAAAGGCCGCGCTGACCATATCAGACTCACTTCCTGTCCAAGGTGTAAGAGCTATGACCTACATTACAACTTGCCAGGACAAGCAGTCTGTCTTGACGTTGCTATGTTCTCTACTCAATACGGTTTGTTGTGCCTCTACATGGCCTGACTGAGCAGGTGCTGATATTTCGATAGGCTATGAAGTACAATCCGGCTGCGTGGCGAGTGCCCTACGATCATGTAGTCTGGAAAGATCCTCGCCAAATTCTTGTGATCTACTGCTTGCAGCTCCTTCTAGTTCTCCTTCTTTACCCAATTCCAGAGGATGGCCGCGGATCTCCACCCAAGAATTACTATCGTCATTATTATGGGAGGCTTCACAGACCTCAGGACTTTCAATTTCTCGTTGATGGGATGACGAGGATTCTAAATCAACCCGTGCGTGACATTCTTAGCAGTTCTTTTCGTCTTGACAGGCACTGACTGACCTCGTCACAGATGCAAGCAACGACCTCATATCTTCCTGGCAGTCAAAAATCAGTCAAATGGGCGCCGGAAATGCTTATACTCTTTTGGGAGACGCTCCAATGCAACAAGAGATTCCGATCTTTCATCATCGATTCAAATCGGTCGCACGACTTCCTGATACTGTGTGTATTCTATGCGATCGAATACAGGGCGGGGCCATCAAAGCAAGGAGTGGTCCGACTTTGCATTTTCATTCTTCAAACGATGAGTGCGGAGCCAAACTTTGGGAAGAGTCTAAACATGAAATTCGAAGCGCAAGAGACATTACCGCAGTCAATTCGATTGAGCAATTTCCGCGGAAGCTATGCGGATTACCTCTTCATGGTTTGTACTTTTCATGCATTCAAGTTTCAGGACGGATGTGCTAATTTTAAACAGTCGATCGAGACCCTCATGACGACCAGCAAAGGCAACCTCGACACTGTCTATCCTGCGCTGCTCACCATACTCACAAACATCGCCCCTCATATCAAGCATATTTCACCGAGTGCCTCCTCCAAGGTCATTCAGCTTTTCTCGGCAATGTCCGCGCCGAGTTTCTTGTTGGCCAATGAGACTAATCACACGCTTCTTGCGTCCCTGCTTGATTTCATCAACGCGGTTCTCGAGCACGGTTTCATCGGTGGGTTGCCCAATTTTTTTTTGCTCACATTGCTCCTCTGACTGACTTTCGGCGAAGACAACCCCTATCTTGTGTACGCAGTTCTCAAGCATAGACAGAAATTCGAAGCTGTTCGAGCTTTCACTCTCGAGGGCGGCCAACGAGAGATCGAGCGCCAGAGGGAGCAGCGCAAAGCCGGAGAGACCTCGAATGAGACATTGACTAGTCCCACCCACTCTCACAGCGGCGATGAGCTCTATGCGCCTTCGGGTGCGCGGTCTCCGTTGACTCGCATCCCTGAAGAGCATGGGGCGTTTGCCATTGGAGACGACGACTCTGAGGGCGAGGACACTGAAGATGGGGGCCAATGCACCCCGGCTCAGTCCTCGCCGTCGGCGCAAACGTCTCGCAGACCCTCTTTTGCCTCTACCACAGATGGGGCTGGATCACAAGTCCGGGGTATTTCCGAGAAGGCACGGGGTAAGATGCCAGCTGGACGGCCCTCGTTCTCGCGGCAGAACAGCATAAGCAGTCTAACAAGTGTTTCTGCTTTATTTTCTCCGCCGTATGCAGGGTTTAGTCCCACTGTTGCCTGGGTATGTATCCAAATAAGTAAAGAACCCCGTCTGAGAGGAACAAGCTAACTCCGATCCTTAGCTTGAGGCATGGTTACCGGATCTCCCTTTGCACACTGTTCTGAGTGTCATCTCTGCTATTGAACCCCACATTCCCGCTGCGGCTCTCCAAGCCACATCTAATCCGGAAGCTCGCACTCTGATCCACAACCTGCCCTCTTTTGCCGAGGAGCCCCAGATTGCAGCGATCATCGCAGACCCTACGCCAGTGCGTGAACAGTCCTTTGAGTGGTCGGCTCTTTCGATGGGTTGGTATGAATCCCTCCTTTGGGGATTTATCTTTTCGAGTGAAATGGTGGTGGGATCTGCTGCAGGTGGCACTCCAGGAAGTGTTGGTGTATGGAATGGAACTGCGATTCGTCTCTTCCGTGTACAAGAGACAGCCGCTCAAGGACCTACTTTACTCGCACCCAAGGGTGCCGTCGATGCCGTCGGCAGTAATCTTGTTCAGCGCATTGGCAACCTAAGCCTTCGGGGTCGCAATGCAATCTCTCAGGATACGCCAAGTGCCGCTCCCTCCAGGTCCAGAGAAGTCTAGGACTGGGCAACCATAGCACCCTCTTCTAGTGAATGGAATCAGTACCGGAGGGCTCGGATTCTCTTCGTGCGTTATTTCTTTTTTCTTTTGTATTGATACCTTGGAATGTTTGCTTAGCGTTGCCATTCAGACATCATACTCTTCAGCTTTCTGCATGCGATCCTTGGTATACCACATTTGTTTAGTTCTAGTATTTGTAACCACAGTTGCAGATTCAGTTGACTCTCCCTCAAACAATGTGGTGTTTTTTCAGTCTGGCTCAACCGAACAGCTGGAATAATAGCCGCAAACACGTGCTCGAGCCGCCTTCCGCCTCTCCCGGCTGAGGAATAAAGGGCGGAGCTACGTCACAAACGCAACGCCCGATACTCTTTCTCCTGCTTAATCTACATGTTATTTTGCCAGCGAGTTGCACATTCTTGATACAGCAGTATTTACTCATTATGCACTATTCCATTGCTTTACTACCGTCTTCCATGGTGGCACTTTTGTGCGGCACGACTTTCGCTGCTGGCCCAGCCCCTTCCGAGCTGCAGAGTATATTGAAGAATACCCATAACAGCAAGGATTATGGGTATCCCACTGATATCACCAGAGATCTACATCCGGTAACACAGTCAACAGACTTACTATGTCTTCACTATGTCAATCTCTTGGTAGCAAACAGCTAATGCCTGTTGCCCAGATCCCAGTTCATTCCCACAAGTAAAGATTTCTGTTCAATTATATAGCTACCCAGCGATCCTTGGTGGATATTTTTGTGTCCTCATCTAACGCCCCATCCAAGTGACTACTGGAGAGAACGACCCTTCTATACTGGTATGATAACTAGTCATTATTGTTACTTTCAACTTCAGGGAAATCTGTCCAGCTAACTCAAGCTTTGGCCAGGCCTCTCGAAAGGTTGCACATCGACGGAAGCTGATGTCTGGCTGTACAATGACACTCTTTATGTTCGTACTCATTCACATTCACGCCCACTGCGTTCGTTGAACTATCGCTGAATATGATTAGGTTGGACACGATCAATCCTCATTGACAAAAGAGCGAACGCTCCAGTCGCTCTACATTAACCCGATTCTGGACATTTTGGAAAGACAGAATCCGACGAGCCCATTTGTCACCGAGCCAACGCGAAAGTAAGGATTTCCGACGCTTCTCATCTCGGCAATAATTGACAGCCTCTCCAGTGGTGTGTGGGATACCACGCCAGATCAAACGCTATACTTTTTCATAGACCTCAAAACCTCCGGTCCTGAGACGTTCAAGGCCGTTGTCAAAGCTTTGGAGCCTTTGCGTCAAAAGGGCTACCTCACTACGCTACACGGAGGTCGGAATTTGACCAATGGGCCAGTGACTGTGATTGGAACTGGAAACACACCTTTGAATATGGTTGCACATGTCTCTGATCGTGACTATTTTTTTGATGCTCCTTTGCCAGCTCTGAATGATGCGGAATATTCCAACATCACCAAGTTCGTTTCTCCAATCGCGTCGACCGACTTTGCAGCAGCTGTTGGGCGAATTACATCAGATACGGATCCTGTTCTCAACAACAGCCAGGTTATGGTGCTTAGAGATCAGATTGCGCTCGCCCGGAGCCGTGGAATCGGTGCACGTTACTGGAATACACCCTCCTGGCCAGTGCGCACCCGGAATCTTGTCTGGAGAACCCTCTTGCGCGAGGGAGTCGCATTACTCAACGTCGATGATTTAGACGCTGTTCTTACGGAGTTCTAGTACTGCGCTCGACAATCAACGAGAGGTGTGCTTCTTAATTTAATCTGACGCGTCAGTGAATTTCTGTTGTGCGACACGCACTATCTATTGGGAGTATCCTATGAAGGCCTACTTCGCGGAAGGCTTTGTTGCAGATGCACGTTTGTAGAGACACATGAGGAACGCTGCAGCAGGCGCCATGCCATGGCATTCAGGTCGGAGAGCATGAGAAGTAGTTAGCCTGATCGGGTGCACGTACGGCATTTGTGTGGCGATTGTTTGGCTTCGACGAAATGGATATAGCGATTTGAGCAACGTTCATCATCACTGTTTATATGGCGCGCACATTTGATGAACTCGCCGCCAAGTGTGTGACCACATCTGTATCGGACTTGAAGCTGAGTGCACTTGTTTGGCATATCGTTCTCTGGATGTCGGGCGGACGATCTTGTGTCAGCGCGTTTGTCAACCATCTCCATCTTCAAGCTCTTGCAATATTTTTGACGACTTACTGTCCCAGCGAAAGCGCGACTCATCCCATTTGTCATAGACGCCATAAAACTTCTCATATCTGGCTTCCTTGTCGTAAGACATTTTGAAGCCTTTTGAGGTCGTATCATCCGCACTTGGCGACGGAATATGAATGGAGGGTTCACGGTCACACTTTCGAGCTGATGTGAATCGAGTCCAGTCTCAAAGCGTTAGAAAAATTCATTAAGTCCTGAATATCTCGTGTATTCCCAAAGACGGGACATGATGTTTTTCGGTGAGAGATCTGAAGGCGAAAGAATGTTTAATTTTGGAAGAAGAAGGTGGGTGGTGAGCGCGCCTGCTAGATCATAAGTTGGGGTGAGCATCCCAAGCATACAAACAACGTCCAATTCGTTGTTCTTCCTGCAATGACCTGACTTAAGCCTTACTAAGTCGATTCGTCTATTTAATCTACTAGAATACATTTGATGCTTTCGAAAGCTTCATCAGATTGATGTTGATCATGCGTATGCTATACCAATATCCTCATTCTGAGTAGCCCGCTGCTAGTACCAAATCAACATAGTCTTCGGAGATAAGTCACAGAAGCTGCGTCACAGTTATGACAAGATTGAAAGGAATGAAAACTATTGTATCTGGAATTTTGTCTTTCTCCGGCATACCTCATCAGCTTGGCTGCATAACACAAAATGATATCGCTACAGACTGTATGTGGAATCGGCACGTGACCGTGAAATATAGGTGAAAGGTGAACAGTAGAATGTTAACAGCGCCGTCGACAACAGTGTGCAGGAGGTGCTCTCACCGTTCAACAATATCCTAATTTTATGAACCCGAGAGCGCATCATGCCTTGCCTGGGAGAACTTGCTGACCTTCTGGCTTCAGTGCTTCCAGCCAGTGTTGAGCTAATTGTCCGTCACGTCTCCTCCACACCAGCCCCTTCGCAAGACCTTTTCGCTGCTGCACCTGGACATGACCCGGAACCGACCTTTTGCGAGAACCATTTCCTGTCGGTCTCCATTGAGTCACAACAGCATGAAGGTGCAGAGATTATCATCTTTGGTATGGAGGTCCTGGTGTTCAATACGGCCCACCTCACGACGATCTTTGTCTCCAAGGCCGACTCCACCGGCCTGCTTCATCTCTTAGACATGAAAGAGAGGGTTTCTGTGTTAAGGTTGATTACTAGCACCTTCTTGTCGTTCCTGGTCAAATCTCATCTCAGACCAGGAGTGCGGCTTGTAGTGTCACTTTTTGCTCGGGCTCAAGATCAATATCTATTTCCTGGCAGCATTGATAACGCCGAGAAACACGTCCTCGACGATCGCGGCTTGATCAAATGGTGGTGCCGTGCGCTAGATCCTATCATCCGGGAACACGGAGCTGAGTCAGTGTCTGAAGGGTCGCAAGTCAAAGTCTCCGCTGAAGCAGCTAAAGCCTCCGCAACAGCGTATCTGATTGTGCCGGGATGCGACCGCTTCGAAACGCGCAGCTTCTTTCCAGTGTCGGCCAGGTCCGACCCTACGAATCAGCCGCGATGGCTCGCCAGCTATCCTCTCCAGCAACTATGTCGCGATCCAGCCGCGCCACCACGCTGTCTTGTACCGCGGTTCCCTGATGATCCAAAGACACGTTTTTTGATAGACCTTGATGATGAGCTGCCGGAGTCTGAAGACGGTGAAGCTCCATCATCCGGCTCTGGGCATTGGAAGAGCGTCAAATCCATTGACCAATTCTGGGAATTGATGGCGTTCCGGCAAGAGTGCTCAGCGGGCCGGCTGGTCGGTTTTCTTTGGCTGGTTGTCAACCCTCCGGGTCTCTTGAACACTACAACAATGGCCAGTCGAGCCGGACAGGGGCCAAGTGTGAGCCAAGACGCCAAGAGCAAGCATGTCGATGACAACGGAGTGTCTGCTGAGAACGCGTCTCTGGAGAGTGACCATGGAACGCATGTTGCGCACGGTACAAAACCGCCAACAAACAAAGCTGAGGACAGCGCCGAAAATAGCCTCGATAGAGAAGTCCCTCATGCTACCACCGCCGTGCTGCCGGAGAAGGCCACGCTTTCGTCATCCACAGGGAAGGTCCCCTTCCATTGGCCTGAATCTGGTCGTGGAGAGGTCGTGCTGCAGGAAGCAGATTACAAGAAAATGATGGATGGGGTACTGGATCAATTCTATGATTTCGGTGAGGTCGCCGCAAGCACTCAGTTTTACATTGACCAAGTGGCCTCACTTGCAGATCAATTGACCTGGGGCAAACGAATCACGGGAACGTGTAGTCCACAAGATGCTAGCCAGAAATTCGAGGTCGCGAACAATCTCCTTAGTGGCGACTTGCTACGCAAGAGGAAGAAGCCATCGCAAGCGAAGGATGAAAAGGACATCGATCAGGCGGCAGTTACAGAAAAGCAAGAGTCCAAAGTGGCCAGCTCGACAGCCGAGCAGCCAGCTGCTGTGAATGTCCTCGGCGCTGGTCTGATACGGAAGAAAAAGAAGACATAATCATGACCTTCACATTCAATTATTCAAGTCGGACCCATCAGCATCGGCGTTTTGTTATCATGAAGGAGTTCCATTTGCAGAGGCGACAAAAACCGATATCCACCCGACGGTCTCAATTGTCTACTATTATTTTAGTCTGATTCGATGCAACATTTCTGTCTAAATATGAAGCTGAGCGCAGTCCACAGTTCAAGTTTTCCATGTCGAGTCTTGACCTTGAAGCCTGCATGCCCTCCCAATCAGCAGACTTCTTCTACCGCAAGGATGAATGTGCCATGAGCGCTAGAATCTGACATGTTTGCATTGACGTGCATCACGTTTCATGACTCGTGCTTCAATGCCATATACCTATTCCCGCAAGACTGCAATGATTTTTCTTCCAGAATGTATTTTTAAAAGTCTCGAACTTCACTCCTACGACGACCCACTTGTATGCCACCTGCAGCGAGGCTGACCATTGGCTCCCACATCCGTGGCCGGATGGTTAATTGGATCAGCTCCACGTGTGTTGGTCTCACATAACAATAAGAATCTCGTGGACAACTGTCCCACAGGCTTGTTTGACGTCTTGCACGACTCCACCTCTTTCAACTCTTCTGAACCCTGCAGACTCTCACGTCACCCTAGAATGCTCTCTGTCATCGCCGCCATTGGTCCTCGTTCCTTTCCAGTCTCATGCTAAAGACGAACTTCAAGTCACTCGAAGTGCCCACCGGCAATGGCACGATACCCTTCTCCGTTGCCGTGGGCTGGGTCGGCTTGGTCTGGTGGCTGACCGTGTCGAGCGTGTGCGGTCTCGGATATCTCCAGATGTAAGCCATTATCCCACCTGAGGGGACTTGGAGATATTCCTGTGGTGCCGTGTTGCGCGCACCCCGCGCGCAAACGCACCTACCAAGGGTTCTCCCCTGATTGCCGTCAAGCTTGCGCCGAATGAAATGCTGACTTCCTGTGCTATCAGCTGGCGATACTTCCTGCGACGACCCAAAGAGTCAATCTTAGCCCACGATCGCAATGCCCCCCACGTCACTGCCATTCGCCCCGTCAAGGGTCTCGAGCCTAATCTCTACGACTGCCTCGCTGCGACATTCCAACAGGATTACCCGCGCGACAAACTGACTGTCTGTCTTTGTGTGGCTACTCGCGACGATCCGGCTTATCCAACACTTTGCCAATTGCTACGTGATTTCCCGGAAGTGGAAGCGCAGGTCTTTATCGAAGAGGAGGACCCCTTATTGCGGAGTGACGGTCCGGGGACGTACGAACTGGGACCGAACCCGAAGATTCGCAATATGAGTCGCGCATACCGAGAAGCCAAAGGTGATATCGTCTGGATCATTGATTGCAATGTGTGGGTTGGAAAGGGGGTCTGTGGGCGGATGGTCGACCGTCTTTGCGGTACAGGCGCCACTTCGAGTAAAAAATACAAGTTCGTGCATCATCTACCGGTCGTGGTAGATGTCACGGGCGAGATTGGCTCGGGCGGCGAGAGACAAGCACACCTGAATGGCACTTTGAATGAGACTTTACGCTCGGGCGTTGTTGGTGCAACGTCGACAATGAGGCGGCCGGAGGACGGCTGGACAAGCATGGTGGAGACAGGCGGCGGTCGCCTGGAAGAGCTGTTCCTTTCATCGTCCCACGCGAAGATGTACACGGCTATCAATACCGTCTTGATTGCCCCATGCATTGTGGGAAAGTCCAACATGTTCCGTCGCTCGCATCTTGACTACTTGACAGCGCCGGTCCCGGGAGACCGGTACAAGCGACATCCAGGGGTCGACTACTTCTCGGACAACATCTGTGAAGATCACCTTATTGGAGACCTCCTCTGGCGTCAACAGGTGCGAGAAGAACGGGAGCTCGGCGAGCGTTGGGGCAAGCATGCCATGGTGTTTGGAGACCTCGCAATCCAGCCTGTAGCAAACATGAGCGTACAAGGGTACGTCGCCCGGCGGATCAGATGGCTACGGGTGCGCAAGTTCACGGTGCTCCTTGCTACGCTCGTTGAGCCTGGCACTGAGTCGCTTTTGTGTACGCTTTACGGCGCTTGGGGAATTACAACTGCACTAGCGCCATATCTCGTGCGGAACGGGTATCACTTTGCCTCCCTTCTGAGCACGTGGACTGCGTTTTTCGGTGTCTTTGCACTCGGTATCGCTCTTTGGATCGTGACCGATTGGACTCTGTATATCAATCTGCATTCTTCTCAGGCTATTGAGGTTGACGATGACACCCCCGTCTTCGCTCGGCCTTGCCGACGGCCCTCGCAAGCCACTCGACGGCCATTCCTTCAATGGCTTGTTGCCTGGCTTGGTCGTGAGCTTCTGGCTTTGCCTATCTGGATCATCGCTGTTTATGGCGGGGTCACGGTCGTGTGGCGAGAGCGACGTTTCAAAGTTGGATTTGACGCCAGGGTTCGTGAGATTCGCGAGGATCAGCCCAACCGAGCCAGCTCGTCGCGAGGATCGCCCTCCCTGGGGTCCGTCGTTGGATGGCTGCCTACGGCGTCGCGGACTAATGGTAGCGCGATGGGCAAAGCTCGTCGTGATTGACCATCATGAGATGGCGGTCCGGCGGATGCAAGCACACGCTGTAAATATCTTTAGCTTTATATACAATACCAAAATAAATTCATAAAGTTGCCGTCCTTCTCGCGCGCTTTATTGGGCTAGTCAAGAGGATTGGGAGTCAATAAAAACTGAAACGTATCATTTGGTGAGCATTTTGTACTTTTTCATCTATCCGTGAAATTATGCCTTAGTAACTTTCACACTTTATCGTCCGCCCCCCTCCCGGGTCCATGAGGTTTTTTTTGGCTCTTTCCCAATCACGAGGACTTTTCAGCCTCAGTAGCGCTGCTTTCCAGCCCAGCCGCCTTCTCCGAGCTCAACAACCACTCAACAACCTGTCTGCCAGCAGACATCTCACCAGCATCGGCCTGTTGCTGTTGACCCTGCTCCTCCTCGCCAATGGTCATCTCAATCTCCTGAGGCTCGTCAGCATTCTCAGCAGCCTCACCATCCTCCTCGGCACCAGCAGACCAGGCCGCACGCTCGGCAAGGAACATGGCATCGTGACCAGCGTCATTCTTGAGAGCAACGTCGGCACCAGCCTCGACAAGAGCCTTGACGCATTCCAGGTGCGTGTTCAGCGCAGCCCAGTGAAGGGGCGTGTTGCCTGAATGATTGGGGTGGTTGACAAAGGCTGTGCGCTGGGCAGCGTCCAGAGGGGACAGCTTCTGGAGCAGAGCGTTGAGGATTTCTACTTCTCGTCAGTCTGGTGGAGTTCATACAGGAGGGCTTGGAAAGCAGAACCGCAAGTTTGTGTTTGGCATAGAGCGTTTACGTACCGCTGTTTCCATTGGCAGCAGGGAAGTGAAGCACGCAGGAGCCCGTTCCGCCGGCACTCTCATCTTCCATGTCGATGACTGACGCAACAATGTGCGATTCAGGGCAGTTGTGCTGGGCAGCAAGAGTGGCAATGTCGGCATTCAAAGCCTCGAGGTCTCCAGCTCGGGCGTCATAGATGAGGTCATCAACAGCCTCTGCTGAAAGCGCGACGAGCACTGTCGGCGCAGGCTTTGATGTTGAGGAAGACATGTTAAGAAGTTGGCCGCAAGAGACCTGATCTGAACTGAGAGTTCTAGATCGATAAACCAAGATTGCCCTGGTTGCAAATAATTGATCCTCGTCGTCTTTTCTCGACGGAGTTGCTCGAGCTTTGGCCCTGCGGTAAAGATGCTTGAAATGGCTTTTTCGAAGCAAAGAAACGGGTCCTGTTGAGATTTGTTAACGCAGTGCTTTTCAAAAAAAAAAACATGTATGACCCAGTTCCAAGTCGAGACTCAATTTTGGAGCAAACTGTGAAAGATTGAGAATAGCTGACTCAGTAACAGCATGAGACCTGTCATCCTTCTTCTCTGCTTTTCACGCCATACTCCGCTGCCCTTGACACTTTCCTTTCGGACCCCGGCGTCACAGATTAGAGTATCTGATGAGGTCGTGTTTGATGTCTTACAGCAACCCTCACAAGCCCACGAAGCAGAAATCCAAAATAAAGTTGCCCATCCTCTCACAAGATGGAAATTTTCACTTACCTTTGAATTATTCTCTTTTTCACCTGCAATCTACTGATGCAAAGATCCACAGATCCGAAAGAAACTTTGATATCGAAGATCACATGACTTTGAGTGGGGTTAGAGCGGTTCGGCACCAGTTGGAACTACAAAAGTAGAAGTACTAATTGATGAGCCATCCATGAAAACGTTGTCGACGCAAGGTATGATTCTGAAAAGGTGATTAGAAATGCCATACAGGGTCAGGTCCAAGATCTCTTAAAGTTTCATATTGTCTTCATATTGATACAGTATTCCTGTACGGGGACAGGCGCAAGCCCCGGAAGGTATAAAAGTGGCCACATCCATGCACTCACGAATCATAAAAAAAAGGCTCAACCCAAAACGAAAACGCCTCTGTATCTCGCACACCAATGGTGCGGGTGGTATCTCAAAGTCTCAGTATGCCATTAGCATCCTTCCCATATGTAATGATTGTTGGAAGAGCGAGGCTGGCGGGCAGCGTACAAAGAAGTGCCTCGGGCCTCCTGCCGATCTTTGCATCGTGCCAATTCAATCCCGAAGCCAAGCTCTGCGCTTTTCTTCTTTCTTTTCCCGGCGCTTTTCCTTGAACATCTTCAATTCCTTCTTGCTCAGCTTCTTCCCACTGCGCTCAGCCTTGAGACTTCGTCCATCGTGACTGTTTGCCGCCGCGTCGACATCGAAGAATGCGTTCATTTGCCGCCTCGCCTTATTCTCATCATTGTAATTCTCTGGGAGGTTTGCATCGGCCTGCCAGCGACCGGTGAACCGATTGAATGTGCCGGTCGCGGCGTATGCGGCCGCAGCATCGACTGCTGATCCACCTGTCTCTTGAGACAATTGCTCATGCTGCTGCGCATAAGAGGCATTCGGGTCGTAATCACCATGAATAGCGGGATTGTAACCCCCCAGCACTGGGGCCTTTTCCTCGAGGGCTTTCGGGGCTCCGGCTGCGCTGGCGCTGGCACTCTCAGTGCCGGGAGCTGCGCCTTCAGGCACTCGGGGATTTTCCCACTGGGTAAGACCGGTGAATCGGTTGAAGAAATAGAAGGCTTGTGACGTTGCATCCCAGACGGGCTCCCATCCGTCGTCCTCGGCTTTTCCAGGTGGTGCCTCATCAGGAAGTGGAGGAGGCACTTCGTCGGGCAAAGGTGGTGCTGATTCTGAGTCGTTGGACGTCGGGACAGGGTCATTCAAAGCAGGCGAAGATGAGGGGTGCTCTTGATCGTCCCGAGAAGGCGATCTCTCAAGAGGGGTATCTGCATGGTCGTCATTGGGCGAACTTGTCTCTATCGTAGGATTCTCAACATCGGGTGAAGGTGTCTCAGGTGCAGAGGGCACGGCACGAGACTCATTTGGATGGGGATCAGGCGAGGGCGGCTGGTCAGACATTATGTGTGTTAGCACCACTACATGTAGTAGCGAAAATCAGAGTGCGACTGGATGAGCCGTGGCGCATGCGCTGTTTCATTGACGCAGTCGGAGCGGCTTTCAAGAGGGCTATTTTGGTCGCATCACGTATAGCACTTGCCGAAGCTTGAGATAAGATTGTTCACCGCCCGCACTCAAAATGGGTAGGTGGCCATGGAGGTGCTGCCGCGCAGCGCGTGACATGACGTGATGTCAGCCTTATCTACTACCAAAAGCGTGCTACCATGACTACCGCGCTTCTAAATGAATGTAAGGCAGTCATCGATCCAAGTTAGTACTATCCCCCAATTCTATCCCCCGATTCAACAAAACATGTGAGCTTGTGGAGAATAGACCACTGGTACCTAAGTTTCCATCTGGAGACCAGGTGATTTTTACTGCCTATTGAGTAGTGAGTTCGTATTTCTCTGAAAAGTTCACGGGTACTACTAGTAAGTGGGAGATCTCTTTTGGCTGAGAATTGGTACTCTGAAAAGTTGTATGAATGAAGACAAACAGTTGATACCTCATTGCGTTAGAGGATCGAGGGGGAAATCTTCATGGCAGCAGAGGGAAGATAAAGGTCAATTGACCCCCAGTCTTGTCCGAGTTCTGCTAGCTTTATAGAGTGATTTTATGTCTATAATTCTTCTTTATTCAGGTCACTAAGCCTCTACATAATAAACAGATGTACATTTTTCGGGGAGTTCAGCACATGTAAATTATAGGATAATAGGATTTAGGTTTGAATGACCGATAAAGCTCATGTGACCAACCCGGCAAGTAGATGTCTCTCCACCAGACAGTGGTGAGAACTCGTCAGAATGAGGTATGTCATGACGCATAAATCTTCCTCTTCTTAACGTGATAAATGACGACTCGGACGTGACATACACGGGGAATGCTGCATCATAGTCGATGTAGAATCTCTTCCAATGAAGTCCCGCAGCAAGAGAACAGCTTGTGACGCGGATTATGAGTCGGGTCGGAGCTCTGAACTTACGAATAATATCAAGATTCGTATTTTTCCTACTTCAATGGCCTGGAAGACAAGCCAGACGATCGATTTTGGCAGGAGGGTGACTCTGATATTTACTCGACGCGAGATGACTCCAAGTCTTGTATGGCATGGGGCAAAGGTGGTTCAAAATATCTTGAAAGCCGCCCACGACCTATACCTTGGTACCTAAGTTGTGACTGACAGGACCATTTCTCAATCGAACCTAAGCTATGACTAGTAGTGATTCGTAACATGTAGGTAGGTATCTATAGCTGAACAGGACCTTTACTTACCACATGAGGTCACTGATGGACCCGGGACTGGCATTGGAAGGGCCCTTCTACATCGAATATAATTCTATGAAACTGCCGACTTAGTAATTGGTCATTGCATGCCTAAGATCTAGCAATCGTTGAGATGTACTAGTAATGGCCGTATTCTTTGATAAGTGCGTACGTACATACGTCCTCGGGCAGTTAGTTGGTGCTAATGGGTGGCCCACACCATCGATTCTCCAACGACCAAGGGATATATCTTCACGCATCAAATGTATGTCGAGATGTCGCTCCCACTATCTAGGTCCAAAGAATACAAAATATGTCGGGTACATTCAAACACTATATGTCATACAGTACGTGCTGGATTCATGCGTTTTTTGATTCGTCCGACTAGACATGCTATACACATGTCACAACTCGCACTTCCTCTCTCTACTCTCCAGTTAGGTAGCGGAATACTTAGGTAGACACCCGACAATTACTAGTAGTACTGGAAGACGAGCTCTCGATATATCAAGCGGGCATCGTTCACATCCACGGTTCCCAAGCGGAGATCTGGCGCATCCGTTCCCGTTTCTTCAAGAACAGTGAACGAGATTTTCGTGAGTCAGGATTCATTTCTAGCCTTACAGACTATCACAAAGTAATGGGATGAGATCAAATGAATCTCAACGATGGGCATGATAGGCGCAGGCTCAGTAATTATTGGGCCGGACCTGGGGCTTGCAGAGGTACTTCGTTTTTACCAGGATCCGCTTTGTGGCCTGTGTTTACAAAGCTACGACCTCGGTGACATGCTCATATCCTAGGTATGATCGCTGCTCAAGCTACACCCAGAGAGAGAACACAATGTGTGCAGACGAAATGTCGCAACTCGACATTGGTTGACAAATCATGTGTTCATCAACTTGAAGACGTATCGCGTTGTCCGAGATTACCCCCACACGGGGCAATTCCACAGGAAAAGCAAAGGTACTGTATCTTCCATGATCATCATAGTCTGTTGCATCCTAAGGATGCACCTGTCGGCGGCTGAGTCGATAGTCAACTCCCCAACAATGCAGAGGTCAACAGATTGCCTGGTCAACAAAACAACAGACTAATGCGCCAAAGCTCCTGACTAGCAGCGACGGACTGACAATCCGAATAGTATATGCATAGTTTCACTCCTATGTAGGAGGTTCAAGGGAGATCACATCAAATTGACCAAGAGCGAACTGAATGACAGAAGGAGAGATTATCACAGTATCCAATGTACTGTCGTAATCTACGATGTGCTGGGCTTGTCGAAACCTACTCGCGGCCTTGTGTTTACACCTGTGACTATCGGGAATTGACGTCCTCTGGTACCACTCCCATGATTGCGGCTCATTAGTGTAAGACCATCGTGATGAACTAAGCTCCCAGAACAGCCTGGCAATGAGCGATCTTGAAGGAAGGGCGAGCAGGAATTATTCAGGCGTGATCGGGCGAGAGACACCCGCCAGGGTTAGTGGCATCCCTTGCAGGGATGGATGGGTCTTCCCGTACAGGAGGTGCAGGAGGCGCACCCCACGTCGAGCCGGCCACTGGACCCTTTCAACACTGCACATCCGGGGGCAAGCATGCAGGGTATCTGTGTGTGTACACCGTACTATGAGTTGACCAGCATGCTGGATCCCTCACTGACTGACTCCAGGCATACCGCTCAGGAAGAGAACGGATCGTGGCCAAGATCCATGGCCCGACTGTTGACGGTGAAGACCGCTCCTTGATGGTTGACCGACTGCAAACCGGTGCTTGTTATGACCCGCTTTTTAGGGCCCAAGCTTAAGCCAGAGCTGCAAGCCTTATTTGAGATGACCCTATCAGGATCGACGCGGACATCTATACTGCAGTACATGTTCCGAGTGACGGGGGATGATCGGTCGCCCGACCAAGTTTACGAGTTGGAGCACGAGGCATCTCAATTTGGAGAATGAGCTGGAACCAAGCGAAATCTCTGCTAAGCAAATATGAGTCTGTCGTGGAGGGACCCTGCTGTCATCGGACAAACGATGCCAATGGAATGGGGTCGGAAATAGGCCGAGCAGCTCAGCTAGTGCCTGGAGCTGACAGGTGATGCACATCCTATTCAAACCTATAAGGAATGTTCACCATAGCACCGGAGGTCGCGTGTTATGCAAGACAATCCCAAATATGGGTAGATCCATACCAGAAAGCTCCTAAGGGAGCGTTCCTCGACAACCAAAGACCTCTTGAGTGGAGTCGGGGAAGGCCATCACCCCTGCAGATTCCCTGCATGTTGCATTCCAAAGCGAGGGAGGAGAGGCGAGAACTGCATGGCTGGGGAGGGACAACCCGACAGCGTACCAACAAGGAGCAATTTTCTCAACGGTGGACAGGCGAGACAACAACACAGCCAGAGAGGAAAACATACAGACAGAGAGGGGGGGGGGGGGAGAGAGCGAGAGAAAAGCTCAAGAGCTCACAGACCACTTCGCAAAGGCTATAAAGGAAGGCGTTTTCTTCACTCTGTCAATTCTTTTCCTCATCACGCATCACTCTCTTTCAAGCATTCCCTTCTTTCGAAGCCCAGCTTTCTTCATCACACTCTCTCGAGACTTCCCTCGTTCAAACCCAAATCCACCGTCATAATGCAGTTCACTACTCTGTCCGCTCTTCTCGGCCTTGCTGCCACCGTCGTTGCTCTTCCTCCCGTTGCTCCCTCCGCTGGTGGCGTCGGCAATGGCAACGGTGTCGGCAACAAGGGTAACACCCAGGTCCGCTTCCCTGTGCCTGACAACATGACTGTCAAGCAGGCCCAGGCCAAGTGCGGTGACCAGGCTCAGCTCTCCTGCTGCAACAAGGCCACCTACGCTGGTGACACCACCGATGTCAACTCTGGCATCCTCGGCGGTACCCTCAGCAACCTCATCGGTGCTGGCTCTGGTGCCGACGGTCTTGGTCTCTTCAACCAGTGCTCCAAGCTGGATCTGCAGGTCCCCATCGTTGGTATCCCCCTCCAGGACCTGGTCAACCAGAAGTGCAAGCAGAACATTGCCTGCTGCCAGAACTCTCCTTCCAGCGCCGTGAGTATTACTTGTCCTTGTATCTCTGAAGAACCCTTCACTGACAACTCTACAGAACTCCGACCTCATTGGTCTTGGCCTGCCCTGCGTTGCCCTTGGCTCCATCATCTAAGGGATTCGCCTTTCCTATTCTCGCCGCATCGGCGAAGCGGATAGGTGGCTACGCGGGCTTGTTGAGGCTTTAGGGTCTTGGCTTGTTGGGACGTCGACGCGGCCGTGGACTGTATTCGACACTTGGGATATGAATCAGGATCATACAGATGTTCCATTAGTTAGACTCTGGTTTCTTTTACCCTTGGATCATAAATTATGTCGGTGGCACCCCTCGGAGAGAAGAAAGTCTGGTTTTGTTTACGTTGGGCTTGTCCCCCACGCTCGCTCATGTCTAGTGCATGCTGCTCTGTTTTTAGCTGCAGTCTATCTTCGGACAGCCGTCTTATTTGAATTAATTGATTAGAGATCGTCGTGAAATTTGTCTCACTGCTCCTTCCACGCCCACGTTCTTCAACCTCTTATCGTCTTCACACGCGCTTCCCGTATATCCCGTCTCGTCGCAAATGTCGAGCCGCTCCGAGCGTGTGCAGAAGTCTTCAGTCTGGCTGCGACGAAATTCGCACGAATCAAGTCTCATTACTTCCCACTCTCTCCCTCGCCCGCTTTTTGTCCGCTGGCTCTCTTCTTACAATCCCGCTCCTTCATAATTCAACCCTGTTGACCATATGAGACGTCCTACGATACGATTGTAATGTGTCAAATAAGACCTTCAGAATCCTTGTAGTACATTGGCTATAACACAAGATGCAAGACGCTGCTCTTCTTGGTCCCTGGCCTGTCCGGATTTAAATCGTACTCTAGAGTCTAGATGCGGCACAGGGGACGGGAAGCCCTATCTTCGACAAACCCAGACTATTGTCCTACCAACATGGAGGCATAGGCTCCATTGGACCTTGATTCACATTTGCTCTCCTCGGAGGAATCATCAGCTTTGATCGAAACACGAGAGGTACCTCTGTCTTGGGTTGAGTTCCTTATCATCAAGTCCGTTGATTTGACCCTAATGACCCACAGTGCATCGCTGTCGCCAACAGACTGTGGCGAATCGTACGTTGCTCATACATGTTTCCAACATCAAGAGACTAGGTCAAGCGCAAGGAGGCTTAGAAGCTTATCACATGGGTGAGCGTTGCGAATAAGGTACCTGACCTAGTGCCAATATTCTGCCTAATCACAGAAGAAGTGGAAGGCTACAAATACCCATCGTATACTCATATGAGCATCATGGCATCATCTGCTCCATTCTTCATTGTTCGTAATGATATACAGCTACGATAGGGGCAGCTGTATGATGGGAGAGAGGGAGAAGGAGTGAGAATGTTACTGAGGAGAGATTCTACCTAAGCTATGGTGAGCGGTGAGTGAATGACGGAATCATCATACAAAGTTACAAACACTTCGCAAGCCGTATACAGTACAGGCCATGTATTTTGCATTCGACTGCTATGCCGTGATCATTTCTATCGAATCGACAATCTTCAGACCCCCAGCAAGTTCATTTGAGGGCTTCCTCTGGAAGATGCACCCATTCCGAGGATGCTTAGTGCAACCTCCCAATCAACTCTCCGGCCCATAGTTTGGCATTTTCATTTTCAGATCTTCGGGGTCCATTCTCCTCGAGCCAATCGAACTCGTCCTTCTCATCAGCGATATCCTTCTCCATGTATCTGGCAGCATCAATCCATCTAGGTGTGGAAGGCGGACTCTGCGCGGTACCCAGTGACGAAGCCGGTTGTGACGGACTCTTCACACTGCGTTTCTTCAAGAATCCCGTCATCGACCGTCTGAGTCTTGTCCGTGTCCTGACTTCTGACGTTGGAGGCTCCCTGTACCAAGCCCTGTCCCAACTCATTCGGAGCCTGCTCGATCGCTCCGCCTTGCTTCCTTGTGTCGATACGGTATCGTCTTTAGAGTCGGCATGGATTGCTGTTTGAATTGAATTCTTGGGGGTGGTCGCGGATGGTGTTTTGGTCGTTTCCATTTTCAGGACGGGGTGGTCTGGTAGGGAGAGTGCCTTGATGGCTCGACTGGTCGCCGGGTCCAGGGTATCGACCTCATCAAAGAGCGTACGGATGTTGATATCCCATGTTCCATTTCCGTGGTGGTCTCCATGCATGGAGGATGTGGAGGTGGTGGCTTCGCCAGATGAACTGAAAGCCATGGTGGATGTGGACGCAATGCTTTCCGTCGGAACCAGAGACGCGGTGTGAGAGCTCGTCTGGATCAATTCATTCGAGTCGTCGTCAAAATGTCGTTGAGGATGCGCCGTCGACGATTTCCTTGAAGATGACTTCCCACCAACGTAGCGGGTCATTGACGCAATGAACCCCATTGTGATAGGGGGTATTAGTGCTTTTGTACAACCAGAATAATCTGCTATTTTTTTAAAAGAAAAAATCTGGGATCTGGGGCCGAGAGATCAACAATCGTTTGGCCAACTGGCCGTGGGGGATAGGCGTGGCAGGGATGCACAGTTGATGTAGTTCGGTGCTTGGGCCCTCCAGCAGTCAATCCAGTCTTGGGCAAGGGGGAGTATGGCAGGGACCAAACTCCGGATTCGTGGGAGTTGCATCTGTAGCGCCTGAGGGAGCACTTTTTGATCCTGCAAGCAGCAATGTGTACGCTCGATTGCAGAGCGTGTTGGGTGCAATACTCTGGGTGATGGTCTCACTTGGTGGGCGAATTATGGACCGGCTTAAAGTATGATGCGTTTGAGTTTCTACTTACGTTGTAGATTCGCCTTGGGTGATGTAGCTCTCGAAAATCTATAGAACTCCAATGAATTTTACAAAGAAAGGGAGGCAGCGAAACAAGAGAGAATACAACCCTACAGTACTTGAATGGCGCATGTCGTGGAATCTATCAACTGTCAATACTCGGATTGAACCCGATTGGTAGGTATTCAACTTGCACCACACTACTACACTACGCGACTGCGCTTGAGTGTATCTTGAAGATTTTCAGACAAGCATACAGGCATCGTCGATACATAATTGATAAATATTCGGAAGTGGTCGTGGTGCCGCATCGACGGGACATTGTTGTATGACTGATCCACCAGGGTCTCATGCAAGGGTGACGAAAACAGCCCCTTGTGGATGCGCACGCGCAAACTAAATGACTGCTCTCGCTCTTTGCGGAACAAGTTCGAGTGGCTGACCTCCTCTCTGCTCGCCACCACATGGTCTCTCTTCATTGTCTCAACTTTGAAATCATTCTACGTTGACAAAGATGACTTGGCACACTGCCTGGGTTCTCAAGTCAGGGAAAGAGACATCAGAGTCCCGTTTGACCTGTTGTACAATACTTTGTTATAAGTCGGGATTGTTGGCGCGTAACAAGGATACGATCGGCGAATTACTATCATAGCGATAAATTCCTCGATCTCGCCGTGTCGAAGATCTGCAACAAGCGGTGTCGGTGATGTGCGATGTGCTGCAGAATGCAGATGGTCCTATCGCTTGGAAGATCGAATCTCGGATTCTCTCGTCAAGTACTGTAGCAAAACGCCAGCTCCGAAGGAAATGACACGATTCTTTGTAATCCATGAGAGCCATGGGTAAATGTTGAAATTAATCAGTATAATGTAAAAAAGGCCCAGTAACGTGCTGACATTCCTGCGCGTAGTCGCCTAATGTACTATATAGTACCAAGTAGAGTAAGGTACTCTACTGTACCCACTTCCTAAACCGGAGTCACATTGCGCACATCTCAAAATTGCTTACACGTTCAAAAAAGAAGGGGGAAGTTGCAAAGATTACAGCTTCGCACTGGGGGCGTCACTGTAGAGACGTTGAGTCCGGCTCATGGCCTCGACGGCTTCCTTCTCAATACGTCGCAGAAGTACCTCGCAAGTCGGGATATCGTGGATGAGACCGATTACTTGGCCGGCGGTCCAGACCTAGTATAAGAGTCAGCAACAGGGTCACTAAATCAGGGACAAGGCGCCATTCCGCAATTTCAATACTTACACCGTAATCAGGGTCGCCGTTGATAAAGACCTGGCGACCACGCTGACCGCTCACATAGGGCCCAATCTCAGCAAAGTCACCAGTCGTGCTCTCCTTCTCAATCTTCAAGGCATCTTGAGTGACCTTGTTGGCAAAGAGACGAGAGGTGTTCTTCCAGCGGCGGAGCACCAGCGCGGTGTCGGTCTCTTGGGACTTGACAATGGTCTCTTTGATATTCTGGTGAATTGGAGCCTCGACCGTGCTCATGAATCGGGTACCCATGTTGATGCCCTCTGCGCCGAGAGCCAGCGCAGCAGCCAGACCGTAGCCATCCGCGAATCCTCCCGATGCAATAAAAGGTACGCCAAGATCTTGACGAGCGCGGTTCAAGAGAATAAAGTTGGTAATATCGTGCTCGCCAACGTGACCTGCACACTCGAATCCATCGATAGAGAGGAAGTCGACGCCGAGCTTGACGGCAGACTTGGCATGACGGATGGTAGTGCACTTGTGCAGGATGGTCACACCAGCCTTCTTGAGTTGCTTGATGACGGGACCAGGGTTGTTGCCAGCGGTCTCAACGATTCTGATACCCTCATCGATAATCACCTGCGCGTACGCGCCGTAGTCGGGAGGAACCATGGCTGGAAGGAGGGTCAAGTTCACACCGAATGGGTACTTGGTCATTTCGCGGCATCGTCGGATCTCCTTCCGCAGGTCTTCGGGAGTGGGTTGGGTGAGAGCAGTAAGCTAGATCGGACCATGCATTAGTCTTCGCCGTTGCCTTCGACTGCTGCTGTCAATCTTGGGAGAAGGTCTTTCCGGACTTACCAAACCCAAACCCCCGGCGTTGCTGACAGCTGACGCCAGCTCGGCGTAGCCCACCCACTGCATGCCACCCTGCACAACGGGCACTAGAAAGTATGAGCAGATGGTTTTCACGGCTAGAAAGTCTTTGAATCCATGGAATACCTCGAATACCCAGCTTACGGGTCAGAGCTGTATTGAACGGCATGTTGGTGGTGTGTGATTGTGGATCGGTCGGTGTGAGTAAAATGACAACGGTGGACTCGGTATGCCGCGAGATACAGCTGGAAATTGACTGCAAAGATAGGCAATAGGGGAAAGGATGTTACGACGTCGAATAAAGGCGAGACGCTGACTGACTACAGTTCCCCGGCCCCAGACGTAGCCGCGGACTGTGGGGGAGGACTCATGGAGTTGCCGAGGTTCGGACAATTATACAAATCAGTCGTTCCTGAGCGAATCAGCACATCTCGGCGGACGGCTGCCTATTCGCTCGGCGGGGATCAAGATTGATAATCTTGAAGACTGGAGTCAGCGATATCTCTATTTTCCTCGCGCTCGGACATGAAGTATGAATGATTGCATTTCAGGACTCTTTGCAGACGAAGTCATCCGGTCTGTTTTGTGAAGAGTTGAGGCTCCCAGCATCGCTGTTGTCGACGAGTCTCCTCTCATTTCCAGCTGAGGGCCACTTGAGGACCTTCACATGTGACAGTCAGGTATTCAGTTAAGTGTATGAGTAGGCACGATCACGGGATGCATCTGCGATCAAAGAAGCCGTGACCTTGAACAAAGGAGCAAGTGACGCATATTGAACGACAAATAAAAACATTGTTCCTCGGCTTCCCAAGTCAATAAGGATGCAAGCTCAACTTCAGCCGACGAATGCACAGTACCTAGCTCGGCAGATTACTGATCAGAATATCCTTGAAGGCTATCAAATGGGGACAACTCATCCGTTCCATTCGAATCTTCGACATACACAGGTTATCTACATACAACAATGAGCAATATATGATTGCATCATTGAGTATACCTCGCGGTCCGCACCTAAAGTAACCAACTTGCATTTTTGATCGATCTTCAGAGGGACGGGCTGTAGCCACTGAGCCAGTGGCCACCACAAAGACGCAAATGGTGTACCAACATTTGACAGTACTTTGACTCATATGCGCAGTGTACACTACTGGAGGGTGAAATTTGACCAACGGAATCTTCTCAAATAATTGATGGTAATGATGCAAAATGAATAATAGACTCTTTGTGTTTTGATATGTAACCCTGATATGAAACCCATCGAACTCATGGAAAGAATCAAATGGGCGATTAACGACGGGACAGCTCCTTCTGCGAATCACAAAAAATCCCCCAACAGTCGCGACAGAATGCCGAAACCAGAGGGCGCTAAACACACTAACTTCATCCCAACCAAGGCCGGTGCATCAATGTGAGCGGAGATTCGTATAGAGGGAAAAGGAAGGAAAAGGAGAGTCTGTCCCGGGTTGGCGAGAACAAAAAAGCTACCCACTACGCAAGCGAGAAAAGGTCATGTGACTTAGACAGATCGATCATGACGATAAGTCCCGTGCTCGATCGAGACGGTCCGACATATTTTCCGAAGAGTAATTGCGGGCACGGCGATTGGCTCACTGTCCGGTAATCCCGTGACGGGTCGAAGCCCGAGGTACTCCGTTCCGATTGCTAACGACGCAATCGTCCCTTCTTGAAATCGCAATTGCGACGACGACGATACTCCGCCGACGACAATCAATATGTTCTCTCAGAAGCTTGTCCAGCAGTCAGCGCGACGGCGTAAGTATTCCCTCCCTCTCCATGTGTTTGGTGGTCATGAGCTTGGGCTTTGCTAACATTGCCATTTTGAAATGCAGTTGCCGTCCAGCAGCCGCTCGCTATCCAGTCCATGGTGCGTGCTTCGCCGGCTGCCGCTACCCTCGGATTGCAAAAGAGGTCAGTGATTTTCGTTTCTAGTCAAAGAAAGGCATTGCAAATTCGAAATTGCATATGACCAACAGCATCTCAAATTCCTTACCGCGATCCCTATACGTCATTCTGCCTTGAACGAGTGTTGACAAGAAGGCACTGAACAGAGCCGTTACCTCCACCGCCGCTGAGGAGAACTCCATCCTGGCCAAGCAGCGTATGAACCGCCCCGTTTCACCACACTTGGCCATCTACCGCCCCCAGATTGGCTGGGTCGCCTCAGGTCTTAACCGAGTCACTGGTGTCGCTCTCTCCGGCACCCTCTACCTCTGGGCCACCGCCTACCTCGCCTCCCCTGCTCTTGGCTGGCATGTCGAGTCTGCCTCCATGGTTGCCGCCATGGGCGCTCTTCCCTTCGCTGCCAAGGTCCTCCTGAAGACCATCATGGCCCTTCCCTTCACCTTCCACTCCTTCAACGGTCTCCGTCACCTGATGTGGGATATGGGTCGGGGTCTGTCCAACAATGTCATCATCAAGTCCGGCTGGACCGTTGTTGGTGTGAGCGTGGCCAGCGCTCTGGCTCTTGCTTTTGTCTAGAATACCTTTTTGCCTATCAAATGTCTAAGTTGTCTCTTCTTTTTTTGTACTCATAAAATGGGTGGGTAGGGTCGCGCATCTTATGCACATATTCCCTTGTTCTCTCTTGGCCGCAATACCACTATGATCTTATATTGGAAAAACTACTACCTCAACTAGGTAAGCTTTTGCTGTAAATGATGAATTGATAAGCCAAGATTGATGTCTTGATATAAGTCAACAGTGCACAGTTGACAGTTGGTCCAACATTAATCGACATGCTGTACATGTGGAGTCGAAAAGTAAGAACACCTTGACACAATGATATCTGATCCGTAGAAGGGCAAAACGTAAGACCGATGCACCAGGAGCATCGATGGGAAGTTGATGCAATAACTGGAGTTTTGTGTACCACATAATTATTATCAAGCTCTCTGCAGCAAATCAAAAGGAAAGCCCACAACCAGGGTATCAGAGAGTGAAATTATCGGCTTTGTCACCAATTTGCATCAAAGACAGAGGCCAGGATCGGTCGTGCGCCATGCTGGTTAATCAACAACCATGTGGAGCTCGCAGGTCGCCTAATGAGGGAATATATACATACGATTAGCGACGAAGCCCGGCGTATTGAAGAGCTTTGCAACATTCAAGGGCTAGTGTACCTCTCTATTTGCAATCTGAAGTGCCTCGTAGCTGTTAAAGCATATGATCGATTTGATGGGGATTTAGACAGGACTTGGAGGAGGGTTGGGAGGACAAGGACGCGGTGATGGAGGATCTTGCACCGAGTGATCGCTTGTTGGCATTCCACAGATAATGATAGGTGTCAATTGGGTCTGAATGAGAGACTTCATACGAGATGGGGTCGTCGCTGTCGGGTAATAGTACATTGTGTTGAGATAGGTGAGATCGATATTTGCGAGGTGTTTGTCGAATGTTGGTGTTAATTGCGAGCGGAGGAATCGCCTGCGGTTCAAAGAAGGGCGACAATCGGATTTCTGCGCGATAGGGAGGTCTGAGAGACTGAGCTTGAATTGAGGGAACAAAATAGTGAGCTCGGTGCAAGCTATGGATCTGAAAGAACTAATGCAGTGGATGAAAGGCTGCAGAAGCAGGGCGTTCAATCCACTTTTATATGTTTTTTTTGAGTGCCAATCCATTGCTTCTGGAGAAGGCATTGAGAGTTCCACAGAGGCATATACTGCCACCCACCTTGCTCTATTCCATAAAAAGCATGCAGTGATACTTGGCTAGAAGAGTGTGGGGTCGAGAAACAGCTCTGATGGACGTTGCCTCCGGATTGCCCTTCTGGAAGCCTGCGAAACGGGTACGGTATGACAGTTTGACTGCAGATGGTTGGGGCCTTCCACTTTTCGGCTCGATAGACTGCAAGGGCCCGGCGGTAACATATAGATGAAAATGAACAATACTACTGCTCAGGCAATAGTACGACATGCAAAATACCGGACGGCCGAGAAGCGTCTTTCTCATCTAGCCCTCCTAGGTATCATCTCAATCCATACGTATGAATGGCCATCGGTGTTGATGTTCCCATTCCTCTATACTCAGGGCTCCACAGAACAATTTCTCAGAAATTGTTTGAAAGATACATTTTGGTATCTCAGACATTCCATACGTACAGAAGACAGCTTGACGGCAAGTTAGCGCTACCTAGGGCTTTGGTGATCTAGGCTTTCATCGAAGTTGACGAGATAGCCATCTTGCCAGTCATAGTTTTTTTGCCGGCTTCCTGCAGGAGATTCTTTGTTTCTCGACAGCACTAGAGCCCGGGTAGAGAGCTTCCACGGTCTTCTGCCCTTCGTAGTCGCTAGATGGTACCACTATTCCGTGCGGCTAGTGGCCGCAAGATCCAATGTAGGGACGGAAGATCTGGGGAAAGCCTGCAGATTAACCGCGGATACCAACGACAGTACATGACTGAGGCGCATTATTCAACGATGCAGGAAGTATCATCCGTGCACTGTTTGCTTGATGCGGAGACCTCTGCTGCCCGGGCATTCGTCTCTCCGTATGTGAGGCAAATGATCATTGATCTCCAGTCCCCGCTTTTCGAGGGCTAAGCTTCCACTAACTTGGAGAAGACGGTATCTCTTGACTTGCACTGTCACATTGTAGCGAGCCTCATCTAGGTTGGCGGCTCCTGACTTCTGTGGTGTGACTTGTAGACCGGCTAAGGCGGCGTCAGTCCGACTGTAGGAGTAGTAGGAGTAGTACTAACCGCCTGTGTGCCCAGTAAGTACTTTGTCCATACAACATACCCGTGATAATTGACTTCTGTTACGCACACGTGGAAGTAAAGTGTTTCGAAGTATCATGAGCTGGTGACTCCTCCGTGCCAGACCTTAATCTGCCCAGCCCCGTCGAAGGAGTGGGACACGGTGTGGGCCAGGATCTAAGATACACAACACTGAACACAGCCGTTTCTGCAACGGGAGACAAGGATGTCGCGGGGAGCTTGGGTGGAATGCATCGAGATGGTGTCCTGGCCGGCTCTACGGCTGCTACTACCCGGAGCCGCGGGCGTCTGGAAGTTTACAAGTTGACGGAAAAGTGAACAGGCGAGAGTTCCGTCCAGTTGGTCTGAGGGTCACTCAGGATACTCACAGCGGGATAAAGGGGTTGCTCAGACTCCGCGAAGGTCAAATTGGCTTGAGAAGACTATTGATAGACTTTGCGAAGGTGAATATTCGGTGTCTTGTGTGGCTCATAGGGAACAAGTGTGTCGGGAATCAGCTGTTGGTTACTTGACTTGTGGAACTTTTTTTTGCCTCAAGAAAGCAGAGTCAAGCTAAAAGATGAGTAACGTTGCGACTGGCACGACGACTTGCAACTTGATCCACGCAGTTTCATTCAGCAGGGTTTCATAGCATCAGGCTGATCAACGGCTGATCTTGAATCATGGCAAGTACCAACATTTTCCACCAAATAAGACTACTCAATCCATAAGCTCATGTGGATTTGCTCAAGTTCATTTGTCGATTCAGACTGTTGTTGATGTCAAGATCCGTGTAAATCGGGGATATAGATCGAGTGCGGCAGTATCACACCGCCGAGTCCGAAATCTTTCCACACCTCCGAGTGTTGACCAACTTCCGCAGATCATCCCCGACCACCATGGCTTCAAATCTGTCCACTCGAGCGGTGCGGACCGCGTGCTCTTCATCCAAGGCTGCTGCTCGCTCGCTTGCGACGGCTATTCCTCGTCGCACCTTCGCCACAGGCCCTGAATCATCGACCGGCGAGACCGAGCAGCCCCGATGGTCTTACACGCCGCCGCGCGCAAAGGCGCCATTCAGTCTCCGATTACACTCAAAGCGCCCATTCTTCCACGTCAACTCCGACCCTGCCTTATTGGATCAGTTTTATATTCGTATGCTAGGCAATGATGGTGACAAGATGTTGTCCGACGAGCTGAAATGGCTGGCTGTGACGCACAAGAGCTTTGACCAAGGCCGTCGGGGCTTCAACGATCGCTTGGCTTTCCTCGGTATGGCTTACATCTTCACTCGATAGAACGCATCATGTGTCAGTACTGATTAAATCACTAGGTAAACGAATCGTGCAATTGCAGACCTCATTGGCTCTTGTACAGAGTTCTGAGGCGGCCACCACTCCCGCAAACCCAGACCCTTACGGACGAACGCCCTTTTCCCACCCGGCTCTTGACGGTCTTCGGAGCCTTTCTCCAGAGACCAAAAGCTTCTTGACTGACCGGAGCAAGCTTTCTGAGCTGGCTCAAAAATACGAAATGCAAAATATTCTGCGCTGGACTCCTCGCAAGGTAGGAATTGTTCCGTCATAACCAACACCGCGATCAAACCCGCTGTGCTAATCTCATGTCATTTTTCTTAGCCCGATGACCTCAAAGCTTCGGGTCTTGAACTCGTTCTGGCACATACCATGTACGCTGTCGTCGGAGCGGTCTCGCTGGAGAAGGGAGGTCACATCGCCAACAAGGTGGCCCAAGAACGGATACTCGAGCCACTCGGCTTGAAGACTGTCTCTTGAATGAGATGGTGGCTCTGCTAAGTTGAGGGGGTTGTGTGATTTGCCCTTAACCTTTTGCAGCATTTTTACGGCGTTTGGAATTGACATTTCTCCTTGGGGCCGGGATGACTGAAGGCTGCGCTGGCCTGGGCGCATGCCAGTTCTTCACACAGGCGATGTACTGTATATGTACCATATTTATATCTTCTTCGTTGACTACTACTTAAGTCCGCACAATACCAAATCGTCGTTTTCCACCTTTCACTTTGAAATTTTGTAGCACGCTGATTTCGACTATAACGAATTTCATTGTTGATTAAAATAGATGAAGCCTTCAGTGGGAATGTACGGTTCCTCTGACACCGCCCGCGTAACAGTGAGTAAAATACACGGCCAGCTCTTATGGAACCCTCTTTACGATGCATAGTCTCCGCGCCTCTTGATCGCAAGAGTTCAGCAATTGAAAACTGAAGATCAATCCCGACAGAATGTCGGGCGATCTCAGAAAATCAAGTAGACTTTATACTGGCTTGCACTGTCTAGAGAGGGCGTTGGAGAAGAAAAGAAAAAGAAGGAGATTGTGGACTTGCAGAAGAGATTTTATATGGGACAAGATACGCTAGTCTCCTTTCGGGAGATTCGGCGCGGCTCCGCCCAAATCGCGGGCGACTGGCCCTTTTGGCGCCTTTGAGGATCTGAGGCAGAAAGCTTGGGACTGCGTAAGTGCGTAGCTACGTCGCGACCAGCCAGCTGTGCGGTGATCTAATCCAGTACCAAATTCAACATTTCGATCTTTTGACTCAGTTGCACACCTTGGACCCCTCGAACTTTGACAAGAGGAGAAATGTTGCTGTAAGACACAGCATGTGCATTGAGTCGTGACCCCCCACCCACCTCCGTCCTCGACACCAAATCACCGCATATCGACACCTAATCATTACACATCTCCGCGCTTCCCACTCCGCACCATCCAATCGCCATGGCGTCGGCGCTATTTTTCCTGGACCTCAAGGGCAAGGTGCGTGCCGCTATGGACGGTGCTCAGCTGAACTCAAACCTCGCGATGAATTTCGTTCGCACGTCCACCTGGTCTGTGGTACTAACAGCTCGTCTAGACCCTTCTGGCCCGCAACTATCGCGGAGACATTCCCATGTCTGCCGTGGACAAATTTCCCATCTTGCTCAGCGAAGCCGAAGAAGAGTCCTCAGCTGTTCCTCCCTGCTTCTCCCACGAGGGAGTCAACGTATGTCCTGCAACTTCCCAGATCCTCCTTGGCAATCAGCCCATTGCTCCGTTCCCCCCTCGCCCCTCTCTCCTTATCCATTTTCGCCGCGGACAACAGCTGAAAGCTCGCGAATCGCGCAACAACAGTACCTGTACATCCGCCATAGCAACCTGTACATCCTGGCTTTGACAAAGCGAAACACCAATGCCACAGAGATCCTGCTCTTCCTACACAAGCTTGTTGAGGTCTTTACGGAATATTTCAAAGTACTCGAGGAGGAAAGTATTCGGGATAACTTTGTCATCATCTACGAATTGCTGGATGAAATGATGGACTTTGGTTACCCACAGACGACCGAAAGCAAGATTCTTCAGGAGTAAGTGGACTTTGATGCGCCGAGCTGCATATTGTACGGGAGAGCCAAGAGACTAACCTACAATTGCTCTCACCGTCAGATATATCACGCAAGAATCACATAAGCTGGAGGTGCAAGCGCGGCCACCCATCGCAGTCACGAACGCTGTCTCTTGGCGAAGTGAAGGAATTCGCTATCGTAAGAACGAAGTCTTCCTGGATGTCGTCGAGTCTCTCAACCTACTGGTCTCGGCCAATGGAAATGTGTTGCGGTCGGAGATTCTTGGTGCTATCAAGATGAAATGTTATTTGAGTGGTATGCCTGAATTGCGACTGGGATTGAATGACAAGGCCATGTTTGAGACCACGGGCCGAGCTACGCGAGGAAAGGCGGTCGAAATGGAGGACGTCAAATTCCATCAATGTGTTCGGTTGTCTCGATTTGAGAACGATCGCACAATCAGCTTCATTCCACCAGATGGAGAGTTCGAGCTCATGAGTTACCGACTGAACACCCAGGTCAAGCCATTGATCTGGGTCGAGTGCTTGGTTGAGTCGCATTCAGGGTCACGCATCGAATATATGCTCAAGGTATGGTCGCTTTGATAATTTTCGTGACTGAAAAGAGCAAGCAAGCTAACGATCTGTGTACAGGCCAAGGCTCAATTCAAGCGGCGTAGCACTGCCAATAATGTCGAAATTCTTGTCCCTGTGCCTGAAGATGCTGATTCTCCTCGGTTCCGTACCAATATTGGAACCGTCCACTATGCACCAGAGAAGTCTGCCATCATCTGGAAGATCAAGCAGTTTGGTGGTGGTAAAGAGTTCCTCATGCGCGCCGAGCTGGGACTACCCTCGGTCAAGGGAGACGACGAGCATGGTGGTGGCATGACAGGTGGATTTGGTGGTAGTATGGGCGGAGCTGGCGCCATCGGCAAGGCGAAGCGCCCCATCAACGTCAAGTTCGAAATTCCTTACTTCACGACATCCGGCATTCAAGTGCGCTATCTCAAGATTACCGAACCAAAGGTAGGTTCTTGCGTCCTGGTGGATCGACACGAGAAGACCGAGACTGACGTGTTTTCTAGCTGCAATACCCCTCTCTACCCTGGGTCCGCTACATCACACAATCTGGCGACATTGCGGTCCGAATGCCGGACGTTCAATAAAAGGAAGCCGTTAACGAGATTTTCTGCCTGAGCGAACTGTACAGACTTTTATTTGCTTTATATCTTAACCTTGGTCATTTGACGTATTTCGAGGCCGAGCTTATTCCTACATGCTTCCTTAAGGCCCGCCTGTGCAATAGATAATACAGCCTTGAAGCCTTTTCATGTTGATCTGTTGTTTCAATGCCAAATCGGGAATAGTTTTGTTTTTGACATGCGCACATGGCACGGCCACTGCAGAGGACTTTCTCATCACTTAGCTCTTGGCCCTACTTCTGTCATATGGCCCAATCCAGCCGGCTATCCAACTGTGGCTGACGGCGATATGCATGTCCATCAATCCCTATGCTTCATCGTTCAAACAACTCCGTTTATAGCTTGGAAGTTCCGAGCATACTCGGGTACCAACGAGCGCTCATTTGATGCTCGGGGGTGAACTCAGCGCGTCTGCGCCTTAAACCAGCACCTTTGGTGATTCGTTGTCTCACTAGTCGACTGGTTCCTCTTAGAGCCAGATTGTCGGTATGGTCCTGCATTTACATAGGCTTGAATCAGCACAGCTGACTCGTCCAGAGAGCAGCTCTAAAGTAACCTCGGATCGACCCTTGACCCCGCATATTTACGGTTGGGTGCGGGGGGAGCTATCAATTACCCCATACCCAACAGTGACTCTCTGATCCTCTCACTCTCCAAGTCCACCGTATCAACAATTGCATGAAGGCAAGCTCAATTGTATATCTCCGTTGCTCCTGATCATCACTGATTTATTATGAAGCTCTGATATCCGCACCTTGACCTTTGCACTCACGAAATGCGCCCTTGCGGAGGAGGAATTGTCGCGGCTTTACGAAGCAGACGCCATGATGCGATCCCTGCTTCCTTGACATCGCAGCTCTACAAGACATCGGCTTATGAGCTGAGACTGTCCAGGAGGGGTTTGCTCACCGATAGTTATGCACGAGGTCCAGCCACGGTATGTGTACGAAGCTCAATGGTACCGCTTCGAGCTGATTGTGACAATGATATTGCAGCCACCCTTGCTGGAGCTGACAGTTGGTGAACATTTTGCGAAAGTTGTCTCTGAATATGGCGACCGTACAGCGTAAGTGACATTTCCCAACTTTAAAAGCGCAGGGATTAATTCCGTCCAAGGGTCATTTCAAAACACCAGAGGGATCGCTTTTCCTATGCCTCCCTTGATCACAGGAGTAACTCACTAGCTCGCGGATTGGCGTCCGTGGGAGTGAAGAAAGGAGACCGGGTGGGAGTCATGCTAGGAAATTCGGTGGAATATGCTGTGGTTCGTCAACAGTCCTCTAATAGGCCTCAGCCATGGTATTAACCGATTGTCAGACAATTCATGCTTTGGTTAAATTGGGCGCTATTCTGGTACGTCACTTGCACTGAGCCATCAGAAATGGATTGTCAAGATCACTCACACTCATCTGTTAGGTCCCACTGAATCCTTCATTCAATGCTGCCCAGGTCATATCTGCGCTGGCTCATCTTGAATCAAGTCATCTCATCATAAGTAGCGAGTCCAATCTTCCTCGAAAGGATCCTCGCTCAAATCTACCGCTTATAGACCAACTCATTGACGATGTCTCCACGTCAAAATTAGAGTCTTCGTCTGTACCATCCTTGAAGCGTGTCATTGTGGTCGACAACTCAGCTGGTCGTGTGGATACAAGATTGTACAAGAACTTGACTCCGTTCAACTCCCTTGTGTCCAATCTGGTGGCAGACAGTCGCTCACTCCCTTCTCAGGATCTCTCCCCAGACGAGATCATTAATATCCAATTCACCTCCGGCACCACAGCAATGCCCAAAGCGGCGTGCCTCAGTCACCGCTCGATTCTGAACAACGGAGCGCAGATCGGAGATCGCATGCTTCTAACGCCCGGAGATATAGTTTGCTGTCCTCCTCCCCTGTTTCATTGTTTCGGGTTAATCCTCGGATTCATGGCCACAGCAACTCATGGCTCAGCAATCGTCTTCCCGTCCGAGTCATTCAATGCGAAGGCAGCGCTGAGCGCAGTACAGGAAGAAAAGTGTACTGCGCTGTACGGTGTTCCAACAATGTTTTTGGAAGAGCTCAGTCTTATTGAATCTGGGGAAGTTTCGAGCGATGGATTTCAGTTCCTGCGCACAGGTATTGCTGCCGGCAGCAGTATCCCTGCGGAGCTTATGAAAAAGCTTCATAAGGTGCTCAACCTCACGGAATTGACAATATGCTACGGAATGACAGAAACGAGCCCTGTGTCTGCGATGACGACGACTGACGATCCCCTTGGGAAACGTATCAACACCGTAGGACGTCTCATGCCACACGTGGAGGCCAAAATTGTCGATCCAGTCGACAAGTCCCAGATTCTTCCAGTCGAGACACGAGGCGAACTCGCCGTTAGTGGATACCTTCTGATGAAAGAGTATTGGAATGAGCCCAACCGGACTGCAGAGGTTATGATTCCAGATGCAGAAGGAAAGACGTGGATGCATGTGAGTAGGGCACGCAGGCTTTTTTCCCCTTGAAGCTTTCTAACTGAACTATGCTTTGAATTTAAGACCGGTGATGAAGCAACAATATCAGCCGACGGCTACGTGACCATCACCGGCCGCATCAAAGATTTGATCATCCGCGGCGGAGAGAATATCCATCCCTTGGAGATTGAAAACTGCCTGCTGGGGATGCCTGAGATCAACGATGTCTCCATCGTAGGCGTTCCGGATCAGCGCTATGGCGAGGTTGCTGCTGCTTTTGTGATCGCTCGAGACCACACCTATAGCCCTCTGACCCCCGAGAAGATTCAGTATTGGGTTCGTGAGAAGCTAAGCAACCATTTAGGTATGTGTCAGGCTTGTTCATGTCGATTAGAAATGGTCGCTGATTTGCTGTGCAGCGCCCAAGTACGTCTTCTTCCTTGCGCCTGGCGAGTCTTTTCCCAAAACCGCGAGTGGGAAGATTCAGAAATTCAAGCTACGGGAAGAAGCTATCAGGCTTATTGCAAAGGATACGAAGAAGTCAGAGTGAATAGACCGAATGAATTGACAAAGAATCTCTTCAAAATTCGTAGAAGACGAATGTACGTTTCATGTCAGGACAGGAACATTCGATGATGCATGAAGTCACATATTTTACTGACTGCGCAGATTGTCATCCCATACAGACAAAAAAATGTGCTCGATCAAAAAGAGATACTTCTGGGAGCAAGGCCGGTGTCATCGGTGAATCAGGCTGCTCTAAGCAAGTTTTGCCACGAAGCCCCTGAATGGTATTACAGTCCCTGTGCAGGTAGTCGTAGTGCACAATGCCGAATCGCAAGCAGGTGCGTGCGACAACGCCGCGCTGCCGAGATTGCAAGACAGTTTGTAAGGGGATGTCTCCGCTCCCAACCCCAAGATACCTTGGATGGCTTTACGCCACGCGTTCTTCGCAAAGCCCAGAGGATGGATCGCAGGTGAAAACGGTCAGATGTTGGGAGACACGGTAGCGTGCGCGGATGTTAGTGCTCAAAGGTCTGAAGCAGACAAATTCGGCTTCCCTCTTCAGAAATCCTGAATTCCGGTCTCCCCCTGCAGTTGGGATCTAGCATCTTCTCCCCGAGCTTCTCCAACCACCCATTCTGGATCTTCGTCCTCGAAATATTTCTCCTGTTGCTCGGTCCAATCATCGTAATCGTCATTTTCGTCGACGATCTTGTAGTCAAAGTCTGGATCATCACCGCGCATAAACCGTAGACCCATCTCCCACTGCCAGGCCTTTTCACCTTCTTCTTTGCTTGCGGGAATGTCATCTCTATCCTCTGCGAGAATCTCTCCATCCGGGCCTCGGGCGTAGCTCATCATTGCGTTCGGATCAGGGTGTGCCAAAGCATCCATTTTGGCCTCGGAGCGCATCAGATCAGTCTCGAGGACTCCCGAAAAGCCTTTGGCACGACCCTGCGCTTCCCTTTCTTGGGGGGTCTGGAATCGACGAATGAGGCGATCATACAACAATGGGTCTAGAACGACATGATCGATATCGGTTAGCTTATACTGGACAAGCACTGACAGCTCTCAGTTCAGAAATCCGAACCCTGGCCTATCAGCCAAGAAGGCCAGTTCCTGAGCCTGCAGCGAGGAAACAAGCAGGCGGACCGGCTAGCTCGAGATCTGCCGAGAAGTACTCGGGATGCAGATCCAGATACCGCTTCCGACGGTTTTTGACCCGGACAGACACATCTTTGACATCGGCGGCCGAGTCTCGGCGTGATTGAAAGCCTGTGCTCTTTGGGAAGTGTGGCATCTTGACGTTGTTTCAGAAGTGTGGGGATGAGGAGTGAAGTTAGGAACGCGGAGCACGGCGGCAAATGCCTAGATTTCTGCCACTCCGGGAGCTGTCCACTTTCTGGATCCCTTTTTTTTCCTTGACGTGCTTCAGGTGAGAGATGCTGTTGGGATAAGCTTGTACGTTCTGATTCTAGATGCTCCGTTCTCAAATACATCGGGCTTGGATGATTGATACCTCAATTGCAGCTTGGAATCAAGGGTTTCGCTAATGAGCCTAATAGACGGACACGCCTATCGAGATCATATTTATTTCGATATACTCTGCCTTGACGAAGTGTCTTGATACCTCTTGTCAGAGAATCTGTCACTTGAGAAATCATGGCAGTCGATGAGTATATCCGGCGTATTGACGCCACACGCCTGGTCAAGGGCGTTGGCTTACTCTTCATCTTGGCTCTATATTCCCCCGTCATGCAGCTGGTGCTGTCCCCTGTCTACGGGTCCTTACCTTCTCACCTGTTCCACAACTTTGGTGTCGCTTTATCCGGTGCTGCCGGCTGGTTCCTGAAGGATCAGATCCAGAAGCGTGGCGGACGTATGGCCGCTTTTATGCTTCCAGTACTGGCATTCTGGACTCCGACCATTCAGTATTTCGTGCTGCAACAGAGCTCCAAGCTTGGAAATCCGACGGGCCCTATTGTTACCCAGTTCTTTGGATATTATCCATTGATCATGCTGACCGTGGCTGTTGCTGGAAAGCAGATTCAGTACGCTTTGAACCTGGAGTCACACGGTGATCTGGTCGTTGAGCATGTGCCTCTCATTGGTTCTTATATCTTGTACTCCTTCGGTGAACACGTGGCTCGGGCAATCTTGCCCCGTATTATCGGCGTCACTGTTGTATTCACCAGAGCCGGTTTGCAATTTTTGATCGCTGCGCTTTATGCCGTTGTCATTCCCTCTAAGCTGCTGCTTCTGACAATTCCGTCGATCATCTTCAGCGTCACCTCTGACGTCCACATCGGCGGAGTCAGCGGTGCCAACTCAATTATTCAAAAGGAGGGATATTCCCTGCTGGCTCGCCAGGAATCCAACACCGGGTATATCTCGGTCCTTGAGAACAATCACGATGGCTTCCGAGTCATGCGATGTGACCACAGTCTGCTCGGTGGCCAGTGGACTAAGGTGACCCCAGGTTATCATCCTCAAGTGGAAGATCCCATCTATGCCGTGTTTGTCATGCTCGAAGCCGCCCGTCTGGTCGAGTCCGAACATGGAGAGTCTCGTGTTGATGCCGGCAGCAAAGCGCTTGTGATGTGAGACCCTTCGAATAATTCCCTCAAAGATCAAGTGGCAGGTACTGCGAAAAAGAAGAAAAAAACTAACACATCCGTCTTAGTGGACTGGGCATTGGCACCACGCCAGCTGCTTTCAATAAGCACGGTATTGACACCACAGTCGTTGAGATCGATCCTGTTGTTCACAAATTCGCCATTGAATACTTTAACTACCCATCAAAAGGTGTCACCGTCATCGACGATGCTACTCGATATGTCAAGCAAGCCCAGCAGTCATCAAAGGCTCAGTATGACTATATTGTCCATGATGTGTTCACTGGTGGCGCTGAACCAGCGGAGCTGTTCACCTACGAGTTCCTGCAGGATCTGAACGCTCTTCTCCGCGATGATGGTGTTATTGCTATTGTGAGATTCGAACCCAGTGCCCTCTTCGGTAGATCACGACTTTACTGACACAACCCAACAGAACTACGCCGGAGATCTCAATTTGTACCCGACTGGTTTGATTGCCCGCACGATCAGGGCCATTTTCCCAACCTGCCGTATCTTCCGCGAGCAGCTGCCCATTGATGAGAATGATGTCTCTGATTTCACCAACATGGTATTCTTCTGCAAGAAGAGCTCTACCACGCCTCTCACGTTCCGTTCTCCCGTTTCTGCCGACTACCTTGGTAGCAGGGCGCGTGAGACCTACCTTATCCCCAAGCACGAGATCGATCCCGCGATCTTTGAGACTATTCCCGAGAATGGAAAGCGCCTCCTCATCCAGAAAGAGGTCGGACTTTTGCACGGCTTCTTGGATCGGGGCGCTTTGAAGCATTGGGGCATCATGAGACAGGTCATGCCTGCTGTTGTCTGGGAGAGCTGGTGATGGCTTCAATTCCGAAGTTGTGAAGGCTGAAAAAGCGGTTTGTACTATCTTTGAGACGTATGTAGGAGGGCCACGGGAAAGTTAAAATCATATGCGAGGCGCAATATCTTCAATTAAAAATTGCTTATCTTGCCAAGAAACTCAACGGTCGTCCTGGGCCAGTTATATCAATCTGCATACCAGACTTCTAGATCTCGACAACCCTTGTGCAATTCCAGCTGGCGAAATTCCTCGGTTGATCTGTTCCAACATCGCTCTGGCATGTGTTGACAATAGCAGAGACGAACGCTGATCGTACATGAATGGAAACTAAACACGACATACTCCAGGATTGTGAGATTGTATGTCGGGCTAGGTTCTCGCAAGATGAAAGAGGACAAAACATAGGATTGGAGGATTGCTCTATATCGACCAAAAGCACAATTCATATTGGTATCATGAACTAACATCCCACGAGAAAAAAAAGCCCTCAAGAAAGGTAGTAGGAGCACGGAGAAGGAACACTATATATGCACAAGTCACAGCAAACCCACTTCAGGCCAACAATCGGACCTTTCACGCGGATTGATTATGTACGCACTCAAGAACTCGCAGTTCAGCTTCAAGAGTTCCGAAATCTCAAGCGGACGGACTGCCACGAGGACTGGAGCCTGGTTTCTTGACGAGACCAGCGAAGAAATTGGCCAGAGCTTGATTGTGAGCTTTTTCATCGCCTGGATTGCTGGGGACGGGGTCCTTCTTTTGAGCGCGGCTGGCTTCTCGATCCTAGATGAACAACAGGGAGTGTCAACGGTCGATAGCGCTTGTGTGTGAGTGAGAGAGATACCGACCTTCAGCTTCTTCAGCATGTCTTCTGCGTCGACTTGAATACCACCCATGTTGAATTGCACTGGTCCGATATGTTCGTTGACTCTGCCCTCGTCTTCCATCGGTGACATGTCTAGCTGTGGCGTGGGCTTGCTGGACCGCTCCTTGTCATCTTCTTCGCGGAGCTGCTCGAGGATCTCCACTTGCCTCGCCAGGAAGGCTTGCATGTCCGAAGTCTCGACCTCGATTTGGTTTCCAGTGGTAGAGGTAGGAAGCGCGATGCCCATGTCCCGTTTGGGATCTTGAATGGTCTGTTCAAAGATGGCGACCGCGCTGGTGCCTTCTTCGCCATCGTCGCTTTCCTGGCCTGTCGTTGAGGAGTTTTCAAGGGGTTCAGGCGCGTCTTGAATCTCAATTGACCAGGCGGTGGAGACACCTTCCATGTCAAACCCTTCACGTATGATGCGAATTTTGCCCCAGGAATCCCAGTTCGCAGGTACTAAGATCTTGTCGCGGTCGATGACATTGTGTTTCAGTGACTGTCGCTTCAGTAGCGAGTGGATACCAAGCGAAGAATGAATCAGACTCTGTAGAGAATTTGCGTGAAAAGGGGTAGTGTAGATGAGCGAGGCGCCATCTATGAGAGGGGAAATTAGATCACACCAAAGAGAACTTCGCGAGAACTGAACACTCACGCTTTAGCAAAATGGTTCTCAAGAGCTGCAAGATAAAATCAAATTGCTCTTCGTGCCAGCCGTGATCTTTCTCGAGTTTCTCAATTTTATCCGCCTAGATGGAGCTCAAGGTTTAGTATCTTTGCTTCGAACGAAGACTGGTCTAGAAGGATCGGTCCTTACCCCTTGACAAACGACACACATTGGAATTCCCAAGCCTTCATCCCACTCGCCGGGGCCCAAAGGAATGGCGACGCTTCCTCCAGAGCTCGATATCCCTCCTGTTCCTGCTGAGTGAGCATCCAGACCTCGCTTGCGGTCCCGCCACTCTGTCATAGTTTCCTCCATGACGATCTTGGTCTGGTCGTCAAGCGATACAAGCACTGAACGAAGCAGGCGAACCCACGCTCTAAGTCTTCGAATCCACGTCCATGGGTTCGACCAATCTAGAAGGATCACCACAAGTGTTTCCGGCACAGATTGGGGAGTCAACAGCGGCTTCAGGAGCGGAGCAAAAGACGGTGAGGGTTCAGATAGGAGGTACGCCGACACCCGAGCAAGTGTGTCTATGCGCTTGTTGTAAGCTACAGAGCATATCAGGCTGGAGAGGATTGCAGTACCTTCTTGGTCGGCATCGAGCACATCTCGATATGTGTATCCTAGGGCAAACTGATTGGCAATTGGAGGTGTCCTTCGCTTCCTCTTATCGTTGCCTGGGCCGGGCTCAGATGAGGTATCCGCTGAGAATGTTTCCAGGAATTCTCTTTGACTCTCCAGTGTGCCACCTATGCTTGGGCCGTTAGTCTTCGCCGCTCAAAAGGGTATTGTTTTCCACCGGGCGCTGAAGGCGCTTCACACCAAAACGGGTTTATGACGGACCTAGTACGAGCAAATTCTTCTCTGGAAGGCGCTTGCCATTCGCGGCGCCATCGAGCAAAGATGACCAGATGTTCTTCTTAGATCCATCTTTGCTGGAAGGTCGACTATTTGTTCCGGATGCTTTAGCTCCGGGATTGGGACTGGACTCCATTGACCTGGCTGAAACCACTATGTTTTGTGTAGTATTTGTACCATTCCAGTCATAGAGACCATCCGTATGCTGTTCGAGTCCGAAAGCGCGTCACGTATTCGAATTGCAGGTCGCCGCGCGGAGGGAATTGGGGTGGTTGAAGGTGTCCCGCGGATCAGGGGAATAAGGAAGATGAGGGCGGGCGTACGAGATTGGTGTCTCAGCTCTGGCAAGAGCTCCCAACCACAACAGAGGATAGCAAAAGGACTGGCACTTATGCAGTCACGAGTTTGGTCGACGTCGTCTGGTAGCAAAAGTTTGGCCAAAGAGGGGAAGGGATAGTATAATAATTGAGGCCGGGGTTGCGTACTGTAAACAATTGGCGATTGGCGATTTTACGGTTCCGCCGAAGCTCCGAGTGGGGACCCGTTTTCAACGCGAAACTGGACAGTCGGTGGCTTCTGGCTTTGATCTCTCGAAACTCCTCCGCATTCACAATCCCTCTAGCCACGAGCCACGATCGCCTTGAGGACTGAAAGGTACCTCTCTACACCAGCTCAAGCTTTTGTGAGACACGCTGAGAGAGGAAGTTCACAATGAACGCGATTCGCCAAACACAGGCACTGAACAAGCGCGAGCTCGAGAACGCAGTGTACGTGCAGCCTTTTCCGCTTTGCGCATACCCGTCTTTCTGATGCGCTTCGGAAGCTAACAATTGAGTGCATGCTGTATAGGCCACCCGAGGCATCATGGCATGCAGACTATCGCGACACTGCGTATATCTACATTGGAGGGCTCCCGCTTGACCTTTCTGAGGGCGACATCATCACCATCTTCTCCCAATACGGCGAGCCAGTTCACATCAACCTACTTCGAGACAAAGAGACAGGAAAAAGCCGCGGATTTGCCTTTCTCAAATACGAGGATCAACGAAGTACGGATCTTGCGGTGGATAACCTGGGAGGTGCGACAGTTCTCGGACGAATGTTGCGGGTGGACCATGCCCGGTACAAACGAAGGGATGATGAGGAAGAAGGCGACAATGTCGCAAGATTAATGGGCGATCCGACGACTAGCCAGAGCAAAGACGACGGCAATGATGATCGCCATGGGCGGAAGGGGCCGCGCGATAACGAAACGAAGGAAGCGCGACCCATGCTCAAGGAAGAAAGGGAACTTCAGGACTTGATTCAAAACCACGACGATGAAGATCCCATGAAGGAGTTCCTGATAGAGGAGAAGAAAGAGGAGGTTGCACTTGCGCTAGCAAACTACCGAGAAAGCAAGCGCTCCTCCCATCGACGTGACGACAGCAGAGACCGTTCCAGCCGTCATCATCGACACCATCGTCGACATCGCTCTCGCTCCGCGGAGCACAGGCACCGGCGCGATCGTTCCCGGAGCAAGGAGAAAAGACCAAGGCGGCGGTCAGCTGAACGTGAGCCGGAATCCCGAAAAGATAGCACTGCGGAACACGATGAACGTCATCGGCGAACCCGAACTGGCAGGGAAGACCAGTCCAGAGGTGAACATTCGGTCGAGCGCTCCCGCTCATCGCGTTCGCGGAGGAACCGTAGTGAGCGAGACCGCCATGACCACCGTCGCTGAGGGAAAATATTACGCTGCAAGGTTCTAGCACACCAAACCTGACGCATCGGGGACAGTCTTGGCGCTTTTGGTGGAAGAAAATGGCCTCGGGTGCTGCATGAGTTGCCATTGTGTGCGATCTCTACGATCAGATTGTACTAAGTGGTATGGGACAGGCGTTTTCGAGCATAGCTGGATTCTCCCAAGCTACACAGGCTGTTCATCACGGGTTACCTCAGCCTCCTAAGTAACGCTTCCAGCCATCACGCGTGCAATAACGCCTTCCGTCGTCGCCATTTCGGAGGATAAATTTCTCCCATCGCCCATCTTGACCTGCTCCCAGGACCAGCAGCGTATGATTATCAATCCATCCGATGACGCCTTTGGCAGGCCGACGGCCTATCGAGGTCCCGGGGCTCGATCCATACGATGTTCCCGATCCAGCTTCATCTCCAATCTCAAAATGCGCACTGGCAGATGAGTAAATGTCCGAAAACACCCGGGGTAGCAATGGAAGTCTGCCCAGGATCCCCCACTTCTGGCTAGCGCTCTCTTCTAGCGATGAAGCAGGCGACTGGGCGCGATGAGGCAGATGCGGATGTGGCACGTCAAAGATGTGAAGAGTAGACTTGTCGGATGTTACTGCCAAGAGATTATTCGAGGGCGAAAAAGCTAGAGAGAATATGATCGCGTGGTCCACGCCACGACGCAATTCGGCCAACTTTGTGCAGTTGGCCGTTGAAAAAATCCGGACCAATGTTCCCTGTTTTTTGAGGATATTAGAATTGCATCAAGACGACCTCGTACTTAAGGGCGCTCACCGCTTCGCTGGCCGTAGCGAGAAGTTCACCGTCCGGGCTCAATGACATTGCACGTAGAGGAGAGCTGTGCGCCGGTATGATACTAATGTTGCCTGTCTCCAGCTCAATAAGCTGTACTTGTCCTGGAGACCGACCTGGAAAAGCCAGTTTTTTCTGGCCCAGGCAGGCCAATCCTAGCGGGTTGTCGGATGTTTCGTAGACGGACAGCTTCTTCGGCGACGTCGAAAAGGCATAGACGTGTATGCTATTCAGAAGCGCCACCACGATCTTTGATTTCGACAGGCGAACACCCAAGACAGATGTGCGAAACTCGAGGATGATGGCGGCTTTCTGCTTCGCATCATCCCAAATTACGAGCTAAAGAGAAGTCACGGTTTGATGAGCGGGAGGGGCATCACACGGCAGCTTTGAAGAAGTTGTGCGCACTTTGTTCTGAGGGAACTTGGGATTTCGGCCTCCGCCGACGATGGCGAGGTAGTTTGACTGGCCTAGCATTTCGACCACGCCAATCCCGGCGTTGAAGTCTGCAATCCCCGGAGGCTGATGGTGAGTTACATCTAGTCGGACTGACGCCTTGGTGATGGGAAGGCTGACCTCGAGAGACCTTGAGCTCACAAGGGTTCGCATTGAATACTGGCCAAAGTATTTCTTAGTATCGTCTTTCTTGTTGCTTGACATACACTGCAGACCATACCACAAAACCCAGAGTTCAGGCCCACTGAGAAACAACTGCTGTCATTGTTGAAGGCTGCCGACAGTGAATAGGGACCAGTAGACTCGTCAATGACTTGGCGGGTATTCATGCTTGCGGAGCATGACGTGGGTGTATTGTACTGCGCGCACCTTGATTAGAGAGGGTGGTCCAGGGCTGGAAGATGGAGCGACGACGATGCCGGCACTCGCTGGAGGGGATGACTCGGCAGACCAAGAAGATGCAGCTTACTTATCAAGACGAGTAACAAAGAATCGTGCTGAGAGTTTACATAGAGTCAAACGTTCATTTCTTTGCAACGTTGCGCAGGTCGATCGACTGACAGCTACAAACGTCGGGTGATCACAGTGGATCGGCGATAAGAACAGGGTAGCAGGCTAACTCAATCCAGAATGAACCCACTCGATTTCTGAGATGCGGGAGCCGGGATTCTAGTTGAGGGTGACTGCCTCACTGGTGGCCTGAGGCACTCTTGCGGACGTCGAGATGATACGGGACTATTGATGCCTGAGGCATGAAACTTGACGGCCTGGAGCGGCGGGGGCACTGATTACCTAAACTTTCAGGTGTCCATCATTCAAAGCCATCAGTTTATTTCTGCCTGAGGCTACTAATCAGTGACCCACTGTATGTACCCTCAACTGGTTGACTTTCAGGGGCTCGCAGCTGTACCTCAGAGTCAAAACTACCCAGCATTTAGAAGAAAAGATGAAGCTAAGCATCAGCTGGAGCATAGTTTACAGCGCTTTGCCGTACTAGTTCCATACTTGAAATAGATCTTTTGTCCTAACAGCTTGGCTCTTTAATCAATGCAATCCGAGTCCCGACACAGTCCCCGTAGTACCTGGCACTAGCTGCACTTGGGCACTGTGGAGCTTGTACCGGTGGCTCCAAAAGTCGGGGCCAGTGAGGTATCTTTTGGAGGAAGAGCTAAGCTGGGACTGGAGTAAAGAGTGAGGGTCCCGTGATTGGCCGCGGAGGGAAAGGGGGAAACACGAACGCCCTCACATCTTAATTCACCCCCCTACTACTGCCACTGCTACGACTGTCTGCTGCTCCTTCCACTGTCGTTTGCTCGTTCCCAATCAGCCTTCTCCGTGGACATTGAGATTGGACTTTGCGCACTTGTCTTCTATTCCCATTGCGCCAGTGGCTGACTTCAGGTCAACTCATTCCTGTATTCCTACTCATTCCCCTTGTTCTCACTTAGCCCACCATGTCGTCGGCCCTCAACGCGGTATGTCTCTCCCCTTTTCACCCTTCACCTGAATTCTTGTCACTCCCCGCCTTTGCTCAGCAAAATCACCCTCCTGAAAATAACTGGAGTGGGCGACAACTAAAAGTGGAATCCACCGAAGCTGACTCTGTGTCCCGTTTGGGGCAGCATCAGATCCGTCGCAAGAAGAATGTCAAGAAGGGAATCCAGTTCTGTCTGATGGTGTGCGGTGCTAGTGGAACGGGTACGCTCAACAAGACCATCTCCAGACTCAACCAATTGCTCACAAGATCGTGTCCAACGCAGGGCGCACAACTTTTGTGAACACTCTATGCGGCAAGACGGTACTGGAGGGCAAGGACTCCGATGATCCAGAGCACGCTCACGTCGAGGAGGGCGTCCGCATTAAGCCTATTACTGTCGGTGAGTGAGAATAAGGATACGGAGTCTTGAAGACAATGATCTCCAAAGCTCTTGCTGATCTATCTGGCACGAACCAGAGCTCGAATTGGACGATGAGGGAACTCGCATTTCTCTGACCGTTGTTGATACCCCCGGCTTCGGTGATCAGATCGACAACGAGGCAAGGTATGTGGACTCTTCCCTCTTCCGGTCTCCGTGTATCGGGGACCCGGGCAGTCGTGAAATCTTTTTTTTCTGGGACACTAACAGCGATTGTCAAATAGCTTCGGTGAAATTGTCGGCTTCTTGGAGCGCCAGTACGATGATATCCTGGCAGAGGAATCCCGCATCAAGCGTAATCCTCGCTTCAGAGACAACCGTGTTCACGTGCTACTCTACTTCATCACACCTACCGGTCACGGTCTCCGTGAGCTCGATATCGAATTGATGAAGCGTCTCTCCCCCCGTGTCAACGTCATTCCCGTCATCGGCAAGGCCGATTCCCTCACTCCCGCCGAGTTGGCCGAATCCAAAAAGTTGATCATGGAAGACATTGAGCACTATCGCATCCCCGTCTACAATTTCCCCTACGATATCGAGGAGGATGACGAGGACACAGTTGAGGAGAATGCTGAACTTCGAGGGTTGATGCCGTTCGCCATCGTGGGATCCGAAGACTTTGTGGAGATCGATGACCGAAAAGTGCGCGCCCGACAGTATCCGTGGGGTGTAGTTGAGGTTGAGAACCCTCGACACTCCGACTTTTTGGCCATCCGAAGTGCCCTCCTTCACAGCCACTTGGCGGATCTCAAGGAGATTACGCACGATTTCCTCTACGAGAACTACCGTACTGAGAAGTTGAGCAAGAGTGTCGACGGTGGTCTATCGTACGTTTACCATCCACCTTGAGACCATAGATCTCTATCGGACTGAATTTCAAAATGATGATACTGACTTTCTTTGCAGTGGCCTGGACTCATCCATGAACCCAGAGGACCTTGCCTCTCAGTCTGTGCGCTTGAAGGAGGAGCAACTCCGTCGTGAGGAGGAGAAGCTCCGTGAGATTGAGCTCAAGGTGCAGCGTGAAATTGCTGAGAAGCGACAGGAGCTGTTGGCCCGCGAGAGCCAGCTGCGGGAGATCGAGGCGCGCATGGCCCGTGAGGCCAGCCAAAGCAATGTCAGCGAAGCCCCCACCGGGGAGGTTTGAAGCGGACTCCCATGTGGTAACTGAGTCAAGCCAGTTGTCAATGCAACTTATTCAGCGGGGCGCCATTTCACATTGTGATACCATTTGTGCCAACTTATGGACTTGAGGCACAAAATTGGTTATTCTTCTTCGTTTTTTTTTCTTGTTGATGGGGATAATATCAATTCTTTATTCACGTTAATAGCTTCGATTCCCATTATTTGTCACTGTTCTCTGCAATTCATTTTTGCACTTCGGCTCTCACCTGTTCAACTGGGATACCGGGAGGTCTTCAAAATATTTTTCTGACTCGGAATGCAGCGTTCAGGACAAATTGGTCGGACTGAATCTCTTCTTACCCTTTTCTCGGCACTTTGCTGACGTACCAAGGGAAGCGTGCTAATTGACTTAACCGATGACTGTTCAAGAAAGTAACACTCAAACACTCCCTTCCACTTGTCTGTCGATTTCTTTCGTCTTCTGCCGACACGAAGCCATTTCCACCTCTCTTGCGGCTGATATGACGAGTACTTGCTTGAATTTTTTTTTGTTCTTCGCCTGAAGAATTGCCCTTTCTGTCAATATCGATGTCTCTTCTGTCTCAGGGCATTATTTCGGGTAGCATCAATGCCATCGATTCTTCTTTCGATACATAACTTTGCTAGTCTGCCTCTTCTATGCTAGCTATCTGACACCACGAGATCTTGCTCGTGCTATTTTCTGCTCGACTTTCAACCACCCAGCTGAGAAGACCGAGATGGTCGAGGAGAGAGAGTACCTCATGCAACCTGCTCTAAGGCTGTGACTGGGGAACTCAACCACAACTACCACCTGCGTGTAAATACAGGCTCTAAGACCTGCGAAATCCTGCAGAGCATTCAAAAGCTGGCATAGCTGTGCACAATTGCACATTGCTTCCTTTGAATGGGCGAGTGGAAGTCTACTCCCGGGTGCAAGGTGCAGGGACAGTAGTCTAGGGACTAGGGAGTCATGTCCTGGTGGTCGAGCCATGTAGATGTTTACCAGTCGAATGTATCGCCTCGTAGATTGCGCTATCGCCACTGCGGCCAGGGATTACATTGCGGAGCGCACAAACGAGTTTCAGACATTGGAAGTTGGGACCGAGCGTTATGTCATTAAGTAATATCTCTCTACATGGAATGCATTTTCATTGGGAAAATATAGTGACATATCCCTCCGAGTCAAAAAGAGTAAATGACACTAAGGTGAAGGTAAATGGATAGACGGATACAGATAAGATCCCAACAAAAATAGGAAAAGTCGTCAATTTCCCGGCAATAAGCCGAAAGGAGGTGGAATCTTTGAGGAAGGAAATCTGAAAAGGGAGGTTCTGGAAACGAATAGCAAAAGCAGGTAGCGTACTCGGTGGAATGCAAGTAGAGAAGGGTGTTCAAAATCAGAAAATAGAGTTATGAAAATACGCAAGAGGTGGTATTCTGCGCTCCATGATACAGAGGGGGGGGGGCTGACAACAAGTAAATTTGGAGATGAAAGCAGACCCCAGCGCTAAAGCTCCACAAAGGAACAACGGGAGGCGGTAATGGCGGGGAAAATGGGAAAGAAAGTCCAAGGATGGTCCGGCGCAAACCACCTGAATGAGGAACTTTTCGTATAATGCTCGGCACCTTGACATGCGCACTGAGTGAGTCATTGACCAAGGTCTACCCAAGCTCTGCTGGGCAAATGCTGTCCACAAGTATTGCTGTAGCTATCTCAGCTCTTCATTACTTGACCACACTTGGGAGAAATAAACACCTAAACCAGTAGGCGCTTACCGAGGCTGGACAGTTGTGGACAGAAGCCATTTGATAAAGGGTAATCGGCAGCCTGGAGGCAGGCCTTAACCAAAAGAAAGGGATTTCTTGTTCGAAACCCTTAAGCCTGTTGTTGTGGCTTGCTCCAGAAGTCTAGACTGGCGACCACATCTTCGCCGCTTTCGTCCTCGTAGGCGTAAATGATTTCACGGGTGGAAGAATGCAACATTCGGATGTTCTTTCCAGTCATAATATGAATCAACTCACTGGTCTCAACATGGCGAATTTCGATGAAATTGGGTTCAAATGCAAGGATGTAAGGGTAGGACAGTGCGAAGGCGTTTGGATTGCCTTCCCAGGAAATCCTCCAGTCTGGACGAGCGCGCCAACCATTGCGGTTGACAAAGAACGAAAAGTCACTGTAGTTCAAGAGGAACTCCCCATTCATGCGCTCAATGTGGATTGGCTTGACATTCTCCTTGCGAGCAACAAAGTCCAAAGACGTATCAGCCTGGTCCAATAGAGACTGGGTTTCAGTGGTTTCCAGGCTGACAACCTCGAAGCCACGCGCACAGCCGACACAAAGAGTAGACCGGAGGAAATGGATCGATGATGATTCTGCAGGAATGTAGTATTCCTTGAACGGCTTGAGAGTATCTTGCCCGCTCTGGAACATCTTGCTAACAGCCGACTTCTTCTTGCCCTTTGCGAGGTTGTCCATGGGCTCGTACACCTTGATAGTGCTTGACAAGGCAGAAGTCTTCACGGAGCACACAAGATGACGACCAAGTCCAATACCTGCTTTGAAGAAGTTTGCATGACCCTGAATCTTCTTGGGGCGCCTAGCTATCGTATTCTGACCTTCACCAATATCAAGTGCATCGAGTGGATACGATTGGAGAGTCTTGTTGGCCAACACCAGGAGCAGTTGATACTCTTCCAGTGTGTCAATCTGGGTGACCTGACTAGCCTCAAGGACTTTCCTGGGCTTGGCGTTCTTGTCTTTGGGCCACCTTTCAGAGAGGTAAATACCACTATCGGTGCCAAATACCAGCTTACGTCCGCCATCTTTACCATAGTCAGTAAGAAGGGCACAAGAAACCCACAGAGCACATATTAAAGAAGGGACAACTCAACGTACCGACTGGAACACAACAATTGACGCGATTGATGGCCGAGAAGAAGTTCTCGCACAAGACCGTCTTGTTGTAGAAGTTACTGTTTCGTTCCCACAATTTTCGCTGCTGCTCCTCGACCATCTCAATGAATTTCCTCCTTTGTGTTGGGGATGTCGCGTAGAGAGTCTGCTCATAACCTCCTTTGCCCAGATGACGGAAGGTGATCGGTAGTTGGCCATCTTTCGTGGGTGGAGGGTTAGGCGCAACTTTGTTGGATAGCAAGCTAGAGGAAGGCCTCTTAGAGATACCGAGACGGGGAATGACTTCCTCCATCTGAGCAATCACCAGAAGTTCCAAAGGGATGGGTTTCTTGTAAACTCGATATTCTTCTCGCTTATTGACGACCTTGATTCGAACAAGCAGCACAGCATGGTCAAACAAGTAAGCGGTCACTTCGGAGCTTTCTCCCGTAGTTTTCTTGAATGCCATCTTGGTGAGCATTTGACGATTTTCCTCGGTCAATTTCAGATCGACGTAGTCACCAGGATTGAATTTCAGCGAATTGTTTAATTGCACCAGATTGAAGTGGTTTTCAGCCTTGCCACTCTCGGCATTGACGCGGGATAGGAAGCTCTTGATCAACTTGACTGCCTTGGGGATGTCCTCTTTGTCGGGATTGTCATCGCTTGTATTCTTCAGTACCGACTCCAGCAAAAGGGGATATCGGGCGAGACGAGTCGTCGGTTTTGTCAGGTAGCCGTTCAATTCAAGCTTGCGAGATTCCTTCAAACGTTCCGTGTCCTCCACGAATTTGGCAAAAGCCGGGTTTGAACTTTTCTCCTTCTCAAATTCGAACTTCCCGTAAAGTTGATTAGCACCATACTTGATGAATGGATCGAATCGCGGCACATGCTGAAGGAAAATGTCTCCCACAGTTTTGACGACATGACTTTCTTTTTGTCGAGCGTTGAGAGCTTCACAGAGTGCGCTGTTGACCTTCAAAACCTCTAAGCAATTTCCAAATACGGTGCGAATAAACTTTTCTCGCCTGTGTTCGGGAATCGGAGAAGCAGTATTTGCGCCAGCCGCACGCAGAGGGCGCATCCAGAAATCTCGAAGATACTCCAGATCCTTGACGAAGTCCCGCTCAGTATACATGATCTCGAAGATGATCTCCTGTCGCTTCTTCTCGTGGTCATCAACGCTCTCGGAAACCTCTTTGGGGACCATGTTGATCCAGAGTTTCTGGTTGTCGTTGTCGTCATCATCATCGATATGTAAGCTGCCTTTCGAGCCTGACGTTCTGAGGATTGGCTGGGGTTTCAAGTTCAAGCGCGCTTGCTGCTCAAGACGTCGAGGGCAAGCGATGGAGTAGCAGAGACTGTCACGGGTGCATGTCGGGGAATAGCACTCGGTGAGGAGGGTGAACACTCCGTTGACTTCTGTGCCGACTGCTCGATCCTCAGTCAAAGTTTCCTTGAATTGGTAGACCTCTCCCGGGGCATCTCGAAGGCGATGGTCATAGGTTACGTCGTGGAAAAACTTTTGCGCATCCAATGCGCGGCCCAGCAGCAGTGCCAGGTTGCGGTCATTGGTTCGAATTATACTCGCGATGAGATCGACTGCATCAGTACCCGAAAACGCGTTTTGGTACGACAGGCCGTTCTTCTGTCTCTCCCCAAGCGAGATCTTCTCACGAAATACATCCGCAACTCGCGACAGAAGGGCGGGGTAAACTACAGGGACCCGGCGATGGGAGTCTCGCGAGACAAGAGTAGCCTGGCCGTTGGAGCTCTGGGTTGCCTGGCTTTGCACGCTCATCGTTCGATCTGGGGTGATTGTAGAAGCCATGGACATCGTGCGAGACCGCGAAGATGCGTCGCTAGGTGGGCGAGGCTTATTGGCGTACATCTCCGCTACATGATTTGGCATGGAGTCGTATCTGGGCGGTGGGGTCACTTGTTCAGGGCCCGAGGGGGGTCGTCGATTAGGAATCGGCCTACCGCTGTTCATGATGTGGGTGTGATGAGCGTCGGTCGCATATGAAGTCATCGACATGGCTCTTTCGTCTCGATGCCTGTCCGGCACTGGCCTTCCGAGTTGGGTCATCGCCGCGGCATTATGGTGGTATTGATTTTGACGCGTGACGGCGGTGGGATTCGGGTTGAATGGCGGCGACGGAGTCGAGCCTGGCCCGAATGACGGTCCGCTCAGCTTGGCCATCGAACGCGATCGTGTGGCATCGGAGTTTAGAGCGGGGGTGGCATTGGCCGGCCGAGGTCGCGAGAGTCTGGATACTGAGGCGGCGGTACAGGTCTCGAGTCAAGACGTTGAGGTCGGGGATAGGCGAAGCGGCCCGGAGGACCAGGATATTGACGTGCTGCTGAGGGCTGCGGTGACGCCGAACCAATTGCTGGAGTGTAGGCTTGATATTTTGCCTGCGGAGGTGCGGGAGAATATCCATTGTGAGGCGCAGGCTGTGGTTGACCGTAGCCATTTGCCATTGATTGACGAGTGGGCGGCGGCGGAGGTCGCTGAAACTGAGGGTGTACAACTTGCGAGGACATTGTGTGTGCGCGGCCTTGGTTGAACTGAGGGGTTTGCGAGTTCATTGTCTGGGAGCGTCCTGGAGGGGGAGCGCTCCCGAAGATATCATTATACGCAGCATCCCGCTGCACGGACGAGGCAGGTCCATTGCCATAGGGCCGGTAATTCCGGTTACGCTGACCCCCCAAGTCTGCCATGTTCCCCAAGTCCCGCGATTGTCCACCTTCGAACGAAAGATACGTCCTCTATTGCGCGTCAAAGCCCTCGCGTCGTTGGTTTAGTAGATCTGAGGCAGGGGGTATCTGGGGTCGGTTGTGGCAAGGACAGCGTTCAGTGTCGCAACCCAAGTCCGACCCTGATCACAGGCAATAGACAGCTGTAGAGGCGACGGGGAGAGGTTGAGGGTCTCGTGGGAACAGATTCGATTCGAGCAATGGCGACAGACTCGTCTCGTGAAGGACTGCGCGATCTGAATAGTGTAACCGCTTTGTCAGGTCCAAAACGTGGTGAGCACACCCGGCTCGATATGACGGTCCTGAGAAGAGCGCCAGGAGCCTTGAGCGCAGCAAAGTTCAGGCTCCTCGCAAGGTCATAAGCTGAGCATCCCACCAGAAAAGAGCGTCAAGGCGACACGGAGGACGAAGAGACAATGGCAGTATCGGTGGAGGGCGTGGTGGTGATTGTATTGATGGTGGTGGGGAAGGGGGAGTAGGGACGGTTGAACTGCACTGATCGTCCTCTTGAGGGGGAGGATGAGAGAGGAACGAGGATGAGGCGAGGTGACGGGCCGTCCGGTATCGTGGTAATCTGATGACAAAGTCCGGAAGATTCCTGGGAAATTGAACCCCGAAAGGTTGTCCGCCCGCGGTAAGGTATTGTCACGCTGCCGGGGAACCTTCAATGGGAGGAGTCAACCTGAAATCCACTACGGTGGGCCGAGTGATCCTCCTGCATCATCTCAGCTTGTGCAAGGAGACGCGGACCAGGTCACACCTCCGCTCCAGCTACTTTCGCCGTCTGCATCCGTGTCGAGCACTAATCCAGCTTGCGTCTTCTTTTTGTGCCTCGAGAAGCTTAGTGTCCATTGTACATCATGGCGGACAGTGAGCTAGCGCCGTTGTTCGCCCCATTCTTCTCCTTCGTGAGTAGCTCAAGTGATGCTTCCGGTGGCAGCTTTCGCAGCTTTCCAAACTAACAAATCCATGCGACCAGGCCGGCATTGCATCCGCAGTAAGTCTTGAACGGCACCCCAGAGTTTCGATAGTTGGGTTACTAAGCGTTCGTTCAATTTGAAGATGGTCTTCGGAGGTACGACACTTGATCTCGCAAACGGACCCAACTTGGGGTCGGCATGCTAACGATACATGACTACATCATAGCTGGTGGAGCGGCTTATGGCACAGCCAAGTCGGGAATTGGTATTGCAGGTGTCGGAACCTTTCGTTCAGACTTGATCATGAAGGTACGACCTCGCAGATGGGGGAGCATAACGCTATTCCAAGAATACCTGCAGACCTCGAGGACATCTGTGGAACCCGGTCTAGATGCACTAACCTGATTGCTTTCACAGTCACTGATTCCCGTCGTCATGTCCGGTATCATTGCGGTCTACGGTCTCGTCATCTCAGTCCTGATCGTTGGAGATATCAGACCCGATCAACAACAAAGCTTGTACAAGTAAGCAGTCTGAGCGGAGCTGCGACCGAGCACGCTTGGAGTTTCTCTGGATCTAGCTGACTTTGTTGTCAAAGGGGTTGCATGCATCTTGCGGCAGGCTTGTCCGTGGGTCTCTCCGGCCTCGCTGCCGGATACACGATCGGAGTTGTCGGTGACGCGGTAAGACGCCCAATGACACTCACTGGTTTGAGAGGTTTGTGATCCTAACAATGAGACTAGGGCGTCCGCGCATACATGCAACAGTCACGGGTCTACGTGGGGATGATTTTGATCTTGATTTTCGGAGAAGTGCTGGGCCTCTATGGGTAAGCTACCGCCTCAGTTCCTGGGTTGGATCTTCTATATGCTGATAATGGAACAGTTTGATTGTCGGCTTGATTCTGAACTCCAAGTCGTGAGCAAATGACTCGAACCACTACTCTTTACGTTTATTTTATCAATGCTCGCCCAATTTCCTTGTCCTGCCGCCTTCCATTAGTCCGGGATATATCACGGTCACAAATCGGGTGACGACTCGGATCACGTTCGCGCCAAATGCGCCAGTGCTAGCGTCAGGATGATTATTCCTGTGTTTACGGCGACACCATCAACCGATCTGGGTGTTCATGTGGATCTTATGGATGTTGATGACCGTTTCAGGTGTACTATATAACAAGACCTGCCTCCCGTAGTCGAGTCTGGAGCTCTTTCTAGAATCAAAGTTCTCGAATAAAGATTATCATCTCAAGTGTGGTTGTCGTGGAACTTCAAGTCTCCGAATCCAACCTTAGTGTTCCCGTCAGCTCAGAGTCCCGCCGCTCCCAAGGCATCAGCTACGGTCATACGTCAGCGCTCAAAGCGTTTCCCTCCTCTCTCCTCCATGCCCCGCGCTAGACAAATAATTACCCCCCCCGTCCCCCATTCTTCCTTGGGGATCTGAGATACACCTCTTCGAATGTTGATTCCATCTGCTTCAGTTGACACCGCCAAAGAGTCGCGCTGAAGCCTCAAAGCGATTGGTGGCGCGCATCTTGGGTGGGCTCCTACTCGAGAACTTTTTTTTACCCACTCCTGACTCTGTTGTTCCACGCCGCGGCGAGAGAGATATGATCTCTTGCCCTACCAATGACGAGGGGAACTGTCGATCCTTCGGCACCAAATGAGCTGCAGGGCAATTCGCCCGCTCATAAGCATCCTCACATGATGCGCGCCCATGACCTCCTCGAGAAGGAGAGACACCTCATCCATTCGATCCGCCGTGCTCCACACCGATCTGCGAACCCCTTTCTTATCAACGAGCGTCAGGGCGAGAAGCAGCTCTGTATTTCTTCCAAGAGCCTACGAGTGGACGATTTTCACTTGGTGAAGACTTTGGGCACGGGTCAGTATCCTGATATATCGCAAGTTCAATACAGGGGATTGTGGACCTAACGAGTACTGGTTGTGGAAATCCAGGGACTTTTGCTCGAGTATGGCTCGCGCGCCTGAAAGATGAGAAGGACCAGAACAAAGTCTATGCGCTCAAGATCTTGCGCAAAGGTGATGGTATGCGCCGCAGTTCGAAATCCGCGTGCGTCGCAATTCTTGGACTAACCGTCTCGGTTTTAAACCGACCACAGTGATCAAACTGAAACAGGTTGAGCATGTACGCAACGAACGCAAGACCCTTGCGACGGTTGTGGGGCACCCTTTCATCACGAACCTTGTCGCATCCTTTTCAGACGAGCAACATCTCTACATGTTGGTAAGATGGTCCTGGAGGTCGCTCTAGCCGGTCAGCGGCGACGGGGTGCTGTCTGGCTTGGGTACCATCGCTAACCGATCGCAGCTCGACTACTGTGCCGGAGGTGAGATTTTTACCTACCTGCGCCGAGCGAAGAGCTTCGACGAGGAGACTTCAAAATTTTACGCCGCAGAGATCACTATGACCATTGAATTTCTTCACGATTGCCATGGAGTGGCGTACCGTGACTTGAAGCCGGAGAACATCCTTATCGATGCGGACGGGCACATCCAGCTGGTGGACTTCGGCTTTGCGAAAACGGTTGACAATCGCGAGACATACACCTTGTGCGGCACACCCGAATACCTGGCTCCTGAAGTCATTCACAATAGTGGACACGGCCTTGCGGTTGATTGGTGGGCGCTCGGGATCTTGATCTACGAGTTCCTTGTTGGACAGCCCCCATTCTGGGATCAAAATCCATTGCATATCTACGAGCAAATTGTTGATGGACATATCAAGTTCCCGAAGGACATGTCACCCGCCGCGCAGAACATCATCTCTTGCCTCTGTAAGACCAATCCTTCGGAGAGATTGGGCCATATCTCGGGCGGCTCAACTCGAGTCAAATCTCATCCGTTTTTTGAAGGGGTCGCCTGGGACGATCTGTTCTATCGTCGCGTCAAAGGTCCGATCATCCCCCGGCTGTCTCATCCAGCAGACACGAGTAACTTTGAGGAATATCCGGACTCGGATATCCGCAATCAGAATCTCTACACCGATGATCTGAAGAAGAAGTATGAGCCGCTTTTCAGTGATTTCTGAAATGAGCTTGCGTGATCCCGCCTGGTCAGTGGAAGCATTTCGTCAGATTCACATATGAGAAGCTTGCAGTCCACCAACTTCCTTCTGATTGACCCAACGCTGAGCGTATCCTCATCCTCTCCTCACCTCAAGTCTGCGAGTGATGACTTTCTTTTTATCAAGGGGCCGAACTGAATAAAGAGTTGCGCCATCGTACAGCCATGACGCTAACTTGAAAAAAAACAAACATCGACACCTACCCAATACCCACAACCTCTCATACCGAATCAAGTCGGCGGCTCGGGCGAGAAACAGAGATACATCTCTATCGAGCAGGGGCCTTGCGCGAGAGTCGCCTTGTTTATGTACCACCTTCGTATTATAATACCGCCGTTTCTGACCCTCATAACCTACATACCATAGTTCTCTCAATTCTGCCCAATTCAACTACTCGGGAGGATAAGGTCGGAAGCACTTGACTTGATTTCCAGAGAGGAGGACACATTTGTACAGAATCATGGATCGGTGGATATTTCTCGCTATTTTATTTATGGGGACGGCTCCGTGAGACTTTAGCTGCTCGTGAGAAGCTTTTTGCCCGTGACAAATGACTTTGTATATAGAGATCTTACAACTACTTGGTTCAAAGGCACGTCTCACACACGATATGTTCTTGGGTCATCGAGCTACTTGGGTTGCGAAGAATGCTCTCGATCCAGCACACTCCTGACTCCAGAGCCGTGCATGTGTGTGTACGTTCACTTCAAGGAGTCGTCTGAGGTCATGTAGGGGGTGCTCCCGCAAACCCAGCAACGCAAAGGAGACCTTCGGTTCTCGTGGCACCCTATCGATTCGGAAATAGGATAATCTCTAGAATGTCCGCTCTCGATTAAGTTATATTACAGGAAGTCAGATACCATAAGTTGGGATGGGAGGGGGTCATTAAAACGTGGAGGAAGAAAAGACATCATTCCAGGAGGTCCGCTTTGCAAGACCGATCGCATTGCAAGTCCCATATCCTTGTGGCACTATCGTTGCATGGTTGCAGGTAGAGCTGCCGACATTCAACATTCATTGCAGACTTGATGGGACTTGAGTCGTGTGGGAATTGTTTTCCATTGTCGGTCGTCTTTTCGAGCATACTTTGTAAATGAGTTGCCGCTTTCTTATCGAGTGCGGTTTTCGAGAATGTTTTTCTTGAAGTTGAGTGGATGGATAGAGTGCGACTGGCTCTGCGAATATTGAGCTGTTGTTTTTTTCAAGCTGTAGCTTCTCGACTGAGATAGCGCTATAGAGAAGGATCCGTTTTCCAAGACCCTGTATACCAATGACAAGAAAACAAATGTTAGCGCCGAGCCAAGAGTTACTTCGCGTCAATGTTTCAAAAGGAAAGCCTCACCGTCAAATCGATGCTGCACAAAGGCCATGGGGTCATCTGTACCACCAGCCCCCATTTGCCCAACACCCGGACTGAAGCTCGTGATCGGTAAAACAACGACATCACCGACTTTCCGATGACCAGTCTGGCCGCTAAAGTCCTCGTAGGTGATATTCTTCTCACCTGGGGCGATTTGAAAGTAGTCAGGATTGTTGAGGTAGCGGAAGATGGCGTCGGTCCAGGCACCCGGTCCCGTGAATTCCATCACTGTCTTATCCATCTTGCCGACTTTGAGAATCCCCGCCTTCTTCATCCGCAATGCTTCCTCAGTAATGTAAGCGACCATGTCACGCAAGATCGGGTGGCCTGGCTTTGCCACGATGGTCCATTGACAGAATTGAATGCGTCGCGAATACCAGTCGTGCCAATCCGGGCGATCTGGATCCGCTTCGATTCCGAAAATCATGCCGACCCTGGATCGGTCAAGCTCATCCGGCAGCCAGTATGGTGCTGGTTTGAGAGCGACGGTATCAATGTCACTGTAGACGCCACCCCGTGCGAGCAAGATCAAATATCTGAAGAAATCGGCTTTCATAACCGCGAGCGGTAACGAGTCGTAGGCTTCGAAGACATCGGGGAGAGATGCATAGAGGTACATAATCAGGTGCCGCTGTACGTCATCTGTAATCACTTCATGTGTGAAGCCTGGATGCAAGGTAGTCCACGAAGCCTCGGACTCGCGCAAGCTGTCTGTAAACCACATTGATGATGGATCATACTTCCATGTCTGCCATATGTATGCCGGGAACCTGCTCCGCAGGTCGTAGGGAAATTGGTATCGCAGGCGGTTGTGCAAGGGCGCGTTTCCAAACGAAAGCGCATGGCGCTGTCTGGCATTCGCCCTGTCCGTTCTCTGCTGTTTGAGGGAGCTCTGCTCTTCCTCCGAGATCTTTGTCACTGGTCGAAACCCAGGCGCGCCGGGAATAGTCGCCGGTTGGCGGGAGTGGAAGAGGTAGATAAGAGCGAGGATGCAGACTGCGACAAAAATGCCTTTGCGGACTGTCGGCATCTCGATCAGCCTTCAGCGCTGGCGCTGGCGGGGGAATCCTGTTGTAGCCAATCAGAAGAACAAATTTTAAGAGGCTTGCTGCCGTCGGATGCGCGACAACTTTGGAGTTCTCTCGCTGGCCAAAAGCGCGATCAGAAGAAAAAAAAAAGAAAGAAAGGCGAGCAAAAGAGCACGGAGGCAGCCGACCGACCGCGCAGTTGAAGATCGCGGGATTGTGAAAGTCAAGATGAGCGGTTCCGCTGGTTTCTCAAAAGCAGCATTGCACTCGTGCTAAACTTGACCGTGTGCCCAATCCGTTTTGTTGCGATGTGACCTGGAGGTACGGTACTCAGGTACTGTTTGTTGGACGGAGCTCGGAGCTGCACCAGATTGCCGCAAACGGGCAAGAGGCGCTCCAGCGGGGCCCGTGTCGATCCGTAAATCGGGTATCTCACTTCTCCAGCAAGCAGCGATCAGAGGACACGACAATTGTGATCTCACTTCAGGACGCTGGCCCGCGTCAATTGAACATCGAGGGGAGCGCCTGCTGCTATATGGAAGAACTGGCAGAGAAAAGGATTGCGTATGCCGCGATGGTGCAAGTGGAGCCACTCACGTGGCTTCCCCGGAGATACGGGATGTTGACGTTGTGCTGTTCCCGCTGCAAGAACGCTGGCTGTATTACTTAGATGCCAGCATTAGTAATTTAGTACAACCTTCTGTACGAGTACGACCTCCGTAGATTGACATGCATCAGAGCCTGCGCAATACGAGGATATCAAGGCGATATGCCACATGTGCCATTTGGAATGATTCATGCTGAAGGACAAGCCCAGCAGTGACGTGGGGGAGATAAGCAGATTGATATTCTTCCCGGTCCTACTACTGCCAGTGCCAGTGCCAGTGCCAGTGCCTCGTAGTGGGCGGATAGCAGACCACTACATGTACGAGAGGTGCGATCATAATGCTCATGTAAAGTTGTACACCCTTTCTTGCTGGCTGCGATCCACGAGCTTGTCTATCCCGCTATTTCAAGCGTCCGGCAACCTCCTCCGTTGAACGGATCCATATTCTTATCATCTTATCACATCCGAGATGCGAGGATCCTCGTATATAGAGTCCATGTCTTGCATGTTGGTTTCATGCGTAGCATAGCGCTGAACTGCTCTCCTCATTATAATAAGTTAAGAACTCGAGACGTTTCGATTCGTCCATTCTGAATTCTGATACTACGCTTGATTTGAAAATTGGAACTCGGAACAGTGCCATGGTCTTCCAAACCAGATCAATTAGTACCGATACTACTACCTACCTAGGTAAGTAGGGAGGGACTATGTACTCGAGAGTCGAGGCTGTGCATAGAAAGATAGCCACCGTATCAACGATCAGTGGCCTCGATCGATAAGGACTGGCATCTGGCCTTCACACGGAGGGATTATCTTCCCGTTGACGTTCAGGGAGCCGAGTTGCCGTCCACCCCCGGCGAGAGTGAGGGCTGCCCACGTGGGCGATGCAGTGGGCGTGCGGCCGTGAGCTGGCGGCTCTGGTCACTTGTGTGGCTTGTCCTTCGGACACCACCGAGCTTGGCACTGGACATCTCTATCCACTGTATCGAGTAGTTATCGAGTCTCTCGACTCATCGAGTATGAGTATGGCACGTGCTTCTGACACACAGTTCCACGACGGTATGGGACCTGGTGGCAGAAGGGCTGCGCGAATTCGGTTTTATCTGTCTTCTCTTTTTGCTCTCTTTATCTCTCTTTTTCCACACACGGGTCCAGCAGATGGAATGCTCGCTTTAGGCTGTTCTTTTACCGCAGAGGACCAATCCATGGAAAGGCTGAGCGGAATTGCGACCGGAAGTGCGGCGAGAAAAATGCTGCCTGGGGGCCTAGGCCCGTATCCGTACGAACGACCAAATGTGTGCAACTGCAACCACCTCATGGAAGACTCTTCCACCGTGGGGGGAACCCCACCGTGGGATGTTCAACCTGCAGTGGAAGTTACATAGTCATGCGTCGACTTCGGAACAAATGTCTCAAAATGGAATGCCTTTGCCTCTTCACATTATTCAGTCGACGCAGTGAATAGAAAGAGTAGTCTACTACTCCCTGTAGAAGCCACTAACAACTTAGCAACTACAGTACAGCAAAGCCAGATTACAGTTCAGCCGGGGTAGAATGACCGTCGTCAGGGTAGGGTCCAGCCCACTTCCATTTTCCGTAAGTCCTCGGTAAATTATTGTGCGTAATCTGCCGTAACCTATACAGTTTCATATGTAATTATGTACATCACTTCCGGTACCGGAATGCGACCGTAATCTTTACATACGTTAAAGTATGGAAGACGTTTTGCTTTGATCACGGGATCTAGGGTACATGCGAGAAATAAAAGTGGAGCGACCCCTCCCCTGACGAGAGTAGGAAAGCCGTGGGCTGGAAGAGGGAGAATCGAAGAGGCATTAAAGCCAGAACTGAGCGGAGCTCTGCACTAAACTCGATTAGGTGGCTCACGTGGATCCATGTGAGACGATCGAAACAAGGGGGGCCATCAACCCTCTCTGATTGGCTTTTAGGGTGCCTGACTGCTCGCTCACAAAAAGCTTGGCCTTCGGTAGGGCGAAGAAAAAGTCTAATTGATCGGTTTTCCCCGACATCTGGCGCTCTCGATTGAGGAAACGCCTATGCACGGCAGAGTAGAGAAATGAGCGTCCTGATCGACTGGGCTTTTCTCTGTACAGTGGATATCCTCGGGTTCGACTTTTACCGGCTTCGACCCCAGCCGAAAGTACAGTAGTTCGGTCAGGAGTAAGACATCAGAGAAGGCCCATCCAGGCGGACCAAAGGTCTGGGTCTGGGTCTGGTTCCTTCAGTCCCCAGCTGAAAGAATGGTTCTTGTCTGAGGTCGACCAGCCGAGGAAGTGTAAAGGCAACTTCGGGGCTACTCGCTGGAAGTGGGTTCAGGTCCTGGAGAGATCGACCCAGACCGTATGGCTCTTTTCCATTTAGGCATCCGTCCGAAATCTTTCCAGTCTACCCGAACTCGGGCCTGTACTTTTGTGCCTGTGTAGTGTATCCCGTCTGCCTGATGATCCGGCCACCCAAATAGCCATTCCATCGGCACTTGCAATTTAAAGTTCACTTGTTGTTCTGTCCGCATATATTCCTTCTGCCAGGAGCCCACTCCGGCGAGCGAATTCTGCTTCACTTAGGTACTAGTACGATCTCACGACACTCTTTAGCTGACGGGGGCCGCCGGATCCTGACAATCTCGTTTGGCTGGTTCCAATTGGAGACACATCAACACAGTCCCATCACCGGACTGTCTTGACTCTCCAAGTACAACTCGCGCGAGGACGTCTTGATCGAGGTTCAAGTTTGCCCCCTGACCGGAGCTCGCGTTGTAGTACCATCGTGTATGCAACGGCGGATTTGCAGCTCTTCTCACGTTCGCGAGATTGAGTGCAACATTCAGAAGAGCTCGGAACATGCACTCGTCGGCCGACAAGGAAGCGGCCAAGGCCACTACTTCCGTCCAGTCACTCTCCGCAAGTCAACTTTCTGACGATGAGCGTCCCTCAGACGAGATGGACCAGGAGAAGGAGCAACTCACCCAAGAGAAAGGCCCCTTTTCAAGGCTTCTTGCGCGACCTTTCAACAAGAGACGCATCATTCTCCTCAGCTTGATTGGCCTGATTTTGTTGGGTCTGATCGTCCTTGTCATTGTGCTTCCACTGGTCTTGATGAAGCGGCACTCCATCAACCACCAGAATTCTGATCCCGGAAACACTTATCACCTCTTCCCAACGACCGGAGAGGCCAACAGCTACCATGTCCTGGACAACAAACCCATCCTCGCGGTCCACAATTTTCCCGATCCAGGACTTCTCCATCATAATGCCACCTGGTATGCCTACGGTACGAATCCGAAGAAGCATGACCCCCAGACCATTCATGTTCCGGTCGCAACCTCGACGAATTTCGTCAATTGGACGCTCCATGATGGATATGATGCGATGCCAACGCTAGGCCACTGGGAGCTCGCTGTCAACCATTGGGCTCCGGATGTCATTGAGCGAGTAAGTACTTCTTCTGTCGAGGCAACCCCCACCTTCGAAACCAACCACTACGGACCGTCAGCTCATGTGATAATCTGCAGGATGATGGGAAATTCGTCATGTATTATTCAGGTCAGCTCAAAGACGGCCATGGACACCACTGCATTGGAGCAGCTGTGTCCACCGGTACGGATCCTATGGGACCCTTTGTCCCACTCAATGCATCTTTGGCATGCCCGCAAAAATACGGAGGAGCCATTGACCCCTCGCCGTTTCGCGATGTCGATGGCAAGCTTTACGTCGTCTACAAGGGTGATGGCAACAGTGTCGGTAGTGGAGGATATTGCGGCAACAGTATCGTCCCTCGACGCCCGGTTCCGCTCATCCTCCAGGAGCTCGAGGGGGACGGCATCACCAAAGTTGGTGAACCAGACATCATTTTGGATATCAACGACACAGATGGCCCGCTCATTGAAGCACCCAACATCATTCGACGAAACGATGGAACCTATTTCCTCTTCTTCTCCTCACATTGCTTTACCTCGCTCGGGTACAACGTCAAGTATGCTCATGCACGGTCAGTCAAGGGTCCGTACACTCGAGCGGCTCGTCCACTGCTGCAGACGGAAGATTTTGGTCTCGATGCGCCAGGAGGTGCCACCTTGTCGCCCGATGGCACGAAGATTGTGTTCCATGCCAACTGTGGCGGTCAACGGTGCATGTATGCGGGCGGAGTCCACATTCAACCCACTGAGAACACCATCACCATGGCCGCCTTGTAGGGGTTGTTGAGTGTTTGGATTGCATAGCATTGGGGCGTTTCGGTTGTCGGGATTCTCATTGGGGAGGAGTTTTGCTGTTATATATCAAAGCCATGAGTTGTATACATAATTACTACACATAGCCTACAGATCCTTTGGAACTTTGCAAGGCCGACTTTGATGATATCCTCATCCTTTTTTTCTCCTTCGTCAGAACGAACGTATCTGGAAAAAGTAAATAAGGTGCAGGGGAGCTCCGCGGAATAGAAGTGGTAGCCAATCACGGCCGAGACAGATGACGCCATGCCGTTACGACCGCCTCAGGCATTCCGCGCCCTTCTCCGGCTTGTGTAATCGTGAATTTCAGGTGGTTTGGGGACGGGGATTGCGGAGGTTAGATAAACGGAACTTGGAGCCTTGAGTCTCCGAGTTGCAAAGCTGACACCTGCAACATCTGGCGGTGTCCCAGGCACAAGTCGAGCTCTTCATCGCCATGGCCTCTCTTCACGTTTTCGCTCGCGCTTCATCGCGCACTATTCGGGCGACACAGTGCCGAGTCAGTGGACATGCAGGCTTTCTTTCTAGCAGAGCTCGGCCGTTGTCGGCGCATATGAAGGCGCTGCATACTGCGCCTCCACGAAACGCATCAGCAGCAACAGCAACGGCGACCGCAACCTCCAAGGACTCGACCAATCCCGCCATGTCATTTCCCTGTCTGGATGCACAAGACGCCAAATCACAACAACTTTCTGCACGGTCATTACAGTCCGGTCCTGAACCGTCGTATACCTCTGGTCAGCATGAGTGGTACCATTGCGAGGAGCCACTCCTGCTCGATTGGGGCGGTCGATTGCAGGAGTTTGACATCGCCTTCGAGACTTGGGGTCAATTGAACCAGGATAAAAGCAACGCCATTTTGCTTCATACGGGATTGTCGGCTTCAAGTCATGCGCACAGCACACCATCAAACAACAAACCAGGCTGGTGGGAGAAATTCATCGGGCCCGGGCTACCCTTGGACACAAACAAGTACTTTGTGATTTGCACAAATGTGATCGGAGGCTGCTATGGTAGCACCGGACCATCCTCTGTGGACCCGTCGGATGGACAGCGATATGCGACGCGCTTCCCCATCTTGACCTTGGACGATATGGTGCGGGCACAGTTTCGCCTTCTGGATCATTTGGGCATTCAAAAATTGGCCGCCTCGGTGGGATCAAGTATGGGTGGTATGCAGAGTCTCGCAGCCGGTGTTTTGTTCCCCGAGCGTGTGGGCAAAATTGTCAGTATCAGTGGCTGCGCACGAAGTCACCCGTACAGTATTGCAATGCGCCACACACAACGTCAAGTACTGATGATGGATCCGAATTGGGCGCGTGGATTCTACTACGATGCAATCCCACCACATTCTGGAATGAAACTGGCGCGCGAGATTGCAACCGTTACCTATCGCAGCGGACCGGAATGGGAGATGCGATTCGGACGTCGTCGAGCCGATCCCAGCAAGCAACCTGCGCTGTGTCCGGATTTCCTCATCGAGACCTATCTCGACCACGCGGGAGAGAAATTCTGCTTGGAATACGATCCTAACAGCTTGCTGTATGTTTCCAAGGCCATGGATCTCTTTGACCTCGGCCATGAGAATCAAAGCCGAACTCGCCGTCGTCGAGCAGAGTCCGAATTTCGCATCGCACGTGGCGAGGGCTCACCCAATCCCTCCGACCCTGCTTGCAGTCTCACTCTGCCTGACAGGCCATACGAGGAACAACCCGAAGCGGCTGCCTCGGTTCCCTCACCTGATCAATCCGTCAAGGCAGAACAGCTTGACGGACCGCCGCAAGACCTCGTCCGAGGCTTGGCCCCTCTGAAAAACCACCCGGTCCTAGTCATGGGCGTTGCTAGCGACATTCTTTTCCCTGCATGGCAGCAGCGCGAGATTGCCGAGACCCTTCGTGCAGCTGGCAACACATCCGTCGAGCACATCGAGCTGGGGGAGGACCTCTCTTTATTCGGTCATGATACGTTCTTGCTGGATCTCAAGAACATTGGCGGTGCTTTGGGTCGTTTCCTGAAGTAAAATTGCGAAATAAAAGATATGTCTATCATCATAGTTATTTGCAAAGGTCAAGCCATCGCCATCTGAGCTCAGTGATGCCTGTCGCAATCTTGTATATAATTCCCAACCTCATTGCGTCGTCACCGACGACTGCATTTCTGGCGTCGAATCTGATATCTACTGCTTGGAATCGTACAAATAATTTGTACACCATCCATATTACCTCTTCTCTCTCTATCACCAGCGCGAAATGAGCTACAGCCATATATCAAAAAGATCCTTCAGCGAGGGAAACTCTGCAGACGACAGCAGCCCTGGGGGAGAAACCTCCCCTCTGTTCCCGTCCTAGGACCGGGCTGATCAGGCAGACATCCAGATGATCGCACCATCATCAAAAAGGCATCTTCACCACGCGTAGCACCTCAGAGAGCAAACAATCATATAGGTAATAAATCTCAACATCTCCCTCTCAAATCAACTTACCTTCCTATCACATCCTCCACACCAAACACTTCCACTCCATTTCGAACCGCAAGCCCAACCAAAAATGGACCCCCTCACAACGCCCGACCTTCTGCAGATCTTCAACGATGAAGTCGATGAACTCCTTTCCGCGATGAGAGTCGACTCGGTTGGACACGACGTCACCACGTCAATCGGACGGGGCGAGACTCTCAGGAAATTCGACCAGATTCTGAACACACTCGATGACATGCGCGAGATTGCGGAGCTGGGCGCCGCGGTTCTCGAGATATCTTGGGAGGTGGCTCGAGGCCGGACAAGCACGGGTAAGAATAAACAATCGGTCCTATCACTTCTTCGACGTTGAGAACTAAGCAGCTCATGAATGGTGTAGTGGACGAGGAGAAGGACGAGCGGAGTGACAGCGTGAGCGACGATCTCAGCGACGGCTCAACTGACTACTCAGCTGACGTATCGAGTGACGGTTCGACTGAGGATTCGAGTGATGGCTCAAAGGACAACTCAAGCGACGATCAAAATGACGCCTCGCGCGAACCCTCGTCCCCTCATGTACCTTTAGATATCGAAAACAATCGACGCCGACAACGCGGGGATTCAGTCCTTGAAGGTCGAATGGTGAAGCGAAGAAGATTCGAGGAAAACGCTTTCTAAGGTCCATATGCTTGGAATTTGGTTCACTGAAAATGTCTGCGAAGTGGCATGGATGTGCATGGGATTTTGGTCACGGAGATAAGTATGCCAGGGAGCAATTTTAGTCTTGAAACGAGCTTGTATCCAGTATAACCCCCCTGTACACTGAATAGTAAATCTTGGTCAATATAGTGATACAAACAGTAATGGGGCGTAAGTGTTGTACCATGTTGTAGCGACACACGATAACTAATGACTTCGTTTGACGCACGTTGGGGTGATATTGCAAAGTCCCAACGACGAAAACGTCCCTCACCCCATTACTACAATTTGACAAAATGCCCTCAGAGTAGCTCCCAATTGTGTATTCACCGGTAACCAGATTATGAAATGTCTGGAGAACATTCACCCGAAGGCGTCGGTTACCTGCAGAATTGGCTTGGAATCATCACTGGGCAGTAGCTCAAGGTATGGAGGAGACGGAGATGGAACAGAGCTAGAGAAGGATGAGAAGCGAAGAGATGGACAAGAATATAAGGTTAAATCATATGTGTTAGTTCATTTCATTTTGTATGTTTTCAAGTAGTGTACAGTTGTAATTGGTCAACCCTCTCAAGGGAGTTGCGAAAGCCCTCGGATTGAAAACTATCTTTTTTGTCACTCGTCATCGGTATGCTCAACGTCGTTGCCTGGATAGGTGTACAGACGGAGCAAGTATCATATACAGAATCCTCGGAGTGTGCGACAGAAGGACTTCGTCATTGGGCGACCTGCTCGGGGGGAGATTGGGGTCAGTCAACAAGAGCGAGTTATGGAGCCACTCTATAGGAGAGAAGAGAACTGAGAATGACAAGATCGAATTGAGTTAGTTTGAAGTGTTAGTAGTATGTACACCTGATCTCAGCTCTGTTAACGCAAAATGGAAAAGAATTGAAAGCGGTGGGTTGGGCCATCGCAAGCACGCCCGCAGCTATCGATCGTCTCTCGGATCTCTGTTCAGTTTTCTCAGTCACCCACCGTGAGTTCAATCTCACCTTCCACAAGTCACGGCGCAGGCGCCGTCAAGGGATGGTTTCCATTGAACCATCCAGAGGTCCGGACGTGTCGTGAGAAGCTCTTATGTGATGGTTGTCGTCATTGAGACTGAGAGAAAGACTGCTTCCAGCATATTAAGATAATCTGCTCATGAGAAGTCAACAAAAAGCTTCTGAGCTACCGGCTGGTCACCCTCGAGAAACATACCTTTCTCGTCAATGACGCGAAACGTCAGATGCAAAGCGATCCTCCACGCGCGTTGATGTGTTGGCGGGTGCAGCCACAGCGGCCTCTCACGTGATGATACAGCGTCTATCGGGGTTCCACCGATGAGCGCATGTGCATGAGAGCTACAGTAAGAGTACCTTTTGGTTTGAATTTTAAGAAGCACAAAGAGTCGGCGCATTCTTTCCATTGTAAGACCTTCTCTCCTGAACTCATCACAATGGCACAGTCACACTCCAAATGGTGGCACGGCTCCGAAGACGCCGATCTCGACTACGGATTCGATTCTGACGATATGAATGCTAGATTTGCCCGACCTTCTTCTCGATCTCGTCGCCGAACATCGACCGAGGAGGAACTTGGGGACCGAGAAAGACAATCGCGCGAAGACGAAGACTGCGAGGAAGGATTTCTCAAAAACATGTCATCTTGGCTTCACCGACAGGCCGGGTCGCAAACATCCCAACTTGCGACAACGGCGGTTCTGTCTGGTGCGGCTGTCGCGAGTGCCATCTTTGGATATCAGGCCTACAGGCGGAAGGAGGCAGTTCACGATCTGAAAGCTTCTATTCCGGGCCTCGATGAAGCACACCCTGCGACCAAGGTAGGCGCTGTGGAATGACGAATTTGCCCCCAACCACAAATTCTTCGAATCGCTTTTGGGCCGCCAGGCATATTGGGCAGGGAACTGACTTGCGTCGTGTGGTGCAGCTGACGCAGTACGGTGCTCCTGACCTGGGAATTCCATTGAGCAAAGAGGACGAGCGTGGCGCCGCACTTGCTCGTCGAGCGCAGCAGGGCGATTACGATGACGGTACGACAATCCCATAGATGATGAATACCACAGTATCAAGCTAATCTGGATACAATGGATCTGTCTTAGATCTCATTCTTGAACAACTCGCCAGAAACCGGGTATTTCTCAAGGATGAGGGTCTCGCCAAGCTTCGGGGATCTTATATTGTGGTTGTTGGCTGTGGCGGTGTCGGATCTCATGCTGCAGCTTCCCTTGCTCGCTCTGGAGTTTCCAAGATTCGGCTGATCGACTTTGATCAAGTCACGCTTTCCTCTCTCAATCGCCATGCCCTAGCCACACTTGCCGACGTCGGCACGCCCAAGGTTCACTGTATCAGGAGGCGACTGGAGCAGATTGCGCCGTGGGTCATGTTCGACTGCCGCAATGAGCTCTTTGGCAAAGATGTCGCCGAAGAACTCCTCGGACCATGGACCTTGACTCATGAAGGGGAGGGCCGTCGCCCAGACTACGTGCTGGACTGCATCGACAACATCACGTCCAAGGTGGACTTGCTGCACTATTGTCATAAAAATGGGTTGCCCGTGATCTCGTCAATGGGAGCAGGGTGTAAGTCCGACCCGACTCGTGTTGTGGTCGGGGATATCTCGACAAGTACAGACGACCCTCTCTGTCGGAGCACGCGACGCCGTCTCAAGATGCTCGGTGTCAACACCGGCATCCCCACTGTGTTCTCCACCGAGCGAACTGCGCCGGGCAAGGCGAGCTTGCTTCCACTTCCTGAGGACGAGTTCAGCAAGGGAAAAGTGGGCGAGTTGAGTGTGTTGCCTGACTTCCGCGTGCGCATTTTGCCCGTCTTGGGCACAATGCCTGCGGTCTTTGGCTACACCCTGGCCAACCATGTGATCTGTAGCGTTTCCGGGTACCCGCTCGACTACAACACGTCTGGCAAGGGTCGTGAAAAGATGTACGACTCAATCCTGGCCTCGCTCTCCGGATTCCTGGAGAAGCAAGTGCGTCAGGTCGGTGGAGAAGATCCAGTTGGTCTTCGTCTCCCCATCAGTAAGGATGATATCCAATACCTTGTGGAGGAGGTATACCGTGGCAAAAGTGTTGTGACGGGTCTACCCAACCGCCTCGTACTCATGCCGTGGACGGTCCCCGCACAAGGCTTCCACATGGACCTCACTTGGGAAAAGGACGGGCAGAAGCTATTCAAGCTTGACCCGTCAGACCTGGTGTGCATGACCAAGGACGAGGCGACTCGGCATGAACGGGAGGTCCTGCGCGGTGAGAAGAGTGTGGAGGACCTGTACGACGAGGTCATCTTGAACCGGGTGGCCCTGCGTAGGAGGGAGATTGAAGAGTGGAAAAGGCACAATGAGGGATATTTCCAGGTGCAATAGCTTGGGTTGTGAAGTTTTGGACGATTGGCCCATTGGGTGATGATCATGTACAGGACAATGCGAGCAGCGCCTTCGATGTTGAGCTCCGTTTACATAAAGTGCGACTTGACCACCCCGCAAACCTAAGCACGTTTCATCTTTCCCTTGTTATTCGCATAAGTTCTTCTTGGTGAATGTAGGTTTCTCACACTATTAAGACGCTTCGACACTGTGCTTTGGCTTCGCGCCTGTCCTGTCTTGATGTCTGTCCGGTAGGTACTACCTAACACCTACGGGTGTCCTCTCGCAGTACTATTTGCCGGTGTGTCGGTGTCTCCCAGTCGCTCATTAGGTTGAGATCAGTTTTCAAAATAAACTACCCTGATCTTCTACGCATGAACAACATGATGGCCACGGAAATATTCGAATGGTTGATTTTTTGAGAATTCAGTCGATCATCTAGTCCTCCGAGGAAAGACCTTGACGGCTTTGTGTGCAGTTGTGTGCCGTATTAATGTAGCAAGGAAGGGGGAAAGAGAAAAAGAAAGAAAAAAAAGAAGAGGGCCCGAACCGCGATTCGAACGCGGGGCCTCTCGCATTTCGGTTGTTCACCCAAAGCGAGAATCATACTGTGAAATTGTTAGATCGGAGAACCTTACAATGGTAGGACTTGAAGTGATTCTTACCCACTAGACCATCCGGGCTCTTGCTGGTTGATTGCTCTAACCATAATTTATATAGCCATGATTTATCACCAAATTACGCAGTGATCATGCTGGTGATTTCCAGACCCAACTCCCGATCGGGAGAAGGAATCCTTGAACCTAGCTTATCAAATGGGCATGCTCTCGCTGTTTGGTTGCATTTCATCGAATAATGACTTTTGAGGCTTGACAGCCTCGAGAATGTCATCAACTTTCCTAACTCTGTCAATCAGCAACCTACCCTTCCAAGCTGAGAGTCTGGGTACGAAAGACCTGGACAGTCCAACAAATGACATCCCTTCTCTGTCGGTAGCCTGGCACGGAGATCAGACGCACAAGATTGGAGGGGAATCATCTCGCCGGATACTTTGCAAATTTGGAGGATAGGCTCTTGGAAACGCTGTCCGCTTCCGTAAAGCCTACGTGATCACCAACTGGAAGAACGAAGCGTTGATCGAGCAGAAGAGTTCCTACTGCTAGGGCTCTGTCAACGTTTCCCCGCGAGGGTTCCCTCCCTGGAAAAGGATCAAGTACACAACGTTGACAGTGAAGTGGAACGTATTACCGATCGAATGAGTAAGTCACGAAGTCCAGCAGACTCGGCAAGTCATTCTTCTTGACCATAGCGTCCGACAGAGCCCCGGCGGATTGATCATCTCCTGGTCAAAGACTCCGCGAGAAAAAGCGTGGACGCTCTGCACAGCACAGGGCCGTCTGGATGGAGACCTCTTTCTTGGCTCCGAGTGTATGTCCGACCATATATATTTTAACAGCCCGCGTACTCCGATCCCGCTTAGATGCTCGTGGAAAAAAAACTAATCGTGCAAATGGCGACCTGTAGTAAGACGATTCCTGGTCTCGGACTATATAAACTTCCATGTGATAGAACCCCGTAGAGACCCTCGCAAAAAGCCATCTGCCGACAACAAACAACACTCGGATGATCGGTCGCTCTACATTTAACCCTGACTACCTCCCTCACACTCAGAACGCCGTTGTTCGTCCTCCACCTCGAGTCCTACCGTTCTCCTCTCCACGAGTGGATCAGCACAGGTTCCGCTCTGACGTGCGCTGAGACATTTGGCTGGCACGGACGAGTACGATTCTCCTCTGGCTGGACTCTGCCAATAGTCTACTCGTGGCCAAGACACTACGCATCTGAGGGCGACACTTCCAGCTCTCGACGGCCGGCACTCAGGACTCCAGGACTCAGGAGGCCCCATCTTCTCCTGCCCGTATCTCCGTTGGCACTCCATCGCGTGCCCCCAGCTCTCACCACAGTGAATAGTGAATAGTGAATAGTGAATACCCATCGGAATATGGATCCTAAGAATAGGCCTCCAGCGGGTCAATCAGATCCGCCCCTCTCCCGGAGAATGGCTCTCCCAGCGCCGCGTCTCGATCGGTTCCCAACATGCATGGGTTCCTGATGAGCGCGCTGCCAAGGTCTGAGCGACGACCTGTCGCTGCCAAGAGGTTCTCCCCCCGATCGGACTTTGGCGTGGTGGTGGTCAAACGATGATCTTCATTTTCTCTTCTCCATGATTTTATGAATGGAATCCGGATGTCGGACTCTCTGAGCTCGATCATTGTTTCTTTGATACCCACCGGCGACGGAATTCCGACGATCCACACCACCGCTTGATCATGGCCTCGTATGAAGCCGAAGCCGAATCCGAATCCGAAGCCGATCATGAACTCCGTGATCCACACAGCCGGACATCACACGAGCAACCCTCATCATCGCGTTTCACACGGGCTCCACGCCGTCTGCTCAATACACTTCGCAATGGCTGGTCGTTCACCAGCCGCAGCAGTAGCTACCGAGCTCTCTCATCCTCACCCGACGCGATGAAGCAAGCCAGTTATGTCCAAATCGCCTTATCGATGATTGCGGCGCCTCGCTTCCGCCGCTACCTGGTGGTCTATCTGGGCTTGGTCCTCATCAGCTGGGCTTCATGGACCATGTTCCTGCATCCCCATCTGACCGAACGGAATACTCTCATGCACGCCTTGAATCCCGCGACGGAAGTCGCAGTCGGTGGATGGTACGGGAGTAATGCGCTCCCTCGTCTCGATGCCCTGACTCGCCTGCAGACGCTGGACTCCTCGTTGCTGCCTGCGTCGCGAACCGGAGGTTACGGCAAGGGCAAGAAAAGTGCAAAGCGTCTAGTGGTTGTCGGAGATGTACATGGGTGCAAAGATGAACGTATGTGTTGAGAGCGCAGAGTTCCCCCTTTTTGTTTTTTTTTTTCATTTATTTTTTTTCCACGACCTTGTCATCAAAAGACCAAAAAAGCGAAATGCATGCAAAAGCTGACTCGTTGACCCTCTTTCCCTACCTACAGTGTCCCGATTACTCAAGAAAATCGAATTCTCCCCCAGTAGCGGAGATCACCTCATTCTAACAGGAGACATCATCAACAAGGGCCCCGACAGTGCCGGAGTGGTCGATCTCGCCCGTGAGCTCGGAGCATCCTGTGTCCGCGGAAACCACGAGGATCGCATCTTACTCCTCCGTCACGAACTAGACGCCAAACACAGAACGACGGAGTCAACAAACGAGGACGGGCAGAACGTCACATCGCACGCACCCTCAGACAAAGAAGCCCAAGAGCGTGAATTGGCCCGGTCCCTCAGTGCCGACCAGATCAAGTGGCTTGGTGCGTGCCCGGTGATATTGGATGTTGGGCAAATCCCGACCATGGGCCGAGTGGTGGTTGTGCACGCGGGGCTGGTCCCCGGCGTGGAGCTGGACAAACAGGATCCCTCGCTGGCAATGACCATGCGAACGATTGACCCGGACACGCATTTCCCCAGTCCGTCGAACAAGGGTATTGCATGGTCAAAGGTAAAACACCACTCAAACGTTCTTTCTCTGCCCTGATCATATATATTATATATGACAACGCAGCTCTAAGCTGATATGTCTCTCCCCCGCTAGATGTTCGAAAAGCATCAAACTCGACTATACTCGAGTCTCAAACCCTCGCATCGAGATCCCCGATCACACCCCACGACCGTCATCTACGGCCATGACGCGAAAACAGGATTGAACATACAAACCTACGCCAAGGGACTCGACTCTGGCTGTGTCAAGGGCGGGAAATTGACCGCCCTGGTGATTGAGGATGGCGGGAAGCAGACCATTGTACAGGTCAAGTGCAAGACGGATTATACCTTGACGGCGGAGGGGGAGAGACGGAGAAGAAGGAGAAAAAGCTAAAGTAGATCTTTGAAGCTCGCTCGAGTAAACATGCTGGTAGCTTGTTGCATTGCATTGCATTTTAGTGTCGCTGGCGCCACCGGTGTTTCCTTTTTCTACTTCCTTTACCCTCGAATGCCAAAGCTCACCAACCAATTGCATAGCATTTGCAGACAATCTGCACGTTCATGGCCGATGTCCATTTTGCAATTTCCTACCTCGGTATAAGATAGAACAGAGCACAAACCCAAGACTACCGAAAAGGTCAGTGTAATGCATAGAATTTAATCAAACGGATATACATGAGCCAACGCCAATCTCTCAATGCAGACCACGAACAGAGAAAGCGAGACATTTCCAATCTCCGTCCTCCATCCACCGCACGAATTCTACGCTGGATAAAAGAAGTCCCCACTCACAGCCCAGGTCGAAGGCACAGAAAAGTCCTCGTACCATTGTCCCCCCAACGCATTCGAATGTACATAGCCGAGCTGAAAGTACTCGGGTTGATTGGGTTGTAGTCGCGACCACTCAAAGTCCGGCACGGAGCTATTGTCTTTGGCCTTCATGCCCTGGTACCGAAGGACGTCGTTGACAATCACACCGATTCCGTCGACGTGCGGGGGCAGATCGGGGAAGGAAAAAGTCAGGTGATTCCTGTGCTCGATGTGTGGTGGATTTACCGGGGGAGGCTTTGTGCCGAGACGTCCGTCTCCCAGGAGTGAGGCGGGGGTCTGAAGAATGGAGTCGAAGCCCCAGCGAGCGATTCCGTTGATGAATAAGCCTAGTAGGAGGCCCTGGAATAAGAGGCTGAGGCGCGTTTGGAGGGTGGTTCCCGGGATGAGAAGTAGGGCAAGGATGAAGTGATGGAGACGAAGATTCATCTTGGGCACTAGTAAGAGGACAATGATGCAGAGGGCCATGATGCCGTACAGTCCCAGCATGCGCGGTAGACGGCCCTCCCGACGGAAGCAATGCGCCTGGACGACGATGGATACCACGAGGACACCAATGATGATCACCAACGCCGTGATGGCCCCCGGTTGCTGTTTGAGGTCGTGGGGGGTCAAGCGTGAGATGGGTATGCGGTCAAAGGTGTCGTTATTCAAGGCGCCCACCCAACATGCTCCCAGCCAGAGGACGGTTTTATCCGCATGTGCGTCGAGGTCGCCTAATGTCCTCCGAACGGAGAAGTAATATAATGCGAAACCCACAAACGCACCGGGAAGGAATCGGCCCAGACCAACCTGCAGCAAGCCGTAGAAGCTATTCGATCCAGGAGGGTCCGATGCCATGGCGACCTGGAACCACACAACGAAGAACGTAACGCTGTAGAAGACCGGCGCTGAAGTGATGGTCATGGAGAAGATCGTGGTCATCACGACGGTGAATGCAAACAGGGACCACCGGACATCGAAGCACTCCACCAGCTTTCCTTCGTCCGATCCCGGCGAAGGAGTCGTTTGCCGTGTCAGGATAAATGACATTGGGAACGAGGGCTGAAATGCGATACTTTCAATTCCATTCTTGGTAAAGTTTTGAAAATCAGCTCGCTCACCGCGACGATGAAGGATCGCGCATCCACCCTTTGCGTCGCTAATGAGACCGGCATGCAATGCTGAGGCACAGATGGACGAGTCACCACGATAGAGACCACTTTTGTGGGCATCAACGCGGAATGGCTTGCCTCCAATCACAAGTTGACGGTAGTTATACGATCGATTGCCAATATTGTATGGCTCCAGCACGATGGCAGTGGAGCACCCAGCAGGGCAACTGAAGGCGAAGGACTGCTCGTCAAATGGACGGCAGAGATCTCCATTCAGGCCGCATTCCGTGGCATTGGCCCTGTTGTGCTCTCATCAGCATCATCATCATAATTCAATCAACGGGGCGGCTTTCATCCGGCTGATATTTGGGGCGGCTTTCATTCGGCTCGTATTTGGGGCAAATAGCCACCAAATAAACCAAAAAAAAAAAGAAAAAAAAAAAGAAACATACCACAGCCGATGATGACACGAAATCTTGACCGGGCTCCCGTACCCCGGGATTGTCTGACCCGCGACAGCAGCCTTCAAGGAGAGGAAAAAGACAAGAGTCCAGAAGATCAGGCCTCCCGCGAGCAAGGCAATCTTCATCTGTCGCCTGGGAGCCCAACGGTCCACGAAACGCGCCGGTGCAGCCTGCCATTGCGGAAACCAAGGATGAATTCGATACACATGAGGTGGCTGTGGACCTCGTAACCAAGTCAGGAAGCCGTCGCGCGTGCACGACAGCGGCGGATTCCACCTACGAGGCCCTGAACGATGATCATCATAGTCACTCAGATACGAGTCCGCATCCGAATCGTCCACGTCCAGGTGCGCGTCCAAAGAAGCCCCTGTAGGCAGTAACGGGATACTCCCCAACTCTAGAGTACCGTACTCGTCGCTGGCTCTGGGGAGAGCATCGACTTGAGCGTGAGCCTTGACGTCGCAATCACGCTTGGTGCTACCTGAAATGGTGGCAGATTCGCCGTCGTCGTTGTCCTTGTAGTGGAGCGGACGCAGGTCCTCCAAGTCCACAAAAAAGTCGTCGGTCGGACTCGCAATTTCAGCTTGATCGGATGAGGATGAATTATCCGAGTGTTGCTTGTTCTTCACCTGTTTGGGCGAAGCCATTGTTGCATGGTCGTAAGGATTCAGGAGCGGTCCCTGCTGAATATTATCGAACTTTCTGTTCTTTCTTTCTTTTTTTCCTCCTCTCCTCTCCAGGATTCCACCGCGACGGGTGAGACACCGCACAGAAAGAGGGAAAAGAGACAGTCTCCATTTTGCCAAGATGCTAAAGAATGACGGGGGTCGTATGCTCCGCCCGTCGGTGTCGGGCCCTCTTGCCTCTTCAAGAGGTGAAATCGACGTCAACAGAGCTCGCAGCACTCCTTTTGTAGGATCACACGAAGTAGTGTCAGATGTCAAATCGAGAATACAAAAATGTGATGACGCTCGGTCTGACATCTGTAGTTCCGACCAAGGCTAAGTGGTCATTGAACAACAATAACTCCAGCGGTGAGTGGCAAGGCTACTGTCATCGAGACTACCAGCCCAAGGATGAGATGTAAACATGCACTGACTTATGGTTATTGGTAGTCTACACAGCGACTTAAGAGGCCGTCGCGCACTATATCAGGTACTAAGACTATTATAAAAATACTTAAAGATCTTTCGTAGAATGCGGAAGAAGGAAAACTTCTGGTCAAAGTCATTGAAGGTCTAATACCTTAGATCAAGCTATCCACTTCAAGGGCAGACTGTTCTTACTTCAACTTCGAAAAGACAAAGAAGGATCGAATTATGAAATCAAGCTATAGTCCGTCACTAGCCACCAAATCAAAACATTAGACTCTCGAGGTATCCTCTGCCAAGTTAAAACCCAGGCAGAACGCAACATTACGCAAGCTTTCAAAACGAAGGGTATCGACATCAATCATCATAGCTCATGAACCTCATCTCGTACGCATCACGGCTGTCGCTGGAGGAGACCCCGGAAGTAGAGTGTCGCCGACCGTCCAAGTCTGGACACTGACCAAACAAGGACGTGTCACAAAATTTACTGGAATGAATGAGCGGCCTTGTGACAAATTGAGTCGGGATATTGTTTTTGGCATCGCTCGCGCCTCGCTTCACTTCTCGCTTCCCAGTAGGACAGTGGGCTTGCGCTCCAAGAATGGCTTAGACAGAGCGCTGGCCCCAGCGAGAGCTGTCGATTATAGTCAGAAATGCATTTGAGTGTGCGAACTAGTTAGAGCATCGCAGGAGTAGAATGGCTCGACAGAAACCACACACACGCCTCGTAGAAAAGACAAGAAAAATAAGAAAGACATGCTTACCTTCGAACGGTGCGGTCGCGAGCACGGAATGTGAACCAGAGACCCTACATGAAAAAAAAATCAAGTCAGCCAGCCATTTCCCGACCGAGGTCAAATCCATGGGAAGTCAATGAAGGTAAGTAATGGGTTTGACGGACCACAAGAGCAGAGATGAGCCAGACAATAGCAGACAAGAAGCTGAAGGCCTCGGCAGCTTTCCACCGTCCACATTGGTTCTGTCCCCTGAAGTGCCAGTACCAGATGCCACCACATTGCATACCCTGCAGCGCATCGACCAAGATACCAAAGGCAGCAAACCAGGCAAAGGAGATCAGAATGTCCACTGGTGGGATTTTGAAATCCAGTTAGCAAAGCCCAACTCATCATGGCGGTGGAAGATAGACGGATGTTGCAAACATACGCGGCCACAGATAAAAGCCCCAGGCAAAAGGGAGAAGCCAGAGAAGACCGAGAAGGATCGATAGAGAAGCGATGACCTCGGTATAGATCCAGCGGGATTGCGCCCAGGCGTCGATGTTGGCAAAGGAGTGAAGGTAGTGCCCGATAATACCTGCGACCACCTGGAAAAAGCAAATGCACTGTTAGAGGATATTGCTTCTGCTGGATGTTTTGGAGTGAGTGTATGGAGTATGGACTATGGAGTACATACCGCCGCAAAGGCAATCTCTGCAATACGCAGCGGGATGGAAATGACTCGTGAAACGATGGGCATGGTGAACAGATGAGTGACTCAGTGCCGGTGAAGCTTGTCAAGTGTTCTAGGACGGGGCTGCTCTTGTGGGAGAGCTTGGAGGTAAGTATGAGCGGATTAAGGGATCTCAATGCATGAAAGGATAAGGGGGCTTAGGTGGGAGAGATACGAGGCTTATAAATGAGAATCTTAGGAGGTGTGTTGCACAAGACAGGCAGATACCAGTTGGTCAAGAGTCTGAGCTATAGACTTTGGCCCAGATAGTTGAATTGGAGCTACATCCCAGCTACGAGCATACCTAGCTCAGCCCTAGGCAACAGCCCCTGGAATACTTTACATCATTGCCCAGTCTGAGGTGAGAGAGCTGCATGATGCAATACCAGAGCGGCATTGATGTCTCTGGCAATTGATGTCGTCAGGTCATACAAGTGTAAGGGAGAACCTTCGACTCGACTACTGTAGGTCGGGAGGCTTGACAGGGTCTTGGCTAGGGGGTCCGCTCGATGCATCTTCCGTCATAGCCAAGAGCAGCTACTCAGTCAGGTTCCTCGCTATTGTGACCATATGAGTATGATGTGCCGTGGCGGGCATCATATCTATTACAGGCCACGTTCAATGCTCGCATTGCTGGCCTATTGATCATTCTCTGGGAGCCCCCGGTCTGTTTAGCCCCGTGTCGCAACTGTCCCCATTCGGCCAAGTCTTCGGTCCACGGCGTTTCCCTCTCAGCGACTAGTCTCCTGTCGTCGTACCTAAAAACGCCGCTGATGCAGGTAGGAACTGTGGCTGAGATCATTAAACTGACCCATCGACACGTATCATACGTGGATGGCCCTGATGTCCATGCAAGTCCAGCCTGGGAGATTTCCCTGATTGCGTGGCTACCCATCACAAGCGCGCTAAATTCATCCGGCAAGGGAGTCACACCGCCAGTGATAAAATCGGTGGAATGAGAACATTGTATGATTCAACTTGGCCAGCGGACACGAACCTTTCTGGTTGCACACGGTCAAATAACAAGGAAGCATGGCCATGATGTGCTTTGCTGGCTTCGGATGTTGGGCGACAAACGGGCAGTTGAGCAGTCCGAGAGGGCGGTGGGGGGATTTAGCTCCAGCCTGACCTGAAAATGGAGTCTCTCCAACTGTAGGGATCGTCTAAAGACATGAAACCCCACGGACAAGGCAGTGGCACAACTGGAGCAATGACTGGCTCTACCTTTGTCAAAGATGATCCTTGCATATATGACCCAGGATGGCCACAGGGCGTGCCGTGGTGGACCAAGAAACAAAGTTCGGCATTGGACGTGGCGGTGCTGATACTCCCTTTCTAACCCGCACACGTCGAGTCTCCTTTCAACGATCTCCCCATAGTCCATACACACCGCAAGAGTGCCGATGTCTCTGACTCGCAGCGATCCTCCAAAGTCTAAATGGACAGACGTTGGAGCCTGATCGCCAGTAAGGAGGGAACTGGAAAAAGTGCGATCATCGGGTCAGTAGAACCGAGCAGACTCCAGAGTGTAACTAGAGGTGTAGACTACTAGACTGAGTAGTAGTACAGCAGTAGTAAAATGATACACCTGACAGCTCACGTGGATCCCCGTGCTCTCAGCCCTATGACGTCGAGTGGGTCGTTGAATCCATCACAATGTGGCTCAATTTGCGAACTGTCAAGGTGGACTTTGTGGCCTCACGGCTGGAGAACTATAGGAACCTTAGCCTTTTGCGTAAGAATCAGGTCGTCTGACACTATCATCGGTATGGGTTTTCTGAATTTGTATCAAGAGATATTCTCGCCAAGTTCCTCACTGGCGGTGTTGGTCGGCATCCAGCCATCATCCACTCCCTTGAGCATACTATCCCTCGGCTTTACTGAGGCACGTGCCGTGTGCTTCGACCACGCTACATCCATCTCTCCCGAGTCTGAGTTGGATTTGCTTGTAACCATGTCCTGTAGAGTGCGTCAAATACCGCAGATATTAAGTCTGAGGAAGTGAACATCTAGGGAAGTTGGAATGCTGGATGTACCCGCCTCCGACAACAGCGACGCCCATTTGTAAAGGAAGCCAAGAGAGAAGAACAATCTGCGAGGAGGCGGGTTAGTAAAGAGCCCGACACGTGATTGAAAGCCTTCTATATGTATGTGAATTGTAATCTTGTCACATGACTATTTGTGCTGCGAGTCGTTGGGAGTGAGGTGATGTCGGAGAAGGCCCCTACCCTAAGCCTGAGATAACTGGACCTGAATGTGGCTGAGGAGTCTACCACGAAATGCCTTGAGAAGTGCCAGGTAAGTGGCTCGACAGTTCTACATTATATCTGATGGACCCCAGTCTCCACTCTACGTGCTGTGGTAGCACTCTGGGGAAGCCGATAAAAAAGCGGATCAAGATCGATCCTCGGTTGCTGTGAATCAGATTCGACACGGCATTTGTGTGGTGATTATCTTTGGCTATATGACGAGACCAGCAGCATTCCCCCTGATTCCACATTTGAAGCTCACACGATGCTTGGCCTGAAGTCCAAGATCTTTCTACTCTCTACCTACCACTCGCATTGCGACTTCTATAGGCCTGCGTTAGTGCCACCGTCGCCAGAACTGATCGGTTTGATATCTAATAGCCCTCCGTTCAGGTCGCACGAGCAGTGGAATTTTGAAAGACACGATTGCTGGCAACATGAGTACTCCAAAGTTTACGAGAGAGATCCACGTATGATGTGGAACAATCATCATCTCATTAAAAATCATGGTAGGATGATGAGAGCTGGCGTTGGCTTGCCCTTGATCATGATCAGAATGACTCATTATATACACTGATAGTACATCTACCCCCACACACCCACGTCGGATCGATCAATCGGTATTGCAACCGAAACAACAAGGCTCATTCCCCCTAGGAGCGCTTCTTCCCATCCTCCAAGAACCATGCCATCACTTTCTGGAATACACCCTTGCCCCCGGTCTCGATCACATCTCCATGACACGGGATCAATCGATCAAAGTCCCATGTGTTGATACGCTTCATCGACTCGGTAAACGCAGGCCGATCCTTCGCCGCCAGCAGATACCACGCAAACCGTCGCTGACCCGTGGCCGAGCCCTCGGTGTTCATAACCGGTATCGCCAACTTGGTCAAGAAATTGATCGATTTACCCTCGGGTGATCGCGAATACTGTTCCTTGGCAGGCATATTGAACAGCAGGTCGGCCTCAATGACGGTTCGGGTGGGACGGTGGAAGAAGACCAGCTCGCGTGATCCATGTCCGTGCACGTATTCGCATTCAAACTCGGCATCGAATTCCTCGGATATTGACTGAGGCTTGTCTTTGCGGTAGACATGCTCAAAGGGAGCATCATTGTAGTTGCTTTTCTGACGCTTCTCATAGAGACCCTCTGGGGCGAGAATGGATGCTTGTGGGAAGGCTTCCTTCCACGGGCCCACGTGAAGGTGATGTTGGAGATCGGGAGCGGCGATGTACTTGACGTTCCCACCAAGGGAGTCGATCTTGGCTCGAACTTCTGGGGTGAGTGTGACCGGCGAGAAGACGGCTAGAGAGCCCGAGGCAAGTCTGACTGTTGAAAGTATAAGATTGAGAGACACATGTGCATTCGTAGGAATGAGAGCAGCTTACCTAGTGTTCCGCGACCACCGAAGCGAACGAGACCGAAACGTGCAAATGGCAGACTCATGGTCACCATGTTCGGAGTGATGTCGCGAATCACCATCGTTTCCGATGGATTTGAAGGGAAAAGTGTCGGCATTCTGATAATGTAAGTGAGAAGTATATGCGTACGTGTGTTTCTGATACCGTGGAACTTGACAAGGCGCCTCTCTCGCGATTAGAAATTATTCCAGTTAGTAGTAAGTGTGTCAAGATGAGAAAGCGACCGGTGGACAGGAACGATCGCTTTTTAAAGTCTTCGATGTAGGGGGTCTTGTTGGGCAAGGAACGAACGAAAACGAACCCGATGCAACTCTAAAAAAGCTCCGGACCCGCCGGGGATGACGTCGTGATGCGGATTTCACATTCGCAGCTTACGGAGTGGCTCCCGGCCTCGGCCCGACTCGTTTGCTGGTTGGCCGGCCACACAACAGAGTTGCATAAGCAGCCCCTTCTGGCCCTCGATGTGAATGTGAGCATGGAAAGGTTGTGCTGTGGATGGGATAGACCACCATGGTACTATGAATAAGAACTGGAGCACAATTCCAGCAATAGCAATACTTCCAGTGATCCATGAGATCTTAGTCGGGTCCCTGACAGCCGTCCAATTTCAGCCCCTGAATCGTTAACACGTGGCGCAGGATCCGTGACGGACATTTCTAAGATCTAGGGTCTGGACCAACGGCCCCTTTCACATCCTGTAGTGATCTCGATTCCGACATGAAACGGCTTCTGTATTCAAGCTCGTATAGCCTTCTGTTAGTGGGTATCCTCTAGTCAGGCTGTGATCGATCTCATGAACGAGGTGGACCTTCTCTTGCTCTCGCTATGGGTCTCAGTCCATAATCCAGAAACAATCGACAACATGGATTGAGAGCATACTCGACGTCAACATTAGATAACCAATCAATATTCGAGTCGTATGCAACGCGCACAAGCGCATACCGAAAACACCAGCCCACCGGGGTATCGCAATCAAGGCAAAATTAACAACATAACAAGTGGAACAATCACTCGGTGAACCAAAGAGAGCCCTATCCGTACCAAGTCTGACTATTTCCTTCTTCTTTCTCTTCGCGATGGGGTATGATGCTTTTCTTGATGCCAAACTCCCGTACAATCTCGGCCCAGCTATCAAAATCCAGGCTGAAAATCGCCTGATGCTTCTGAATCTTTTTAGCCTGAGCCTCGTGGGGAGGGTAGGGCGTAGCGTATTCTGTGGGTAAACGATGTGTCAATATTGAGAATATTCAGCCATGTGGCCAGCACAGCTGGGGGTGTGGTCGAGAGGAAGACATAATCACTTACGCAGAGCGGGAGTTCCATAATCAGACATCTTCAGTCCAGCGTAGCCATCTCGCACCAGGAAACTGACGTAGAACAAGTTCTCTACACTCTGCCCAAACGAACGAGGATTGATGCAAAAGTTGAACAAACAGATGCCTCCACTTGGGGACGTATGGTGTCTGAACATCACTTCTTGGATACGTTCCATGGTGGGAGCTTCTTCGGCGCTCAGAATACGATTGACCTTGTCTTCCGTCTCCTCAATCGTTCTGTTGAGAGTCTCGTTGATTCGCGCACACATCAATGTCAAGTTTGAGTCATCTTGCTGACCCAATTCATCTTGTCTAAGTTCAGCGGGCTGAACAATTTGAGTATCTTCAGGGCGTTCGCGTCCTGTTCGCTGGGTCATTTGACGAACACGCTTCTGGACTGACAACGGGCCAAGCAAGAAACCCGAAACGGCCGGTCGCGAATTGGTGTGAGAACAAGCCATCCGACCAAGCCAGTCCCAGTTCATGGCATCACCCGTGTCCCCGTCATCGCTGTCATTCGGATCTCTTTGCGTTTGGCGGACTCGCTGGCGGCGTTGCGTGTTGCCGTCACTCAGATCAGGCCCGCGGCGCATATACGAGATACATTTCGAAACAAATTCATCCACGTCTATGCCAGCAGAGGCGTCTCCAAGTGCAAGTTGCGCGGTCTTTTTATGTGTCAGATCGGCGGCACTAACGAGAAGACGGGAGTCAATCGTGGCATCAGAGGTCTGTTTGACCTTGGCGAAGAGACCGTTCGCTGTTTCCAGCGTCTTGAAGATACCGTTGTTCCCCGGTTGTAGGTATTCGCTTCGGGAGTCTGCAAAGGGTTAATCAGTGTTTCATTATCGTCAGGAACTCGAGATCAAGTTGACGTATACTCACCATTGAAGTCGGTGGTAAGGTCCCGATAAATCTTCCGAACATGTCGTCGTTCTTCCTCAGGCTGATCAGGATCGTAGAACCGTCGGTCTTTCCGCTGCGAAGCGGGCTGTGACTGAATATTTGTTGTGCGATCAACCAAGCGGCGACGCTTTGGTTGGCCCCGCGCTGCTGACATTGGGACAGGAGGGCGCTTGCGAGGTCTCTGCCGACGGTTCTCCTTTTCTGAGGATGAGTTGGAGGATGTGGGACTAAGATCGCGAGCAGCGTCTTCGTCAAGCTGCGATTGCGGGTAGCGAGCCATTGTCGATTGCCATCAATTTTAGCGCCTTTTGTACAAACAACTCACGGAACTTTCCAACAAAGAAACGGTGAGTGAATGTGGGTTGTCGAACAACAGCGCAAACTATTTTGGTTGGGCGCCAAATTTGCGGAAAAGATAGGAGAATATGTGAGTTTCGCAGATCGTTCTTGCCAAAAACCCCCCAAATAGCCGATCTATGCTGTTTCTCCAGTCGATAGATCACTTTGGCGCGTCCGCCTCGCGTTCCAGCACGTGTTCGCGTCTCCTGGTACTGTCATCAAATGATGTCCTTTTTTGGAGGTAAATCAGCGGAAACAACACGTGATGATAAGTGAGCGGTGGTGGTCCCCGCAGAAGCTCCCGCCCGAGACCCCAGATGTTGAGCACTGATCCGACCTTCGAGATGATGCTGATAACGTGAGGAGCTGACCAGGATGGAAGCCTTTACCTTTGCATTATCAACTCAGATTGACCTTCCATTCTGGATCAAAATGTAAGCCTGGAAGTGAATGTAACTTGCAGATCCTCTTCACCTGTCTGACAATTCCTCAGCGGCTCCTTAGAGGGCAAGCAGAAACAAATCCCGTTCTCCCGGCTTGTACAGAACCCGCAATTGCGATATCTCGGATCAACTCAGAGTCCTACCTCGGATCTCTTTGTGACTGCGCAGCTATGGTCCGATTCAAAGCCCTTGGGGGTACCATTGCAGACAGCCTACAAGGCATTCAAATCTAGTCGAGTATGGAACGAATGGCTTCAAATGCCCGTGTCGATCAAGGATGTCCCGCTTAATACTCAAATCGCTATCACTGTTTGGGATTTGTCGCCACTTGCGGGGGATGGGAGTCCAGGGCATGATGTGCCATTTGGTGGCACCACCATATCATTATTCGACTCGGAAGGGAAACTTCGAATGGGTCGCCAAAAATGCAAGATACATCGCCATAAAGCTGCTGATGGATTTGCTTCAACAATGACACCAAGTCTGCAGGCGTCGAAGCGACGGAAACAGACAGGCGGCGCGACAAATGCCATTGAGCAGTCTCCAGCCGAGGTAGAACTGGAACGCATCGAAGTCTTGATCAAAAAGCACGAAATGGGCGAAATCACTCGCATCGACTGGATGGATCAAATGGTATTCCGTCAACTTGAAAAACTCAAGATCCAAGCCGAGGAAGCCGCTCGCAAAAGAGCCATTGCAATGAAAGCTTCACGGCAACGACGTGGCAGCGCTGCAGGAAATGGCGATGAAAGTTCTGGAGACGAAGATATTGATGATGAAAATTTTGTGCTATATGTGGAATTTCCACGATATGATCACCCAGTGGTGTGGGCTGATCACCAGTACCCACCTCCCCCGGTCTCGTCTTATCCTCAAAATGCTTCCAATCACTCATCGTCGGCATTGAAGCCAGTTCCTGAGGTTCGTTTCGGTCCTGGAATCGAAGGGGCTGGTGGTGCCGGCGTCATTCGAATCTATGATCCAGAGGTTGGGCAAGGGGGTAATCCTTGCGAAGACAAACACCGAAGATTGATTCGTAGTCATCGAACTGGCTTCATGGATCGAGACTTGAAACCCAATCCAAAAAATCGAGATGAACTCAATGTGATTCTCTCTTATGAGCCAACGCAGAATCTGACGGCCGAGGAGAAAGACCTTATATGGCGATTCAGGTACTACCTGACACGAGAGAAGAGAGCTTTGACCAAATTCGTCAAGTCGGTCAACTGGCGCGACGAGGGTGAGTCTCGGCAGGCTGTGGATATCTTGCCGAAATGGACGGAGATCGACGTGGACGATGCATTGGAGCTTCTCGGCCCAACTTTTGACAACCCGGCCGTACGCTCTTATGCAGTTGCACGACTACGTAAAGCAGATGATGATGAGCTTCTCTTGTACCTCCTGCAGTTGGTACAAGCCTTGAAGTACGAGGAGACCTCCGAAAACGAGTCAGAGGAGCCAGCACACGACTCATCGCTGGCCAACTTCCTTGTCACCCGTGCCGCATCCAATTTCAAACTTGGAAACTCTTTGCATTGGTACCTCATGGTTGAATGTGACGATCCCGGCCCAGGAACACTATCCAATCAACGCAGGCTCTTCGCACGGGTCGAATACTATTTCATGGCGGAGCTTGAAAAGATTCACGCCGAGCATAGAAAGACGCTTCTTCGTCAGGGCGAGATGATTACAGTCCTTTCGAAGATTGCAAAAGATATCCGCTTTTCCAGAGAGACCCGACCAGCCAAAATCGAGAAATTGAAGAAAGCTCTTCGTGATCCTAAGAACGAACTGCTGCAAATCGACCCTCCCCTTCCACTTCCGCTTGATCCCGATGTTTCAGTTGTGGGATGCTATCCGGATGAGGCCAACGTGTTCAAGTCAACCTTATCTCCGCTGAACATCACTTTCAAAACGAGTGATGGGAAACGCTACCCGCTCCTTTTCAAAGTTGGCGATGACCTCCGTCAGGATCAGCTGGTCATTCAAATCATCATCCTCATGGACCGGCTTTTACAGAAAGAGAACCTGGATCTCAAGTTGACCCCGTACCGCATTCTAGCGACCAGCTCCACGGCTGGCGCCGTTCAGTTCATTCCATCTACTTCACTCTCAGCGGCCTCTGCCAAGTACAAGTCTATTCTGACGTATTTGAAAGAGCATAATCCCGATGAGAATGAGCCGCTTGGCGTGCGGAAAGACACCATGGACACATATATCAAGTCCTGTGCTGGCTATTGTGTGATCACGTATCTACTAGGTGTTGGAGATCGCCACTTGGAGAACTTGCTTCTGGCCCCGGATGGCCATTTCTTCCATGCCGACTTCGGATTCATTCTCGGCCGTGATCCCAAACCGTTTGCCCCGATGATGAAGCTGTGCAAAGAGATGGTTGAAGGAATGGGTGGCACTACTTCACCACATTACCTACAATTCAAGCAATACTGCTATACTGCTTACACGACTCTGCGGAAGTCCGCGAACCTTATCTTGAACCTGTTCAGTCTGATGGTTGACGCCAATATTCCAGACATCAGAGTTGAGCCTGATAAAGCCGTGTTGAAGGTCAAAGAGCGCTTCCATCTCGAAATGACCGAAGAGGAGGCCATACGGCACTTCGAACAGCTCATTGGTGACAGTGTCAATGCCATATTCGGCGTAGTCATTGATCGCCTTCATGAATTCGTTCAAGGATGGAGAGCTTGAATGCAGTCTGATGCAATTTGAGCTGTCCAGAGTTCGATACGCAAGTATTCGTCCCCTTGGACAATGGTCTTGCTCGCCTGAACAGAACATAAGTGATATTGATCATATTCAGTTCCACGGATGCAGATAGGTCCATATTTCCACTGTAATGATACCCCTTTTAACTATCGTCTGTCCATATGCTTTATTTTGAAGACCTGTTCAATTCCACAGGCAACAAAGTGCAGTCAAAGATGGCCAGTCATATATTCTAAAGATAGGGAAATTGTGTGCAGAGACCAGAAATGAGTTCGAATCCCAATAGAAGAATGTTTGTCATCTCCGATCGCGACCATTCTCCTCATCGGTCAGCTCCCGCTCTTCCAGCTCGATCCACTCCTGGCCTGCACCATGCTGCGCGGTACCCCGAGGGCGCTGCAAACCAATATCCGCTTGAGTATCTGCGTCTACAGCTCCGATCTTACTAGAAAAAGAGCGACCTTCTGCCGCCGGCGTTTCTCGTCGGAGCACTCCGCTGGCTGATGACTCTTCGGATGGGAGGCCAGACAGCCTTTCAGCATCCTCATCATCTTCGGGGGTTCCCTCACGACAAGCCCATGCATCAACGAATCGGAGGACCTCACGCGGCCACCATTTCTTCATGACTAGAAGTCGGAACGGAACGAGGGCAATGATGAGTACTGGAAATGCAGGGGCAGCTCGAGTGAGAGTGACGATGAAGATCACGATCGTAATGACAATCTGCGATATGGTGTAGAGATGGATCGCAAAGTAAGATGGATTCTTGGTCGGGCTTTCCATTACGTTGTGATTCTCCGGGTCTTTGTGAAGGGACTGGGGTAATGGTGGAAGTTCAGATGGGGGCGTGAGGAGGTAGAATGTTCGATAGAGAATTGGGCTGAGTGAATGGACCATCAGCAATGTTGTATAGTAAACGGGCGAGATGTATTTGAAGAACTCACTTGACGGAAAGACTTTGCTCTCCCATGAAGAGGAACAGACCAGCCAGAACACTTGTCGGGGTGAGACCGAGGACCTTCATGAACGGCGGGCTGATGAACAGGAGGATGGTGCCTGAGTGAAGGAATGACGACCATCGTTGCTCGTATACCTGGCGCCCTTCACGGGTTTCGACCTTTTCCTTGCCGTCCACGATGATCGTCTTCTCTTCTTTGACCGTGTGCATAAGAGACTCCGAATGTAAAGGGGCCTGCGGCAAAAGACCATTTGCTGGTGGAATTCCAAGAATGCCGCAGAGAGCGGTGGTAGTTCCCAGTAGCACGATATCCCAGGCAAACCCTCCAGGCTTTCGTGTACCATAACGGTCAATGGTGCATATGATGGAGCTCACTTCATGATCAAAGAAGAACAAGATGGTAATGATTAGACCAGGGATCATCGCCGCAAAGATCCAAGAGATGGGTAGCTTCCAGAATTCCACGAAAAAGATATCTCGATCGGGAGACGTCGGTCGGAATGACGTGCTCACTGCCAGGGTCATCTTGTCCAAATTGGCGAGTTCTCCAACATGAGGCAGGCCGATGAAGACAATGATAGAGATGGCAGCAGCATATTCGGTCAGCAGAAGACGGAAGTATCGATGAAACAGAGGGCGCCAACTTTCTGCCGTGGAGAGGAATATGGCCAGGAGCATTGTGCCTACAGCCCCAATCACCGCGTACAGGAACGCAGCAAAGGACAAGCTATCATGAGCTCGTTCTAGCTCCTGAATAGCCTTGTGAAAGTAAATGATGCTGTTCAATAATGAGAAGATCTCTGTGGCGAAAGTTGTCACATATCGCATGGTCCAATCGTGGGCATTAATGAATGCCAAGATATAATGCATCCATGCAGAATGGATCAAGCACCATGCCATGAACGACAAGAAGGGTATCTGTGTGGTGTAGACAGTCAGTTGATATTCACGGACCCAGACTAACAGAAAGTTTGTTCTTGCCCTACCTGAAACGTATCGACACACAACGAGTAGATGTTTTCTGCCAAGACAGAGAATGGGCCGGTTACTCCAAGGATCGTGAGCGGCTGAATAGAAAACCTGACACAACGGATCAATATCAGTACACATTGAGAGCATGGAACTCTCGCATATTCACTTACAAGGAGAAGATGATACCGCATAGGCCAGTACTGAACACGACCTCGATTGTGCCCCAACTCTTGCCGGTAAGCACATACAAGTCGCTGGCAAAGGTAATTCCTGGCAAGAGGTTGGTGAAGAACACGTAGACAGCACTGGCAAAGATCAGTTGATTGAAAACTGTCCAGTCTGAGACATATCGTCTGCGCAAGTTGACAAGATCTTGCTTCACTAGGCGAAACGGTTTCAGAGGCCCTCCGCTGGCGATTGAGCCTCGTAACTTTCGGAAGGGCCTTGGAGTGTGCTTGGACGGCGTAATGATAGTGTGAGCATCTGGATCGTCATCATTCTCATCTGAGTGATCATCATTCTTTCGACGCTTCTGTGTCTTTCTTCTCCGCCGAGGTTTGGAGCTCTGGCGGACTGAAGACGAACGCGTAGATGGAGGTCGGAAGGCGGATATAAGAGACATTGAAGAGTAAGTCTTGAAAGTCCGGGTTTGAAATCAGATAACAAAATTCGAGATTCTGCGAGAAAGCGAGAAAGCTACGTGAGTGCCTGCTCAAAGTATTAATCCATTCCAGATCTTCAAAGAGCCGATTCGACACGCTCGATGACCTTTCTAGTAGTGTACCGATCGGATCTACTTCAAGTTTCCTGCGCTCAAGCCCCCCGCGTCATTTCCGGATCCACTGCCAAGACTCGGAGAAGAAGCATAATCAGACACCGCTCCAGCAACCGCCTTGCGATTTGCCTGGCAGTTTGTTTTGTCAGTCACTTGCGGTGCCCTCCTTGCTCCTTAGTAGGCCTCTACTCGCAGCACCGTGCAAGCCGGAAATCCTTCGAATAATGACCTAGAGTCAGTCTGTCGAATATGGCTCAATTCGTTCCGCGTCAGGTCTTCCCTCACTATGGGGCGATCCCTCGATCATACTTCCTGGGACATCACCGCGCTGGCCTGAGCAAAATGAAAAACATGCTTTCGTCAATAGACTACGTTGTGGAATGTCGCGACTATCGGGCCCCTGTCACTTCTATTAATCCCATGTTCGAGGAAGCTTTAGAAAACAAAAGAAGATTGATTGTTTACACAAAACGAGACCTTGGTAGCGTACCGAACTCACCTACACAAAAACTTGTAAGCGCTGCAAATCCTGAACGCGGACTGGCAAAAGCATTCAATTAATGGACCACTCGCCAGGTCGAGAGAAAAGTGCGAGATCTTGATCGGAAAAGCGCAGTCTTCTTTGTCAGTACATCTTCTCGTGTTGATGTCACACCGATCCTGCGACACCTTCGAGACGATGCGGAGGGACCTGATAAGCTGGTGGGATGCCGAGTGCTCGTGGTGGGTATGCCGAATATTGGAAAATCAACCCTCATCAATCACCTCCGAAACTTTGGCGTGGGCAAGGCGAAGGCCTTGAAGACTGGTGGTCAGCCAGGTATCACCAGGAAAATTGCCAGTCCAGTCAAAATCATCGAGCGTGCGAGCGGGTCTCACGTTTATGTGCTCGACACGCCGGGTGTCTTTATGCCATACGTTCCAGATGCCGATAACATGCTCAAGCTAGCACTATGTGGCTGTGTGAAAGATGCAGTGATATCTCCGGTCACACTCGTTGATTATCTCCTCTACCAGATCAATCTCCACGATACGCAGGCGTACAGGCGGTGGTCTGAACCCACAAACGAAGTGATGCCTTTACTTGAGAGATTTGCTCAAAAGACAGGTCTCCTGGGCAAAGGTGGAGTTCCAAACATAGATGGTGCCGCTTTGCACTTCATTCAAAAGTGGCGAGCCGGTGACCTCGGACGGTTCATACTGGATGATCTGGACGCAGAGCAACGGCGCCGCGAAGATCCCAATCAACAATCCCGGCTGAGTATGTCCCAAGCCTTGAAGGTTGAAAGAATAAATCGCAAACAGTGGAAGGCGAACCCTCCGGACAGTTCTAGCAACTTTGAATAATCGATGGACCGGGCCAACAGGAGAAGTGAGCTCTCTCAGAACGAATTAAGTGCAGCGAAATATGGAGTATTTTGTGACGATTGGGGAAAAATAAGAGTACAATCAGCAGAAATATCAAATGACCCTCAACCGGCAAATATTTTCGTGAGGGTTCCCATCCTGCAACGCCGAAGTAAGATGAGATATGCGAAATGTGGGCGTGAAAAGCTGAGCATACGCAGCGCATCAGCCAAAGATCAAGAGATCTTTTGAAGGAGGCGTTCTCGCCGTCTGTTGACGAGTTCTTCTTGCACTTCTTCTAACGAGGGAAGTCGCCATTCCACCCCATCTCCAGAGTCTCCTGGAAGCGGTTCCCAGCCATCCTCGGCATCGTCATCGCCCTGGACGCGCAAACCTTCCACCGCTTCTTTCTCTTTCTGCTTCTCGTATGCAAGCAGTGTGCCGTCTTCTTCATCTAGTCCGTAGCCGAAGTAGTTTGCATTGACCTTTTTCGTTGCGATGTCCCCACCACGGCCGGTCCCTGTACCTTCTTCTTCTTCCTCCGGTGGCCCTTTGCCACGACGCGCTGCGGCTTCAAACATTTCCTTCACACCGGGTAGCTCTCTGGCACGACCAAAGTACCGATAGCCCTTGCCTCCACCGGGAATTTCGCGCCCTTCATCATCGTAGACTCGACCCGATCCCCGCATGTAGTTCGGTCCACCAAGATTGCGAATCTGCATTTCCCATGCCCACTTCTCGCGCATGAGCTTGTTGATCTCGTCGTTCAGATCGCGAATCTGGTAGTCGCTGAGGCTTGGTTCTTGAATGCGCGACACCTTGCGGGAGATTTCTTTCAGGACCTGGCCACGCCAGCGCTCGCAGGTCGGAATCGAATCAACGCTGGTGATGTTCTTGGGTCGTCGTGTTCGTCCAATATCGATGATTCCCATATCCGCTGCCTGTTGCGCTCGAAAGCGGAACAGCATGGATTGGGCCTTTTCGCTGTTGCGAGCCTGTACATTGCGGGGGCAGTCATTTTAGTAAGGGCGGCCTTCACAAAGTATAGAAGTGGAGATGAGGCAACTCCAAAGCTGCTAGAGCTATGTTACGTACCATTCTGACGATCTGGCAAGGTCGATGACCCAGTGATGCTTTTAGAAGATGGCGGGAGGGATCCGAACGTCAGACCCAGGTCTTGACAGTCGCATCTTAAGGTCCGGCGCCAAATTGGCGTTTACCGCGCGGCTATCACGTGGGTCGCTCTCGGCTGATAAGCACATAAAAGCTTTCAATGCGCTGGGATGAACCTATTACGGTCGAGTAGCGCGCTGCCTTGCCATACGTGCTTTGTCTAACGATATGCACGCCCAGATCTCTGGTAGAAAGCAAAGTCAAAACAAGACTTCTTGTTGCTCGGGTATGAGTTCTGTCAATGTGGAACTGACTATTCTGTGGCATTGTATATTTTCCATCCCCCGCTATCTCCTTGAGCTGGCACCCACAACTCTTCTCAGAGGCGCAAAATTATTCTTCAAACACCGAAACAAAATTTCGATGATCTTATGCTCGTGGCTCAAAAGACTATCTCACTTAATTGAATGACCAAGAGCTCTTCCAGAAGAAGCTTGTTTCCAAACCCTAGAACATTCGGCCTCACTCAAGGTCTCATATCCAGCCAAGTTAGGCTGGGTCTTCATGAGAATGGCCACAACGACATACCTAGTGATCACTCATGGGCGCGTAAGTGGAGGAGTGAGGCACATCTGCCCGTATACTGGGAGGAGAGTGCCCTATCTACATCCATTCCTATAGCTAGACATGAGTTCTGGCCGACCAAGGTTCTAGTTGGGGATAATTACTCCGCACTTGACATGAGCCGAGGAACTGGAGGGTGACATTGTGGAGAGTCAGCTTGTTTCATCTGATGCGATGAATGTGCGACACAGTGAGGCGGAATGTCAGATACGAAATATATGGACCTACAAGATGAGGACCAGAAGTGAAAAGAGACAGAAAGGTGAAATTAGGTAATGCGATCATTATCGAAGGTGAAGATGCCTTAAGACCAGGGACTCGAAGCGCTGTCCTATCCTCGAAATATGCCAAAGCAAGATTGCCACCTGAGACAGGAACTCCGAGAGGTCCGAGAGGAAACAGCCGATGAAACACAAAAAAATCCAGCCAGGAAGTAGACAAAGTGAGGCACTCGCGCAACACAAAAAGCTTGAGGGGCACTCTCCAGGATGTGCCCAAGACATGAATCAAATTACATACCACTCCTCCGGAAAACCAAACGCGAAAAAAGCACAAAAGCCAAACATGCAATTCAGCCAAAATCAGACAGCGTGAGATATTCACAGAAATCCTTTCGTGTTGCTAGGCTTGCGCTGAGGTGTAGAGTCAAAACCATAAGCGGCACTGCCGCGTCGACTGCCAGTCTCGCTGAAAGCCGTCATGGGACGACCAATCGAAGCGCTGCTACGCATCGCTTTGAGATTCTCGAGCTCGCGCTCTAAGAATTGAACCTTCTCCCGTTCTTCGCGAAGATCGCGTTCAGCACGCCGAGCTTGCAATTGCGTCTCAGTATCGCCTTGCTGAAGTTCCTCGATGTTCTTGAGCAGTCTTTCGACCCTGTCTCGGGCTTTGTTGACTTCCTCAGTGAGCTGCACATTCATCTTGTCTCGTCGTTCAATCTGAGACTGCAGGTCTTTGACCGTGCGATCAACATTGCGAAGGGAGCGTTGTTCGGCGGTGTGCTTGCTCTCCTGTTCCTCAAGATGTGTCTCCAACTGTGAGAAAAATTAGTGACTGCTACTAACCAGAGGCCTCAATTCCTGTGACTTTACTTACCTCTTTGATACGTTTGTGCAGGAAACGAACATCTTGGCTGCCCGAAGAGTAGCCTTTGGTCTCCAAATCAACACACCGTAGTTGCACCTCTTTCAGCTGCTTCTCTAGTCCAGCTTTCTCCTTGAAGAGTTGGGCATTGGTCTCCCGCTCGACTGTCAGCTCCTTCTGCATCTCAATTGCAAGGGCATCGGCACGGCGCATCTTGTTAACAGCGGCAGAAGAGACATCCTCCTGCTGAGCAAGTTTCGACTTCAACTCGAGCAATTCGCGATCCATGCTAGCAGCGTTCCTCATTGAGGGGCTCTCACCCTTCGCCAGATCTTCGAGACGTTCACCGGCTTCGGCCAATCTGCCCTCAAGCATCTTCTTGTCCTTGAGTAGTAAGTCGCGTTCGGCGGTGACATCGTCGATAGACGTGCGCAGTGATCGGACTTGCGTCAGCAGTGACACAACTTTAGTTTGAGCCTCACTGTGTGCTGCGGCAGCTTCGTCTCGAGAGTTGGCAATGTCTTGCATGGCAAGTTCCAGGCGAGCCTTCTCTTTGGCCCAGGTCGAGCTGTTCAGAACCTCGTCATCCCATTTACTGCGGAGATCCTCGATTTCCTCGCGCAAACGTGCATTTTCACCACGGACATTGAGGAGGCGCTCACGCTCCATCTCAAGCTCGCCATTGATGGTAGAGAATTCGCGTTGATACTTCTGACGAGTTTGCTCCATTGAGGTCTCCTTGTCCTCGATATCAATAGCCCGCTGATTACGGTAATCCTCGAGCTCATTCTGAAGTCGCTGTTTGGCTTGCAAGGCGCCTTGGAGCTCTGCGGCCTGGTCTTCCATGCGAGCTTCCAAGGATTGAGTCTGACGCTGCAAATCCTCAACAAGTGCATCCATCTCCTTCCGTTCTGACATGATATGAGCGCAGGTATCTTCGGCTTCCTGGCACCTTGACTTCGCGAATTGTTCGGCCCGGCTTGCCTTCAACACGGCGATCTCTGCTTGCTCCAGCTTGCTGAAGTACTCGTCGGCACGTGATTTGAAAAGACTCAACGTAGATTCAAGGTCGGCAGTACGCGAAGTCTCTGCATCCAATCGAATCTGCAGCTCAGAAAACTCTTCCAGAAGCTGGTCTCGACTGGCAAGGTCTTGCTCTCGGGATGTCTGAAGCTCTAGAGTCTCAGACTTGGCATCGCGAAGCTCAACCTCAAGTGTCACTTTGGCCCGTTTCAGCTTCTCATACTGCGACTTGGCCTCGCTGAATTCTGTCAAAGCATCATTGTGAACCTTGAGCAAGGACCGACGAGACTGCTCCTGTGAGTTGATAAGATCGTACAGCTCCTCGTGAGATTTGGCTTGCACGTCACGCAGAGAAAGCTCGCCAGATCGAATGCTTCTTTCCAAAGCGGATACCTTCTTAGCAGAGTCATCAAGCTGTCCATGAAGTCGGCCATTCTCGCGCTCCAGAAGTTGCATTCGTCGAACAGAGGGACTCTCGTCTTGCCAGATATCGCGACTAGGAGTGAACTGCTGAAGTTGACTTTGGAGGTGCTTGTTCTGGATCTCAGTCATTTGGAGCTTGTTTTGCAGCTCCTCGATCTCTCCCGCCGCATCCATGCGTTTCTGGTAACCGAGAGTGTCAACTGTCCTGTCCGATCTGGCGGAATCATTGGCACCTTCATATACATTGTTGTAACGACGGTGCGGTGTCGACGGGTTCGAAACCCTCTTGAGGGCATTGTCCGAGTTCTTCCGCAGATGAGTAGGGCCACGGTTGCTCACTTCATTCTGATCGATCTCTTCAAGCAAGGCGCGCTTCGAGGACGAGTACTTTGAGTCTAGTTCCCTCATTTCGTCGGTGTGGCGACGACGCATCTCTGATAATTGGTTCTCAGCTCGTGCGTACTTTTCCTCTGTGACCTGCAGCTTATGTTGCATTTCATTCAACAATTGAGCGAGGTCAACTTGCTTAGATAGGTGCGACTGCACGGCCTCCCAGGACTCTTTCGGTTCCGAAGCCTCAGGCTCGAAAACCCTGTGGAGAGCGATCAGTTGGCGATGAAGACTTTCAATCTCTTTATTTGCCTGGTCGAGAGTAGTTTGCGTCTGCCGAGTGTTCGCCTGTGCCTGACCACGGAGCTGTCTTTCAGTTTCCAGATTACGATTCACTTCTGCAAGCTGAAGATTTGCGGTGGAGGCAGCCTTCTCAGCGTTCCGACTGTTCTTTTGTTCCCGATTGACCTCATGGTTGAGATCCTCCAGGCTCAGCGACAGCTTTTCCTTCTGCTTTTCTAGGCTTGTAATTGTCAGTTGACAGTCACCAAGCTGCTTTTGAAGTCGCTTATTGTCCTCCTCGAGCCTTTCCTTCTCCTTCTGAAGATTTGACAGTCGCAGTCGATTACTGTCGCTGGCCTTAGAATTTGACCGAGCGATGTCAAGATTCTTTTGCTGAATCTTGGTCAAAAGAGCGCGGTTATCGTTCTCTGAAGCTGTGAGGCGGCCTTTGAGGGTGACAAGCTCCCTTTCGAGACGCGCCTTATGCTGATCGTGGCGAATGCGGAAATTGTCAGATTCAGAGATTGCATGCTCCAGCTCCTGGACACGGACCGAAAGCTGATATCGTTCCGCCTCAAGATCGTCGAGTAGTTGCATTTTCTCTTCCAGATCAGTACGCATACTTGTTATGCGATCCTCCGATTGGTTCTTCAGCTTCCGTTCGATTTCAGCTTCTGCATTCAAGCGCGCATTTTCAACAGCGGTGAAACGCTCTCGCAACTTGATTAGCTCTGATTGAAGCTCTTTTCTCGATGTTTCCGCAGCCAGGCGAGCCTCATTCGCGCGACGAAGGCTGTCTTGTTGGATGTACATTTCCTTCTCGATTTCGATTTTAGACTCGTTCAAGGCGGCGTACTTGTCGGTCAGTTCGGCCAAATTGTGTTCAGCAAGCATCTGCACATCATCTCTGGACTGGCGCACACGACTGAGGTCTGCTTCAGTCTGGAAAAGTTGAGCTTTGAGATCATGAACTTGCTGCTCCAGCAGCTTTCTACTCTCGCCAGCTTCGACATCCTCGCTCCTCTTCTCTTCGAGCAGCCGCTTGACATCGGCAGCTTCACGCTCGAGTTGAGCCTTCTCAGATCGCATGGCATCTCTCTCAGCCTGCACCTCGCGAAGTCGCCCCTGCATGGTGTCGTGTCGATTTACCAGAGACTTCTTTTCAGCTTCCGCACTCTGTCTGTCCTCGTCACACTTTTTCAGATCGTGTCGGAGAACTGCCATTTCACTTTCTTTCCGGCGAAGGAGGTCCTCATAGCTTGTTGTAGTGGACGACAAATCAGTCATCTGCCGACGAATTGACTGATTCTCGTTGATGGTTTCGCGGAGCTCTTTCTTCGTCTTCTCAAGCTCCTTCGAAGTAGACGCCAATTTGACTTCAAGATCTTGATCCGTTTTCAGCAGCTTAGCCTCAAGATCATGAAGCTTGCGCTCCTTGAGACTAAGATGACTCTGTAGCATTTTCATTTCTTGCGTAAGCTCCTGTATAGCAGCGTCCTTGCCGGAGTATTCTCCTTCAAGAGCAGCGATTCGAGAATTCAGCTCTTCGACTTGGGCTTGAAGAGCGTGCTTCTCTGCTTCCAGCTTCTGGATGATAAGACCCGCCTGCTCAAGCTGCGTGATTCGAAGTTGTAACTGCTCGTCTGCCTTCTTCTTGGCATCGACCAGGTCATCCAGCTGCTCTTCGAGCTTCTCTTGATCGGCAATGGCCTCAGCTAGCTTCTCTGCCAATTCAACTTCTCGATCTTGTAAGCGCCGGAATATTTCCTCTTTGTCCAGGGCGAGAGCTCGTTCGCTTTCGAGGGTCTTCTGGATTTTTTGGATTTCCAACTCAGTGCGGCGTCTTTCCTCGTCGAGCTTCTGACGATCAGACATTTCTTGCTTCATCTTCAACTCCAGCTCCTTGATCTTGTCGTCTCTTTTCTTAACCTCCTTGGCGGTCCTCGTATCACCAAGAAGTGGTCTCATCTGAGAAAATAAGCACCACCATGGGCTACTCTTTAAGTCAAGGTATGCACGAAAATTTTGCTGGATGATACGAGTTGCCTCAGCACGGTACAGTCGCTTGTTGGAAATGCGCCGCTGCACAAAGCCACGAGCAAGGGACTGGAAGCGTGTCATGATTGTTCGAATCAGCTGGTCGCGCTTCTCTTCCAGGTCGGCAAGAACACCTGCACGGAAAAAGACTTTGGTACGTCCGACTCTGTACCAAGCCTTGTCCATGCCCAGTTTCTCTAACATCAGACGAGCCGCACTCTGGCCCTCCAGATAGCCCTTTGGCATGTGCTGACAAAGGACCTCATATCGTTGACGGAACTCCGCAAATGGCAGTCGATTTGGGAATCCGGTGCGAGCAATTCTGATTCCCTCCAACACACCATTGCACCGTAGTTGGTCAAGTACCAAGGGGGCATGGAGCATCTTTGGACGCTTTTTGTGGTTCGGCAATATGCAACGGACGAAATGTGGATGTGTCGAGTGAAGCTGTACCATCAAGCTGGACAACTGCTCTTTGTGTCTTTGGGCGACCGTTCGGAACAGCCCTTTCTTCACACGACTTCGGGGTTGGTCGCTTCCATCCTCCACATCAGCACAGTCCGCGAACAAGTTTGCCACATGTCCGTTTTCAGAGACCGCAAGAAGCCGAGTAATATTGTCGTTCATCGGATCTTTATTCTTCTCCAACCAGTCGTGTGTAGTGTATTCAACTTCAGCAGCATAGTGGGTAAGAATGAAACCCTGGTTCAGGCGAGATGCACGGTATTTGGGAGTCTTTCGATCCCAAAGGGAATGTAACTTCTCCGTGAATGATTTGTCCGTGGCTTTGGGCATCACACTATCCTCATCAAGGCATGAAAAGATACCAATCGGATTTGTCAACTCGATCAGATCAATTGTTGGCTGCAAATCCCTGCCAAAGTCGATGAACTGCCACTCAATCTGCTCTCGCGCATACTCTTCCTGTTCCAGTACAAACATGTGGTGGTTGAAGAATTGTTGCAATTTCTCGTTGGTGTAGTTGATGCAAAGTTGCTCAAAACTGTTGTTCTCGAAGATTTCGAAACCAGCAATATCAAGCACTCCGATAAAATAATTCTCCTCAGTCATCGAACGACCCAGCTGCTTGTTGATACGAGTCACCAAGTCGCCAAACCCGCGCTCGTAGATACCCTTCGATAGGGCGTCCAAGGCGAGTCGGACTTGATCGGGGGTCTGGACCTTTTCCACCCATTCTCGGCCAGCTTTGACTCTTGGATGAAGTAGGCCCTTGATGAAAGGTTCCACTCGGATACCCAGGAGCTGGCAAGCTTTCTCCACACTTTTGATACCATCCGGGGCCAACGAAGCCTGATCCGCCCGTGCGCTTTCCTTGGCTACAGTCACGTTTCCGAGGTGAAGAACTGCAGCAATTGTACGCAAGATACAGAGCTGATCCTCGTCCGTGAAATCCATCACGTTGAAAGCCTCAATTAGCGAATTCCACTCTTCTTGGTCTGAGACTCCCACAATCGACTCGTTGCCATCCCTCAAGTATGCAAAGTCTGTTATTTGAAGATCGTTTAGCAGGAGCTTTTCGCGAAGTCCCTGATCCGAGCCTTGGAGTAGCTGGTAGAAGATATGGTAATTTCGCTCATTCGAGTTTGGCTTGACCACTCGCGATTTCTCGAGCAAATACCAATCTATCCACGCGCCGCAAATTTGTCCTGATCGTGAAAACTCGATTCGAATAAATTTTCCGAATCTTGAAGAATTGTGGTTGCGGACTGTCTGAGCGTTACCGAACGCTTCAAGAATCGGATTTGCGCGAAGGATTTGCTGTGACAAGTTGGAAAGCTGCTTTGACCCTGATCGTCCGTAAGGCGTGTCGGAAGTCGCGACTGCTGCCAGATACTGAATGACCTTTTTCGTGTTTTCTGTTTTTCCAGCACCGGATTCACCACTAATATCCGCTCATTAACAATCTTGGTAGAGACGAGCAAGCACAATATTGAAGCACTTACGTTACAAGAATGCTCTGATTCTCCCCTTCCTCGACTAAATTTCGGAAAGCCTCATCTGCCATGGCGAAGATATGTGGCCGAGTCTCATCCCTTCCTCGACCCTTGTACATTTTGATATACTCGGTCGTGTAAATTGAAAGAGGGCAGTAAGGATTGATCGTCACCAAGAACAGTCCGGAATACGTCTAAGGCATGTTAGTCATGGTTGAAGCACGGGTTTTTGACCGCAGACGATCACTTACATAGATCAGGTCTGACTGATATCGAGTGTGCAGATTGTGCACGACAGAGGCTTCATTTAGATGGGTCAGCTCCGCCATGTCATCTGCCTTGTCGAACTTCGCCGGGTTGACCTTGTCCACCTGGTCCGGGTCTACTTCGCGCTGCTATTATAGGCTTCAGTCTTGCTTTCAAAGAGCAACGAGCGCGATGCGAAATGAATGCATACCTCGCCGTCATCTGTCTGCACCAGGAGACTTCCACCGTCCAGCTCCTCCAAGACAAGTCCACGCACAAATGCCTTCTCCGGGTCTCGAAGCCAAACATACTTATTTCCCGAAAAATCATTATCACCTTCCAAGCCACGTATTTGATCTGCACCTCTTCTGAGCTCCTCTGATTTGATGAAGCTGGGGGCAAATGTGCCCGAAGATGTGTCTTTGCGGAGTGAGCTCGATCTTTCTCGAGTCATAACGGAAGGTGAACGATTAGGCGTAAGTTGGGAAACCGAGGCATTTCGTAGATGGCCCCGGACAGATTCCAAACTGTATGAGGGGCTGAGAATTGCAGATTTTGGTCGCTGTTGTGAGACTGGAGCTGAAGACGGCGAGGAACGCCCAAACGGATTGGCGCGCTTAGGCGTGCTGTTGAGCTGGGAGGGAAGCATTGCGGTAGGATTGGGTTAGTAACACATTATCTGACGTCGTCAACGTATCCCATGTCCTCAGAACAAGAATAAGAGATATGCCTCTTTGGCAATATGAAATCGCAAGTAGGAAACAAGTCCGCGTGCAGTTAAACAAGTCAGTGAAAGTTGGACGTGGAACCGATCGTGTACCTTATGTGGGGAGCCCAGTGAGTGATGTAAAGCGGAGGGCTGACGCTGTTTGTTTACACTGCGTTCCTCGGGTGCCCGCCGATCAGCTGGTCTGTGCGGCACTCAAGCCGCATCACGTGAACCGAGTCTTGGTTTTTCGGAGCGCTAGCCTGTGCTTCAAGCCGACCTACTTCTCTCAGTCTAGATTCCGACCGTCATCGGCGTCATTAGATCTGCCCTCAGCCGTGAATTTCCTTCAATATAGCCTCACTTGTGCCTTTTGCCTCTTGCAGTGTTCTGCTCGTCTGCGTATGTGATACTGGCACCTAACTTACGACCCAGATCAACACCGCGAAGTCCGACACTTCAGAATGGGAACATTAGAACCCGAGCTATCATAGGATTGCCTCACACTGGTCAACCATCTTCGCAGATTCTTACTTCTTCCAAGTTCTTGATTCTGCGCGCGAGCTTTTGCGATGGCAAATCAACCGCCCCCTCCGTTTGGTAGCTACGATGACCGGGCCCAGCCGTGGCCATTTCCTTTCCCTCCTATGGTCCTCCCGACCCTCGCGACAAATTCAGACATCTCGTCCAACATGCCCCCGATGCTGCTCGACCCTTCCCAGGCTTTTCAATTTGGCTTGGCCGGGTTGAACCCAAGCCTTGGAACACCGGTGGCTGGCAACCGCAGTGGAGGGAGCGCTCCCCAACCCACACAATTTCCCATCGCCGGCCCATATGATTTTTCACAGCTCCAGCTACCATTTAATCAGATGGGCCCTGCTGCCAGAGCTCATGGGGCCTTGGGTCCAAATGCAAATACTGGATCTTCTGACGCACACGCTCCTCACATGCTCCGAACTGGAACACGCAAGCCTGAAGTTTTGCAAAACCAAGGTGACAGTGATCAGACACGTGAGCATTTACTTCTCGAGGAGGGTGAGATTAGTGAAGGAGAATTGGGCCTCGAGTCGCAGAGAATGGATGCCGTCGAACAACGGTCAGGCCCACCAGTTGCGAAGCGCCAACGCCAACAACACGCATCCACAATCTCTTCGCCCTCATCAAGCTCGTCCCGAAGCAGTGCGCGTAAGTCTCTTTTCCAGATCACCCTAAGACCTTACAACAGTCAGAGCCTGATTTTTTTAACACCCTCCAGCATACAATCCTCCACTTTCAGTTTCGATGGACTCGCAACCAGTTGATTCCGCCCCTGAATCACAGCGCAATTCCGCCGTCACGATAGCAGATGGACCAGCATCCTCACAGGCGGTCCCGCATCTTCGTGTCCAGGCGCAGGGTGCCCTTCTCAGTCTCGCGATCCACAATATTCGATTCAACGAGTTGGTAGCAGAAGGAATCAACCCAAGCGTTCTAAGAAAACTGTATGAGGAAGTTGGCATCAGGGTCGAGGCTTCTCAGCCGCCAACACCGACAGTTAATGTGACCGCAGAGTCGGTCACCAAACTCAGAGAAGATCACGCCGAAAGCCGAGCCGTGCCCAAATCCATGTCTAGCAACGCACCACAGCCCGGCACGGTTCAGTCAGATCCAAAACAACCCATGGAAAGGAAGGAGTTAATTGCTAAGATGCTGGCAGCTAAGGCTGCTTCAAAACCTTCCGAAAATGCAGCACCTAGCCCGTCTCCCTCATCTGCCGAAGCCAAGATAAAGACCAAAGAGAGCATTGTGCCAACAAAGGAGAAAAGCAAGGCTCAAACAGAGCTTGCGCGCCAGCGTATCGAGGCGCTTAAGAAGCAGGCATTGCTTCGAAGCAAGCTAAAGGCTCAACAAGACGCCCAGGATAGCCAAAATGTTCCCAACAATCCCTCGCCGGCTGTGAATCATCCTTTACCAGTCCGCCCACCACCAGTGCCGCACAATTCATCAACCGCAACAATCCCAGGCCTGTCTTTGACGGAGCACATATCCGATGGTGGGTCAAAGGGCGTGGATGAAGGCATTGACGCAAATGCTACTGATTTGACCTCAATCGACAGGTTGAAGCAGCGAAAGCGTCCACGAGCTTCGGATCTTGATGATTCTGGCGAGGCCGAGAATGGAATTTCTACACATGTCGCCGCTCCTCTCTACAAAGAGTCAGACAGGTTGATCATTCATATTAGTGATGATGAATCTTTGTACGGGGACGACGAAAACGAAGAGATGGATGCGGATTCAAGTTCTGAATCGGAAACACCGAACAAGAATTCTAGCACAGCTGGAATGACCGCTTCTCAGCCAGTGCTACGTAGGTCTCCGTCGGGCACTGGCACTTCCTCGACCCCGCAAGTCTCGGTACATGCCAGCAGTGATCAAGAGCAAATGCGACGGAAAGCTCTCGAAATCCAAGCCTTGCATCGGAGAATCGCCGAACTTGAAGAGAGAAGGAAAATGAAGCTCGCTGCAAGTCGAACTCAATCCCCGCACCCTGCGACTACTGCAGCTGGCACACCTTCGGCGTCTGGCGCTGCATCAAATCTTCCCGAAGAAAGGAGCCCCGAAGATCAAGCGACCGAGGAGGTTGTAACACAACTTGCAACGAAACAATCTCGCTTGGCTGCCCAAGAAGGTAAACTTGGACTTTGCAATATGGATATTGAGATCGTACTGACCAAAACACCAGATTCGCCAAAACCCATCGTGGCCAGAAAATCGCCCGACACCCCGAGTCCAGATTTGCCAGTTACCATTGCAGCCTCAGAAGAACCTTCCCTCGCTCGATCGCCTATGTCGGCCGACTCCGCCCTTTTAGAGGAAGAGTCAGACGACTCTAGCTCCGAAGACTCCAGCTCCGAAGATTCCAGCTCGGACGACTCTGGCTCAGAGGACTCTAATTCGGAAGAGTCTGGCTCGGAAGAGTCACAGCTTGAATCTGGAGCAGATGTGTCGGCTTCCGAAAAACCTGTCTCCGACGAATCCAGCACAGAAAGTCACTCGGAGCAGGAAGACGGCGAAATGGAAGATTCTGAGACGTATGAACCTCCGAACACGGTCCAATTGGTACCAGATGACGATTCCATGGAAGTTGACCGTCTTCCCAATGGGACCTCGGAGAGCGGGGCGCCCGTACAACCCGCTGTATCGAGGCTAGTCAAAAATCTACATGGAGAAGATGATGAAGACTACGAACCGACTGATCACAATGGCAATGACCTTGACATGTCGGATGCGGCGTCTATCTCAGGCTCCGAAGCATACGAGCCACCCGAGCCTGAGACGGGACCTGGGTCTCCCCAATCCTCGTACAGCCCACCTCCCGATTTGCCAGCCGAGCCCATGGATGTTGACCATTTGTTCAACTCATCACAAAGCCATGACCCACAAGACGCGATGCCCCGGATGAGAGACCAGGAGGCACAACCGGTGTATCGGGGTCCGGAATCCCAAATACTGGGTGTATGAACAACACCTCTTCACCATTAAAGTAGATAGTGGTCATGCACTAACCACTCTTAGATCAATACGCCATCGAATGTCACCGTTCCCAATTTTACGTCCTACGTCAGTCCTTTGCGATACTTCAAGGCCTATCGCTACCATCCTCACTACACTGAAGAGGTTTCGGACGGTTACCGTTCGCTAACTTTTAGCAATGACATCTGCCCGATGAGATACCTTTGCAAGTATGAAATTTCTGGTGGATCGTGCAATGACCGTTCGTGTCAATTCCAGCACTTCCGTGACATGAGTCTAAGCGGTGCGTCAAAACCTACAAAAGCCGTACAGTCTTTTGAGACATCTCCCGATTGATTTCCGCCATTTCCTTCTATTGCCTACTTTACGTCGGCGTGTTTCACGGACCCTGTCTCTCTTTCACCTTTTACTTTTTCGAACGCCCTTCCTTCTCTTGCTACTATTCTTCTGACCCCGTGCGCTTGCTGACCACAGTGCGATTAACCTTGGCAGATGATCAAATTCTCATTGAGATGGGCTCGGTCCGTGAAGGAAAGACGGATGAAGAGAAGGAAGCTTACCTCGCTGGTCTAAAGGGAATCATCAACGACATGCGGCGTGACAAGGTGAAAGACTTCAGCACCGTGGCTTCTGAGATAGCCGCGTACCGTAGGCGCTTTCTCCAAGACCCATCCCGTGTCTTGCCCCTGTAAACCCACCCATTCTTCCCCCGAAGTATGCCGGTTCCTGGTGTCTTAGAGCGGATATTGACCAGGTGAGCCGGCTTTAAACCCTCTGGGAAAGCCTATCCTACTTGCTGGCCGGCGTAAACGAGCTGTGCTTTGCCTGCAAGTATTCTTTCTATTTAACGATACCCGCTTCTTGCGCTTGGCCTCTCATGTCACGCGCTTCAAGCATGCCACTTACCTCCGCATTTTATCAATCTTATTTTTCCGTCCACTCCGGGATTTGTCAACACCCTGGTGTCTTGAAGGACGCCGCCCTCTTTTAAATGGCCTGTGACGTGCCCTGGGGGTCTCATTTTCGCAACTCTCAACCTCGTGCGTCAAGAGCCGTCGAGGTCTGAGGAGAAGAGTGCACAACAACAGACGACATTTCGCACCCAAACCTTGGTAGTTTTTGTTTCTTACTGTTCAATAGCAAGGCTCAACTGATTCTTTTTGTGTCATAACAATCCCTAACTCGCAAACAATTCCTCTAACACGGCCTCTATGGAAGCTGCCCATATTTTTTCGTCACTGGGAACATTGATGTCGACCAGGACTGTGTAGATACTAGATAGCGCCGTCATTACCTGACCAATGTGGATGATAACTCCATAATGACAAGAAGAATTTAAATTATGTCGAGCCTGCATCTTTCGAGCTGTGGACGTCCCCAGTATTGAGCTTCTCGTATAGTCATCGCCACCGGTCCAGTGAGACAAGCTCGATGGTTGAAACACAAGCCCACAAAATGAATTACGCAATCTCGACCACCACCGTCGTGCAATTCACGCATTGTATAAGATCGTCCAAACCGTGCTGATGGCTTCCGATCATCTTCCTTTCACCTTTCCACAGGACTTGGCCGAATGATTCCTTCAACTCCATTGGTTCCGGGCCGCGATCCAAGCCAGTCACGCAACCGAGCAGGTCTGTCCTCTTCCACCCTTGACGGCGACAGAAAGAGCGTCTCGATTCCTTTAGATCAATTGTTTTTAACCAGGAGGAATCGGAGGAGCCGATGTGATTTTCGTAATCGAGATGCGTTGGTTTGGATAGCCAGACTCGTTGCCCAGAAAAGCCTTCAAGACAGCTTGACACAGGGCCAGTTGCCCCGTTGCCAGGAAACAGAAGCAAATGACCAGTCCATCTTGTGCCGCAGCGGAGATAATTGCGTCCATGATTTCAGCGTCCCTGTAATAAAAACATATAGTGATTTGCACCGAGTGAGACCGAATACGCGTGATTCGCAAGACTGGCCACGGCTTCCACGCCCGCAACTGGAGAGGAGGGATCGTCGCGTAGTAAGCTGGCGCTCTGCACGCCCATGGTACCGACACTAGAGGAAGCGCACCAATGAAGACGAAATTCTTTCTTATGCCTCTTGTCTCCTGGAGAGTGGGCAGGTGATGGTAGAGAAGAGATAGATGGCTCTTCTCGGTGAGGAACACCCATGGCATCCTCAGCGCCGTTGATTCTGGGAAATACCTGCGTTATGAACCGGTATAGCGTGTTGCTTTGCAATAGAACATTTCTTCAGAAAGATCCCATAGTCTCGATTGAGAAACCTCCAGAAGAATGCAGTACAGGCAGCGACAAGATACAGTCCTGGGTGGAAAAGGGGAAATGGCATCCTTGGGACCAGTTTCAAAAGAATGCAGAGGCACATTTTTCCCAATTTCGATGACTCAACCTGCCATATGGAAACCACTCATGTTGTGATACTGCGAAATGAAAAGACCCTAGTCTCTCATCTTGCAGTCTGCCGGGTTCAAGGACACGGATTCGATCTCGATCAGAAGCTCCCCTGTACCAGGCTTGAGCGTAATCCGGGACTCGTAAACAAAAGGCAAACCATTTGTCAGACACACGGCAGCGTGATGCGTTGCCATTGAGTCTGTCTATTTCATGACAAGTAGAACTGTACATGAAAAGGTGAGGATGGTTGTCCAATGTTGATCAAACGGAGACAAGAAGGCTGCGAATTGAGCAGGGGGCCGTCCGATGAACTTAAAGAACTTACTTTCTCCCTGAAGGCTGTGATCTCGCTGAAATCTCAGCCTCCTATACCTATTCCGTCCATAGCCTGAGAAGAAATCGAGCTTGAGTTGTGATGTCAAGTCGACGATCTCGAGGTCCCCGGTACCATAAATAATATCAAGCCTCGTCAACTCAGTCAGGTAAGTCGAGAATCCACCACCAATCAGCGTGTCGTCCATGCGACAGTCGTTTAGCACGTGAAGGATATTTGGCATTCCATCGGCTTGGGGATCGATTAATGTCAATTGGGCGGAAGGTGGGTGACTGCATCATTGTTAACTTCATCGAGGGTCAGCTCAAAGTCTACTCAACGTGCAGCTGAAGGAATGGGTGTACTTGATGAAGGATTCTTAAGCGCTTACTAACTCCCCTCCAGACCAGCTCCTTGATTATTTGCGCCGTTGAACGTCCCTGCTTCTGCTTCTTCCACGTTCAATGAGTAGTTCTAGATGAGCATTCTTGGGGCACTCGCAATCGAGCTTGCTTGTTCTCCAGCTGCGTTTGTAATTTGGAGGTCATCAATCTGCAACGTAGTCATCAAGGCCGCAAATCAGAGAGCAGGTGACCTGGGGGCCGCAGCCAGATCGTCGACAGCGATCTAGACTTGGCTATTGAAACTGCAAGCTCCGAGATTTGAAGGTCAGTGCATCTTGGAGAAAGTTCAATTGACGCGCGGAAGTACCTACTAGATATTCAAAGCGCACGAGTCAGCTGACTTTTTGCCTCAGTGTGACGAGAACAAGCCACAGTGCGAAGGATGCGAAGCCTATGGAGTGAAATATGACCTTCCGGTCTATGGTCGCCGACTTCAAGCTTGCTACTAGACGATCAGGCCCTAGACATGAATTCCTGCTACAACTGGGGTTGTCCAAGACTCTCACAAGTTCTATGCAGATCTGTGATGCAGATACGTGTTAACAGTGGAACGAGACATGTCAAGACTTTGTGACGCAATGCTAGGCTCGCAGCTTGTCAAGCCCGGATGATGCAGTGATGGTGGAAATCAATTTCAGACTTTTAGGGCTCTCATTCCAGGAGGGTGTTGTTCTCGCCATGAGTCACTCTCTTACTCTTGCTCGTGCATCCTTTCCATTTCTCTCTCTCTCTCTCTCTCTCTCTCTCTCTCTCTCTCTCTCTCTCTCTCTCTCTCTCTCTCTCTCGTGGGCAGAACGAGAGGGCTGCAACAATCTCTAGACTTGCAAGGCCAACAATCTCTAGACTTGCAAGGCGAAGTTCTGGTGTCAACCAAGTTATACCATGTTCCTGAACGACGGTATCCCTATATGATGCATGCTACCCTGGCTGTGGTGCTGGCATACGACCGCTATTCAAACAGCAGCTCCGAATCTCGTCGCACCCTCCGCAGCAAAACTCTCTTCAACATGCAGCTTAGCAGGAGGACCATCCGCGCCCACAGAAAAGACACCATCTGGGGCACAGCCGCAGCCCCGGTGGTCCTGACCATTGCCACCCCAGAAGCTCGTGCCCCCGCGAAAACCTGGCCGTTGAGTCCTTGATCTAAGTTCTCGGGCCTGGACTGGGTCCAGATGAGTGAGGTAATGTCTCTCTGGAACATCGTGAACCCGCTTCGGCCGGACAGTATCTTTCACGCCATGACTCCAGCCCTGCAGCAGATTCCGTTGCCTCTTCCAAAAAGAAGCAATCAATGGCATATCACCAGATTTGGTGACCATATGCGTGCTTCAAGATTTGATCACTGTAAATGAAAGTCCATACTTGCATGCTGCTTCTGCGCTCTCCGTGATCATGAATTTTTTGGATCAGCAGCTTACCTATGGACAGATGCAACTGTTTATGTCGTTGTATTCATGGTCCGTTTCGGGATCTGCTTTGTGGGAACGGCCCGGCCGCACTACTGCTGCTCTATTTGTGGTTCGAGACGACGGCGCGAAGCGTCTGGTGGGTTGGATTAAGAGCAAGGATCGAGTGTCCCGCTAATCGTCTGTATCTGCGACAGAACCATCGTGCGAATGCTGCAGTGCAGGCGTATCTCGATTTAGAAATTGATTGGTCAGTCGTTATAGGACATCATAACGCGATACAGACAAGGAATCGAGGTGACACGTTAACGTCACAAAAGAATCTTGATGGAAGTTCCACTCAGCCTTGGTGGCTTTCTCCGGCGATGAAATGAATTTTGAACATCATTACTGCGTCCCCCTCATCAGGCTGATGATGGACGACCGAGATGGCCGGCTCTTTCAAAGGTCAAAGGCTCTAGGAGTAGAGCCTCTTCATGTATCTGAGCCCATTCGATACCACGCTAGAAGAGTTCCGAAGACAAGCATAATGCCAGCTTCTTTGCGAATCAAGATCACGAGTAAGGAAGGTGTATAATGAGTAGTGGGAGCTGGGCACTGGGCAGTGGGCACAGCCCTGCACTCTCACGAGAAGACTAAGCTCGAATCGACGTTCGTTCTCGTAACAAGGTGTCCATCAATCTCCGGTCACGGATGTGATCACCAGAGTTTTGATTGATGAGTAGGCACTGGGCACAGGGCAACAGGACGTCCATGAGACCTACTAGCGTTCGATTCACGATGTCGCTTGGACTCTCATCTGAGACACTGGGGAAGAGCGAGTGAGTGTCAAGATCTGGAGCTGGGTGGTGCTTGGGGCGTAAATGATCATCAATTGACGGATCACTTGGACTGTAGAAGAGGCCCGTGTCGATTGTAGAGAGGTGGGATTAGGAACCACCAAGGACCACCCGGGGGCCCTTGTGGGTTCAAAGCACAGCCTCAACCGGGAGAGGGGGGAGGATCAGGACATCAACTCAGGACGGACTGGAGGACACAAATTGTACAGACCCTAGAGGGTCAGAATGTCGATTTTCTAGTTGTTGCCGCAGTACCCGACCGGAGACAGCGAGTTGAAAGCTAAGAGGGTGACAAGACGGTCTATGTGTGAGTGTGAGTCAGAAGCGGTGGGATGTATGGGAAGAGTGATATCATCATTGTGGTGAGTTTTCATCTGTTGTTGAAGGTCACGTTCACGTTGGTAGTAGTAGTATCATGAATATTTAGTACTACCATCGTTCTTACTCTAGGAGGGAGGCTTAGACGGCCTCAAATCAGGAAACGATGCTCCACTGCAACGATCCATGGACTCATCAATTCGGAGCGGCGCGGCTGAGAGTCAAGAGTCAAGACCCGACCGATGGGGGGGACATGACCCCATCACCGACTATTCGGAGAATCAATCGACCTTCTGGTGCACAGACTCGGTGGCAGAGCCAAAAGGTGACTTTCTTACTAGCATTGACATGTGACGAGGTGGCCAAAGTACGAGAGTAGCCACGGTCGGTGAGAACGAAGAGGCGTGAAGATTCGTGCATTGAGTGCATCGGCCTCAATTGAATGTTACGGAGATGACGATGCAGACAGACAACTCGACTCGAACCAACAGTCGGACTACGACTGTCGAATCACCCCATTTTGATCTATTCTCGCAGTAGATGTACTCGAGAATGTAAGCCAGCAACGACGGGGGCTCCAAGAATCAGTCGGGCACCTTGATCAAGCTCGGGCAATGTGTGAGCGCATGTGGAAAGGTGCACCGATGACGATCCTCTCTCTAACGATGCCCGGAATAACGGGATTTGGCGAGTTGGGTGATAGTGAGCAGTGCGCAGTGAGCCCTGAGCCATGAAGACGGAAGACGGAAGACGGTGGAGAGCAACCTCACTGCACTGCTTACTGCTCAGTGCTCACACCGGGCAATAATAATACCTCTCGCTATGACAGCCGCACCGCCCTTGTATAGAGAGAGACCCGTAGGGCTGTCGCACGTGAAACAGCGGTCTTCTGTACATGCTTGGCTAATCCCTGGTGGAGAAGAGGAAGGGTAAAGAAGAAAATAGCGGGTCTAAGTTTGGCTTGGACTTGGGGAACGCTTCGACCAAGAGTCCAAGACCAGAATCCAAGCATTACCCGGATTTCTGGCAGTGGGGGCGGGCGCTTCGCTCGTCGAGGGCTCCATGGCGACTTGGCGATCCAAGACGGAAACCCAGATTCCAGTTTCCAATTGTGTTCAGGATCGATAAAGCCGAGATGAGAAACCACTCAGGAAGATTACGATGTCAGATAGTCGGCGTAGATCCACGTTGCATACCCAAACTCAACTTATGGGAGCACCGTCTTGCAAGGTACACGGGTACAGTACTACCTCACGTCATCTTCAATTTCGGTGTGGAAGCCGCTCGCTGCGAAGTTCATTGCACTTCCAAGTCCCTCACTCAAGAAAGCGTCCATCCGTCATAACATTCTTATCGACGATCTCCATTCCGTGATCGAATGAGTCAGAGCCAGACCGAATGACCGAGCTTTCAGTCGAGTCACAAATCAAACCCAACGCTTTATGTTCCCTGGTCGAATGCTGCATGGCCATGCAAAGGGATCCCCCGGGGACCCCGTTTGGTCGAGGTATGCGGCTCTGAATCCTGTGGCCAGGGAGGGACTCCATTTTGGGGCTCGAGACCGGGGTCCTGATAGGCTCTCCTTCTCAAGATGATGATGACTCGATTTGTCTTCTGCAGGGCGCAGTTGTCTGCTTGTCGAGGAGTTCCACTCATTGTTGGTTCGGGGTCCAAATGCATGCAATATAGATTGGAACACATCAAGAAATAGGTATAACGGGAAATCGCAAAAGCTGGAGGCAACCGGAGATAGAAGCGGGGAGACCTACGGAAAAGATCATGCACAAACCGTACTTGACGGAATCTGCGCCAATTTCCAATGGCGGCCATATTCCTCTCTGACCGTGAATAATGTATGCAAGGACTTAGGTACAAGGAAGCTCTTGTGACGGATGTTCTTGATCGGGAAAAGGGAGGGAATGGATACCATTGAATCACTCAACGAACGAAAAGTATAACCCCCGATGCACATCAGTGCCCGTGATCGCGTTCGTCAGGGCACAAGGCAGACTGTAAGTGGATGCCACGGACACTCTATTCTATTTCCGCGGTCCTTTCCAAATGAGGCCGCAGCTGAAGTTAAAGGGATCCATTGTTCCGCCCCCGATCACGAGCTGACTCAGGGCGTCCTAAACTTAGCCGGACGGGAGAGGTGGAAGTGGACTGGAGGTGGGGGTACCTGGATTGGTTGGCCGAGGACGGGTCGATATACGAGACCTACCAACACTGAACTGACCAGGTATACTCGAAAAAAAGCAAAAGAAGCAAATTGTGAAAAGAGAACAATTACATTTCTATTCTCAGTCTGCTCAAATTGAATCTAATCAGGCATAGTGTCTGGTATAGGAGCCGAACCCCCAAAATTGACCAACAGTCTGAAACACGTCCAGAGAAGATGCGAAAAACAATAGGAAAATCGCAGAAAACAACAACAATCGAAGCTACATGTTAGCTCAAAAACCATCCAGCGCGCTCACATGCTCATGCGACCCAATGAAGCGCACCCACGCTCAATGCCATCCATGTCCATCCTGCGTTCAATGCACCTCGCATAAGGATCTAAACAGACATAAAGACAAAAGACACAAAAAGATCCAAAAAAAAGAAGAAAAACACTCGCAGAACGCAGACCAATGCGAATGATAAAACGAGAAAGATCATAATCATGAAACATGAGGGGGGATGTAAAAGAGGAGATTCATCAAGGAAGAACTTATCGAAGGCATTGAAACTCGGTTTCTCAGGCTCGAATATGTAAAAGACGCAAGAAATTCGAGATGCATCGTCTTCGCCAGTTCCAGACAGCATTCGCGGTCCACGTACCGCCTACTTCACGTTCTGGCAGCTCGAGCATGCTTCATGGTTGCACATCACACACTTGGACTGGTGGTTGTAGACCTTGGGTCCATCACCACACATGCAGCAGATCCACATGTAGGTCTGCGAGTAGCATTGTACGACTCCCTTGAAGAGTGCGTTGGGGTCGATAGGTGTTCTCCGAGACAATGATGGGATGCTGGGAAGCTCCCCTAGACCGGTGCCAGCCATGACTCGGCGTGGAATGGCGTGTTGGGACTTGGCGTCGAGAACAGGAGTGCAGGGATATGCCGACATCTCCTGAGATAGGCCTGTGATATGGTTGGAGTGGCCGTCGGAGGAATTCTCACGAGGGCACCTGGAGCAGAGATCTTGATCACAGTTGGTGCACGAGTCGTGGTGGTCCAGGTTGATAGGGCCGAAGTTGCAGCCACAGCAGTACCACATGCTCGACATGATGTTGGTCCTCGAAGAAGAAGACAAGTAGGGCTCCAGTGGCATGAAAGTCCCCAGTGAACGGACTAAGAGGATCGGCAGAGTCGGTGGACGATGACTTGGGCCAATGGGTGTTGTAGTGGTCCGAAGTGCCAGGAGTCGAATGGTACCGGCAGGAATAGACAAATGGAAGAGTTTGGTCTCTCTTCGAATAAGTGATAGGTGACTAGATGATCGACGAAGTTCTTGAAAGTGGAGTGTTGGAAGTGTTGGTATTGTTGGCAATTGTTGGATGAAAAGATAGTTTCGAGTCTGGGGAGGTGCAATCTTTTAAGCTGAAAACCCACCAGATATAGACGCAATGACCAGAATGGTACATCCCAGGCATCATTGCGACAGTTCATTCCTCGCTATCTGCCTTGGGGAGACTCTAGGCGACACTGGTCGTCCTAATCGGGCGATGGTGGCCTGGGACAATCTGGGTCTTCCTCTTCAGGGCTTCGGGTGGGAGGAACCCGTCAGGAACTAAGTTGGTCCAACTGGATCAACACTAGACAATCTCCCGCATTCAAATGAGCTTCCCCGACGGATTTAACCCCCACTTGCACCTCGAAAGTAAGGAATATATTGTTCAAAATATGTTTTTTTTCCCCGATATTCTGAATTTCTTAATTGTTTCTACCAAAATTTCCTGCACACTGCTTTTGGGAGAGCCAACGGCGGACGGGATGATTGGCAAAACTATCATTTGAGTCACCAATGTCTGGTCTTTCATCTCTCAGGCGTCCTTTTGCCCAGGGCAATCTGCCCGGGGCGGTGGCTCTGCATGATCGAAGCCGACATTTGGACATGATCTGACGGGCGTATCGATTTCACCGACCCTGAAATCCGCCTGACAGCCTAACAGGAACAGCTTCGGCCTGGTTCATCCCAGAGGCCGAAGATGCCCTGGGCCAAGCCTTTGCGAACGGAGAGTCAGTTCCTCAGATGCATGATCGAATCAGATTCGACGGGTTTCAGCCCCAAATGAATGACTAATGCGATCGCTGGGCAAGCGCGGGTGAAAGTGCTTGGAGGCTGTATCGCGGCTGCGAGGGCATCTGTCTCGACTCTCCAGATGTATAGATCAAGCTTGTTTTGACAGGACGTTATGGTGTCAATCCGTCATTTGTTTTGTTTTGCTTTTTTTCTCTCTTTTTCTTGGTATTTGTCTTCTCCTAGTTCACCTTCCTTTTTCCTGTCCATCTGGGATCTTTAATTTCAACCTGGAAGAAGGTGACGCTTGATCCACGACTCTTGGCCGACTGCGGTAATACCCACTTGCGAATGGGGGCTGTTGATGTGCGGTCCACGGCCTGGACTGGATGAGTCGGGTATGCGATATCTCCGGGAGTATCATCTCACACCGTCTGTATCAGCCACCATCCCGGGAAAACAGTATGAGTCGTATCCCCCAAGCATCCCCCGACAGACGGTCTACTGTGGCGGTGACCTCAGGCATTTCCAGCTGACATTTCCACTCTCCTTGGAAACCCTACGGTGAATCATTCTCAGGTGCACTTCAGCTATGATGCAAAAGGATGCCTTGCCGGAAGTCCTCGAAACGTGCTGGAAATGGAAGGAGATGGTCATAATGCTCCACATCCACAGGCAGCGAGCGGCCCGTGATGACTCCTCATGGCTCAGGCCGGGAGTCATCGCTGGGTCACCTGAATCTAAGACCACTGTTGCCTACTTTGTAAGGTTTGGACTATCATCTATGACGGCGTTGAAGCGGCGTCATCTGCTGTCGCTGGGGACCAGGGCTCTTCGTCTCAAGTTCTTGCGCGCAGCGTGTTTGGATTCCAGATCCAAAGCATAACAGGCGGGAGAATTGTTCTCACCTTGCTGTTGCTGGCAGATCAAATTCCCTAGGCTGTGATTGACCCGGACGGGCTCTTGCCTTCCCCAAACTCCGTGAACATCCCCGATGACCAATCTTCAGTCCTCTGTATATTGGTCTGTCGTGGCGTTGGTTACATGCATAGGATCGTCAACCCAGATACGAGTGCCACAAGGTTCATTCGGCTTCAACGACTCATGTCGCGATCGGATGCTGCAGCGGGAAATGAACAGGGTTCATGAATCAGAGTCCGTTACCCAGGGACTCTTGATCCCAGCAGTACAGTCCGAGTCAAGCCCTGATGATTAATGTCTCCGAACATCGTGCAGTTGCTCTACCGTCCAGACGCGGGACTCCCATTTGTGATTTTTTGATTCTTGCGCTCATCTGAGCAGGTGTACCCCCAGGTATAAACACGGTCGGCGGAACTACTACTGTCGTATACCTCGTCGGGCGAACGATCCTCCTCTGGACAGTGGACTGCAGGTAACGATGACAAATGCCAAATGCCAGAGATCAAGAGGTCGATCACATTGGATCCTACCATTTCTAATCAGTAGAATATAACCTCGGGTTGACCATGAGGAATTCGTACAGGGCAACAGGGCAACATGGCAGTCTCCGCGTGATCCCGTCGGGCGAGCATGGACTCGGTGTACTCAGGCACTGAGGGTATCCGGTTTGTTTGTTTGGCAGTCCTGGAGGCGGGCGAGGGCCCGCAGCAGCTGTCGTGGTGGACCCAGCGGAAGCCGTTTTTCCCTTCCGCAAGGTTTCCAAGGCTGGCATCCTGACCTCATCGTTCATGTGCCGAATGTTCGGTCTCTTCACTCACCAGCTGATCCCCGAGTCCACGGTCGCAGGCTATCGCGTTGCCTAGATATCACCCCTATTTTTACGACCGTGCCTCAATGTATTGCTACAGTCGTCAGACTGATTGACTCTCCCCTCGATGGCGACCGCCGCGCAAAAACGTGTCAACCTAGTGGTGTCACGGATCATCCCGCCCGTGCTCCTGGGAGCGGTCGTCTACGCTACTTACGCCCTTACGAAGACACTATGTAGTAAGTGCAGCCTGCGCATGGCATTCTCAATGCCTTCGAGGGTTGGCTTCGAGAAGTCCATGATGCTGACGAGTCCTGGCGACGTCAAACAACAGTTGACTACCTCATTCATCCGAAACCTTCCTATCATCAAAGTCCGCGGGTCGGCGCTGGCGCCGTCATTCTCGTCCTCTATTACCTTCTTTTAATAATGATGGTCTCGACATACACCAGACTATTCTATAATGTTCTCATTCGTCCCGGGTACTTGCCCCTTGGTGCTGAGCGCGTACGGGCCGATGCGGAATCCGAACACAGGCACGAGAAGTCAAAAGCAGACGTAGCGGCGGACGAGCAGCATCGCACCGGGCTCAATGCGCCGGACGTCGACATCGAGCAGGGGATACATGACCACGCGGGAGGGAAAGCATTCAAACTGGACCCTTCCGGCCTCGAAGCCTTCTATACGAAAGATGTATTCGTGTGTCAAGAAGATGGTCGGCCCGCGTATTGCTCTACGTGCTGTCAGTTCAAGACTGACCGGGCGCACCACTGTCGAGAAGTCGACCGATGCGTGCGCAAGATGGATCATTTTTGTCCATGGTAAGTCCCAGCCGTAATTACTGGCAATCCTCAAGGTTGGACCAACGCAGTGTTGCTTACAATGTGACAGGGTGGGAGGTGTTGTGTCTGAGACCTCCTACAAATTCTTCATACAATTCGTCATGTATGCTGCTGTCTATTGCGTCTTTTGTATGATTGTCTTTGCATACTTCGTCGCCGAGATTCGTCGCAAGGTAAGTGGATAGTTGGGATGACATGCGCGCGAGGTTGTTTTACTGACATTCATCCAGACTGGTGGCGTCAATCCTCATTGGGCGGTCGCTATTGGACTGTAAGACCCCTCTCACACACACTCTCTCCGGTATGCTGACTTTGGACTGCAGAAGCGGCCTGTTCTTCTTTTTTTCGGGCGGAATGTCACTCAGTTCCGCGCAACTGGCCATGTGGAACGTGACGACTATTGAGAATATCAACCGCAACTCTGCCGTCTGGACCCTGGCCATCCGTGTCCCTGATCATCTTCTGGAACAGCTTTGGTCAACCGAGTCCTCCTGGGCCCCGACCTTCCGTACAATATCCTACCCTCTCCAACCGCCTACTTCGCCTTCTGAACCCCACACCATCGACCTTTCTTCCGAGAAGCGTCATGTCTTTGCCATCCTACATACGCAGCCGGGCGAGAATCCGTATGACCTCGGCAGCAGTCTCAAGAATCTGCAACAAATTATGGGGTATAGCCCGATCGACTGGCTTCTCCCACTGAGGCACAGTCCCTGTGCAGATCATTCTAGCTCAGAGAGCGCATTTGCCCTGGGCCCAGTGGTCACTCGTTTGAAACAAGAAGCCGGGTTGATCCCGGCCCCGGCTCTGTGAAAAATAGCTAGATTTCGTGTCTCTCGGCCCCCAACTGTATATATTGATGCCAAGCCTATCCCACTGCATAAAGCATGGGCCTTAATTAGAACTGTTACCAGAAATAGCACAGCTATCATGCAACGTTCGGTGCCGCTTATTTTTATTTCTTTCTAAATAGTCTCCCCCTCTTTTGTCTGGAAAACCCTCCACTTACACCTGTACCTGCACCTGCATGTCAAGAGATCTGTAAGCAATCCACGGTCAAAACCCTTTCCCCCCCCTCCGGCCCGACCTTTCCTTTCCCGAGTCATGGAGTTGGACATCTGAGCGATGAAACTCCATTTCAAAAATAGATTCCACTTCCCAGTACCATGAATTCTGTACCCACCAGCCACAGGCAAATGGACGACAAAAGCTTCGCGAGGAAGAAGTCATTTTTGCGGCCCCGAACACTTGTTATGTCTTGATGTGGAGTACGGCCAGATAAATGCTGATGTGGTTGCAGAACCGGTTGGAATGTTGATGGCATCGGAAGGGTTGGACAACGGTTCGAGGTTCGAGCTGAGTAGACCATTCCTACCACTTGACCATGGATTTTTGATCTACAGTAGCCAAAAGAGTAACTTGGAAAGAATTGCTTCATGGGGTGCTTAAAGACCTGGAGGTTGATGGTTGCCCGTTTTGAGTGAGAATGGCAACAACCGATAATTGGGATGTCTTCAGACCTATTGAGTATGATCTAGGCCTGCTGATCAAAACATGATCACCTTCTAGCGCCGGGAATGGAAGATGGTGCCCAGGCCGTGACGAAAAAGTATATAACGGGAAGAGAAGAAGGATTTTGCTCAAGACAACTTTGATGGACCTATTCACAGACGTTGAGCTCATATACAAGCGGGGCTGGAAGAGGATAATCCTCATCGAAATCGATAGTGAAGCGCGTATCTTCAGAACAGGTAGGTATGTGCTTGAGACGGGTCCCAAAATCTGGATAGTCTCCCTTGATTCAACGAGGCATTCTAATATACATTCACGCCTCACAGCACTTTCTACAGCTAAATTTTAAAGCGGTTCTACTCCATGTCCTCTGGCCTGCCTGGCAAAGAGCAGTCAAGAACGTGATTCATACTAAGACTGAACTTCCAGATGACTTACATTTCGCTCAGGATGACGGGAGCCACTGAACTATTTGTTCTATGTTGGCATAGGATCTCCAAAGTCCACTGATGAAAGACAAAGCAATCCTTTTATCGAAAGGTATGGTGATGGAAGCCAGAAGCCCCAGTCCGTGAGTACAAATGTTCAGGAACCATATGACCATTGACCATATCTACCTATGCGCGTGTCGAAGTTACACTGGAAAAGTCTGGTGTATCCTTAAATCAGTATCTTCTTTCGTTCAAATCAAATTACCTGCACTCTACCCAGTAAGGTACGGATGCCACTTTAATGAGTACTAATTAATTAGGCGTTGGCTTACAAACTCCAAGGAGCACATTTCTTTCTTAGGTGACAGCTACTTCACTGACCTTTCTCCAATCCTTTCTACTTTCACATTTCCCGCAATTACCCCCTGATACGGATGTTGGGGATCTGAGTCTGGTCAGTCTACGGCCCTAGGATAGAGGTTCTTGCTGAAAAATTCTGCGGAAGTCTACTTGGAACCCACAACGCTGAAGAAGTCCTCCAGTTCCCCCCAAGTTGCAATTCAATCAGTTTCAAGGGACCGTTTTAGGGTCATGTTTGGTGCTATCCTGCTTGACAGATCGCTTCAGATGGTGGGCCCCTAGCCTTGAGAACGGTCAAAATGTGACACAGACTGACATGACCCACAGACTCTCCCCTATCAATCTCAAGTCTGGCGATGAGCACCGCAGGCTTTGGTAGCAAAGTGACGATCAGTTTCGAGTCCCGATTCTAGCTTACCGAGGATTATCGGGGAAACCAGTTTCCAGAGAATCCTCATTGGGAATCTGCGCACGCAATCCGGATCAATCAGACTGAATCCACTCAATTGATCTTGAGGAGAGTTGTCGAAGGATGTCGGGTAGGGTTCGATATACTGTACACGTACAGTGTACCTGCCACTACCTGACACTGTGGCGTGTCCTGTGATGGACTCGATTTAGTACAGTAATCCACGGTATATTATCGACCGAGCGAATGATGCGTGTACAGCTTTCCAAATTGTGTTACAATTCGGTGGATCAGTGCCCTGATACTCCACAGTCCATTCTGCCCAGGGCCTCAGGGCTCATCCATAAGCAGAGCCATACAGAAAATAGTGGAACTGGAATGTCGTGGCAGTGGATCAACGAATTTGTAGACTGCCCCGCCATACGAAGAAGTTCTTTGTGCGGTAACTACCACACCGTGTCTGTGTGACTGTTGATTGTGTACGGATAGACATTCTAAGCACCTACATGGCTGGCTGTGACGATCAAGCTGTAGTTTTAAATAGTTGGCTGGACTAGTCACAGGAGTGACTAGCTCAAAATTGTCTCTTCAGAGCAAAGATCAATCATTAATCTCGTGTGCGGGGTCGATAAGAAAGGTCAGGTGATCGTGCATTATGGGCCTTTTCTGTCATGGGCATTTGATTACAAAAGAGCTTCTCTTACTATCCGGTCTCATTAGGAAATGCCCTAACAAGTTTCAGTGGGCTCTGACTGGGGATTCGGAACTTGATTTGTTGCGAGTCACAATTTCATCTCCGATCCCTTCAGCCGATTTCACAAAGAATGATGATTGAACAAATCATTTGAGCACCGGACGCCCAATCTTTGCCACAGCCTTGTCATGCAGGCAATAAGAACTCTCCAAGGTTGGAGACACACAACAGGAAAATCCTCTCATGGAACACATCTACTTCAGTGACCCACTTTCCGCCAGTTCTTTGTTACTGTATGTGCATCGCATGAATGGACTGTTCATGCAATGCGAGGCGACTTCGTATTCTGTCTAAATTTCAAACAGCCTCATGAGGGATCTCCAATAACCCCTTCGGTGGATCCTTTCTCGCCCACCTGCAGGACTGCCCGCCACGCCCGAGAGCCGCAGCTGACCGCCTGGAGAAAGCCACGGTTGACGACAAAGCCACAGTGCGAAGGAGTGCTTCAGCAACCATGAGCAACCCCCTTCGGCCAGCCGGACGTGGTCGATTATAGACTTCTCCGTCTTTGGCAAGGGCTCTCCCCTCAGATATGACGGCTCCAGACTCGAAGTGTGTGCCCAACGAACTCAAACAGTGGACTCGGTGACAGGAACTGGCATTCCACAGTCGGAACTCAAGACTGCGGGCCGTGGTTTCAGCTGCGGCTCCAGACGTTCCAGAGAATTTGTGTCCCTGGGTCGTGTGTCCGTGAAATATCCACATGGTGGCATGAAAGACAATAGTCTCGACCCAAAGATCCTCCCGTCCAGATTTCCTGCATGCTTCGCGTACACATGCATGATCTGGCAGCAGGGAGCATCGGCCGTTAGGCAGCCCAAGCTGTGCAACCGGAGTCAGGCTTCGAACATTGGAAAAGATTCGGTAAGGATCAACCTTTATCTGAAGAAAGCTACTGGCCAGCCACAGTGGACATCGGCAGAACTCTCCTTTTTGCTTTTCCAAACGAGACTAGAGCTCTGAACGAGTTGTGTGCAGCGAGAAGGGAACAGGCATGCACCCTAGTGGCAATCCTTTTTCGGCTCGGATCGCTGGCCAGGAGTCAATGCCTGACAAGCACGCCAGACTCGACCGAGTTAGCAGGTCGAGGGAAATTTGCACGGTACCTTTGTGTAATTTCACATTTGCGGGAAGTCTGAAGTCTGGAATTTCGTAAACAGGTCTCAACAATGTCTCACGTAGATTCCTCGGCTTTCGAGTATCAGAGTCCCACTCGGTGGTCGGATTAGTCAATTCGAGCGTCGAAATTGTCCCCAACCATTGGGTACTGGAGTGGTTTAAGGTACATGGTACCTGACTCGGCTAGAGAGTCACGCTGTGAAAACGTGTACCTGTCCATCTCTCATCGACGGTCTCTCTCGCAGCCGGCACAACCGCATGGAGTCCACATGTGCGTCATCCCGCAATCAAACCCACCGGACCCAACGGTCTTTCTTTTGCTCGCTTTTTCTGCAACCCTCGTTGCACCTTCTCTGCGAGATTACTTATTCCAGCGTCCGCCTTTCCTTCACTCTGTGTGTTCGTGGACGAACAGAGTGGTGACCATCGCAGGGTGAAGCACAGCACCAAACATCCACCTGCTGCAGAACTCGACGACAACCGGGCCCTTCAGAGTCCTGTTACAAGTCCATCCACCTCTTCTTTACTCACGTTCTCTTACACCCTCGTTGAAATCACCGAGCGCTGCCCTTCCAGTTCTCTCGGACCAGGACTTGTAGTCCACAGACTCCTGATACATTGCGGAGGGCTTTCACTCTGCGGTCATTTCTGGCCCTGGTGGGTTCATCTTTCCCCTCCCCCCTGATTGCTCGACAACTGCCGTCATGGGGATCATGTCTGACGCGTAAACCGGACCGAGTTTCAGCGCGCGCACACGTACATATCCACACGGTTCTTTCCTCTACTTGCCCTCTGAAGCGCGCATTCCAATATTCGTACTCGGCTATTCAAGTCGACTTTCATCGCCCCACGAATCTGTGTGATCGGTGTAGTGTACATTTGTCGGTGGCTAAGGTCTCATCTTATACAGCCTTTGGGAGTGCACAACCAGACACTATGGGATTCTCAAGCCATCTTCGAGCTCTTTCGCCAACAACTGGTCGCCACTACCATAATGGTGCGCGGGCTTCCACCGGCATGGTTCACCTCAATTCGGGTTACGATTCGTATGACGGGGGTCGAGGTCGTCACGACCATGAAGACTATTACTACCCATCGGATACCGGTTATAGACACGAGCCACGCCATCGGTCGGCGATCGATGTACAGCCGGTGTCATCGCACAAATTCACCGATTCAGGTCACTCCGCCAAGAAGCGCACCGAGTATGCCATACAACCCCGTACTCGGCACAGAAGCCACACTGCCTCTGGGACGGACCTTTATCATACCCCCCTTCGACTCACGGTCCCGTCGTCCTCGTCAACTCACGTGCGTTCAGGCGATTATTCAACTCGCAGTCACCGCTCACTGAGTCCTCTTCCACCCGCTGCGGATACCCATGGTCATGGAAAGTCCGTTCATTTATCTTCCCACCATGGCAAGGGACATCGACGGGTGTTCAGTACCGACTATGGTAGCGATACCACTGCTTTGGCCAGAAAGGATCACGACAGACATCATCCCGGTATTTACCACCCAAGTCACCATGCGTCGTCACCCTCTACCAGACGGCACCGGCACGCTCATCCGGGAAGCTTGAGTAAGAGCTATAACATTGATGAGGACAATGCATACTCGTACACGGGCCCTGGCGAAGAAGCCCGGCGGGACTTGTCTGGTGACTATGCTATCGTCCGGAAAAGTCGTCGACGCGGTCGAATGTCTCTGGACCGACCAATGAGTGTGAACCTCGACGACGGACACCACCAATGGCAGATGCGCGGCAAGGAGCATCGCGTTCGGGGTCCACCCCCTACTTCAAGGGGGTTGGACAGGATCGATCGTGAACGCCGTCCCCGAAGCTCCAGTCGGGGACCTCATGGAGGTCGCGATGGTTCGAAGACTAGGCCGTACCCAGGACACGAGCAAGCTCTGATGGTTCTGCCTCACGAATCCGACGAGGATTACTACAGCGACGTTCATCGACGGTCCAGGCGCCATAGATCTCATCGACCGACGGAGGGCAATCTTTCTCGATCCCACTATGAAGGGAGTGATAGAGCTTTAGCTCTCGCTGCGGGGTCTCTCGGAACGGCTGCTCTCAGTGGTGGCTACTCTGATAACTCAGACCGCGAGCCGCGTCATCGGAGTCGGCGACACCATCGTCGTCCGGAGACCCAGCACGACGATGACTCCCCTCGCACTTCTGCGAGAGACCTCGGTGACGGAGATCCATCGATTTCAGAACGCCACAGGCAAATGTACCTCGAGCCACTAAACGACAATGGCATGCATCGCAGGCGAAGACATTCACAGCGGCGAGGCCACCGCCGTTCAGAAAGTGACCTTGATGTCGACACGGACGACGAGGACCTTCACAAGTACCGACGAGAACCCGTTGCGAGACCACATCGAAGCCGACACAGCAGTGAGGACACAAGCAATGATGAGAGTACTCCAGCCACGCGTGCCCCTCGAGAGCGATCTTTTCACCGTTCTCGTTCGCGCCAAGCTCGTGACGACCGACGGGCTGGGAACTCACACAGTCCGCTCTCTTCAGACTCCCGGGAGAATGCGCAAAAGACACTTACGGTAGAACCTCCTGCCAGCAAAGAGCCAGAGCCAGCGCCTGTCAAGGGAATTCTCAAGCCGCCCAAGAAAGCGTTCCCAGAAGAGCCGAACCCAATTCGGGAAGGTGTCGCTCCATTGAAGGACGCGAACAAAAACGGAATTCCACCAACCGCACGTTGGACCAAAATTGACCGGCGACTGGTCAACCCTGCAGCTCTAGAGGCCGGAAACGAGAGATTTGAAGAGCGGCCAGAGTTCGTCATTGTGTTGCGAGTCTTGACCAAGGAGGAGATTCAGGCCTATGCCGTTAAGACTCAGGAGATTCGAGGTCAGTTGGCGCGCCACACTCTTGAAGTTCCAACTGACTCACATGGAAATTTAGATGCCCGTCGTGAACAGCACGAACATGAAAGGCGCCAGCGCCACCAAAATGACAGTCCTTCCACCGACGAGGAAGATGAAAACTCAGACGAACCGCGGAGAATCGAAGCTGCTCCAGCTCATGCGACTCCTCCTAGCGCGAATTCATCTATGCCTCTGCGCTCGCGGCCCGCAAGCCATTCTCCTCCACTCCCTGGGCGCCCAACTGCTAGCCAAGTGGAACAACTCCTGTCTGTATAAACTCAATCCCAATGATGGGGTAGGGCACCGGATCGATGTGAGCTGGGCAGATCACCACGCACAGGATTCTCGTGGGTCTGCCACGAATCGGTGACTGAAAGACCTCAGGAAGCAAAACACTTGTTTGGGCATCACATCAGATCCTATCGGAGTTCTTACACTGTGTTTTTTTATATTCTCATCATTGCCCCGACATGGCTGCAAAGCGCCCTTCTTTGACAATGCATTTGGACTGGCTGGCCATCCATCTTATTGCCCTGCGGATGTATATCACTACCACCTTTTCCATCATTGCCTCGAACATACTTGACCCGATCCCGTCAAACAATTACAGTGTCAAATGTAACCATGTGATTTTATTTCCGAGTCAATAAGGTTCAAATATTGATCATATATTCTGCTCTCACGTAGATTTCTCAGCATCCTGGCTTGTACGGATCCCAAATTGTGCAGTAGACTTTTACCAGCTCCCATACATTTTCGAACAGATAGTATGACCTAACGTCAACGGCGTGATGGATTTCAGTTGATATTGCTCATCGATCACCACCGTCGTTGGGGTCTGACCCGCGACTCTCAATTTTGCATTCTTTCTTCTGAATTCCTCGAATTTTCGCAGCGTCCGAAGCGGTCGGCACCGGGGGGGGGGGGGGGGGGGGTTTCTGGTGAAGAGAAAAGCCTGATGATGAATGCAGCCCAGCTACACAACGGAGGCAGTCAAATGAGTTACCATTCCTAGAGTGAGTAGAGAATGAATGCAACCGGCAAGTCACGCACTGAACCAGCTGAGCTTCACCTACGGCACTTGATAGAAAGACCGCGAGCTGTTGTAAGTGGATTTTGGATCATAGGCAGCATATGATGGCATGTGACAGCTGGAGGTCTGCCAGTCCATGAGAAAGGTGGAGTTAGGTTTCTCATCCATAACAATCTTAGCATGCCTTTCTCCCAAGGCTGGTTTGGTCGGCTATTGTTGTGATACATACTCTTCCCTTAATCACAGGAAAAGAGAAGAGAAAGAGATGGCAATTGAGTTGTGATAGGCGAGAATTGTGGTTTCGGCTAAACGGTTGCTAACGACATGCAGTCACTTCTATATCCCACGAGGATGTGCTATTTCACGGGCAGACACTTTTATCTATGCTGCGAGCAATACTTGGTCTGGCGTGATTGTAGTATGTCAAATTGTCTAGCAATCGCCAAGGTAGTATTTATTGAAGTATGGGCGATATCAAGGCCCAGTACTTGCTCCAACCGGTTTGGTCCAGTACAATTAGCCTGTAGTGAAACCTACCTAATTCAGGCTCCATGATCATTGATAGCTAAAACTCTCTAATTCATGCACATCCCTTGTCGATCGAATGGTGGAAATCAAGCACCTGCACGAATTCAACCTCCCAAGCACATCCGGCAACATGCGACTCAAACCGACATCCGGCGCCTCAAACATACAGGCTCGTTGCATTAGTCAACGCTTGTTGATCAAGACGTCGGTCGAATTACCTATCTGGTGAGTAATTTTCCCTTTGCAAGATTCACACTATCACAAATTGAGATATAGCTTCATCGAGCCCACACCCCTTCCACCCGCTCAAATCAAGGCGCCGGCCCCCGCGTTACAACGGCACGAGTCATGTCCTCCAGTCACCATGGCAGCTCTCGTATCCAGTTCCTCCACCCTCCACGGAGACATGGCCCAATCAATCGCAGGATAAAACCAACTCACTGGAGTATTGTTACCCATCATCCGGTGAAGTGAGTGAAGTGAGTGAAGTGAGTGAAGTGAGTGAAGTGAGTGAAGTGAGTGAAGTGAGTGAAGTGAGTGAAGTGAGTGAAGTGAGTGAAGTGAGTGAAGTGAGTGAAGTGAGTGAAGTTTGTCTGACGATCTAGAGAGCACGACATTCTTACTCGTCGTCTCGACTGCACCAGCCTAGAAGAAGGCCAGTATCGTGGACGATTTCATCTTGCAGGACATTCTGCGTTGGTCCATTTCCCAGGGCTTCCTTCTTGTCGAAAAGTCGATCGTTCTCATTTGGGAACCAACAAAGCCACGCAAAGGAAAAAAAAAAAGAGAAGTTTGCCTTGATGGAGTCGGTCCTCGTCCCATATCCTGCAGTCTTAGGTAAATGCATCAAGCAGGGCCCAGACGCAAAGTAATTGTCCATGGTAGGCCTGGAGTATTCAAAATTTCCATGGACACTCGCACTCGCACTCGCTCTGGCTCGTCCTGGACAAGGCTCCGCTAGATACCAGTGCTCCTCCAATGATTTCGCATGGTCTTTTTGTTTTCTCCGTGCACGGTGGCTTCAAGCCCCGGTGGAGTGTGCTCCTGGGGGCACATGTTCGCCTTTAGTTTGGCACCGGCATTGACGACGAAATTCGGACTGAATATAGCTCACGCCGATATTGACAATATTGGGAAATCGATCGCTGTGGATCTGACTCGAGCTCGAACTCTCCGAGGCGAATACTCATTCAGTGACTGGTAAGTGATGGCGAGGGAGATTTTGTTTCGTCTTTGTATCTCGACAGGAATACGTACTAACTTACATAGTAAATACATGCTACCGCGGTTCAACCACCGAGTGATTGAACAGGCGAGACTTACGATCGATAGGGACAGCAATCTAATCACTCTAATGATGCTGCTCGGGCTTCTATTCCAGATTGGATGAAGCGGGCTATTCAAGTTTTCTTCTGGCCTTCTCTCTCTCTCTCTCTCTCTCTCTCTCTGGCACATGAATCTTGCCTCTTGAATCGCTGACATGAGTGTCAGTCCCATAACTTAATATATGAAGTTAGGGACAATGACCCGCTATTGGAATGCCCGCCGAGGAAATGTTTGCTTTTGTAAAGTTCTTCGCTTCGGTCCAGGTTGTCATTCCAACGTAAAGCAGTCTGGAAGAGACCTGTTCATCAACCCAAATCCAGATGATCGGGAGTGAGTCAACTGGAGCACATTGTCGATAATAGACTCGAGGTAGATACGTAGAGTTATCTTCTATTGAGTCCGACAATAGCTATAGATCACGCAAAACAGGTTTATCTCCTGCACTTTGGACCGTAACATATATGTCGGAAAGAAGTGATGAGACAAGCTAGCACCAACAGACATTTCAGTAAGGTCATTTTTGGCAATGGGTGATTGACAAACGCTAAATAACCCAGATTGCCTTGAATAGTGGACTACCACAGAGTTTTTGGGTGGTTTCAGATCTGCGATCGGTGTTCATTTCGTAGCGGACCCGGAACACAAACTTCAAGTCCCTCCATGCACAGAGCTTAGTAGTGCAGTAGTACCGCCCTAACTCGGTGGTAACCCAGTCGTCGACCGAATCGTGCAATCGTTGGGTACATGGGCCCTTGGAAGACAGCCGAGATCCATCTTGTCCAGAACCATGCTGAACAACAAGGCTGTCATTATCCCCCGCGATCTGGTCACCGGCAAGCTAGAGTAATCATGCCCGGTAGGGATCGACGATGAGCTTGACTCCTTTGATGAGCATCATTAGCGGGCATATCATCGAGAGACATGCAGGTCCTGGAAACCCCACGTCGGTTAAGCACGAAACCACAAATTCTGGACGTACACGAGTCAGTCTTATGGCTTGCGACTGATGGAATCCCACTACTATAGGTGCCATAGCTTTGGTAGACAACAGAACTCAGAGTACTCAGTGGACTTGCAGTAGTAGCCATCTGAAACGAGCGATTTTTCCGCACGCCCACGCGACACGCCACTGCGTGGGCACTTCGACATCATGCATCGCCCATTACCGCCCCGTTGCAGGTCGATGCGTCACAAAACTACTTGGGCTTTTTTTTTGTTTTCTTTTTTGGAGACGAGGGTCAAGCCGGCCTTGACTCGAGTCCTCGAGCGGGAAGAATGCATGAACAAAGTATCGGTGTGAGGGAAATCACGGCCGAGTCAACAAGGTGGTGCGATAGATTTGCGGTCAGAGATGGATGGATTTTACGCGACGCGATGGCTGGCGGCTGCAGCGAGCAACGTCAACAAGGGGTCTAGTCTTTCAAGTCGTTCTGTTCTCCTTTGGGTTGCAGATGTATTCTGCTAGAACTTGGTTACTAGTACTACTGCGTCAGGTTCTGGTTCCTAGATAGTCCGGCTCTTTATTAGAGAGGCATACTACCGACTACCGAGTCGGAACTTTGAAGTATGTGATTAGGTGAGGCCCATCAATGACAATTATCTGCAATCTGAGACTTTACTGACCAAAATCTAGATGACTGGGTAGGTAGTAGGTAGTAGGTAGTAGGTAGTAGATAGTAAGTTAGGTACTGTAGGAACCTAGTTACTCGTACTCCGACTGCGAGTGACTTGAACAGATAGTGTCTGGTAGACACCATGAAAGGACCTCTAAGGCTCTAAACTAGTGACACAGTAGTACTGTTTGCAATGAGCGGACCTCTTCCAGGAAGCACCGACTATTTAGCCACTCCTAGTTTCTACTCGTCATGCACAGTCAGAGGCAACCAGTAGCACAGAATGACTAAACCCATTGTAGAAATTGTAGATAGTGGAGGTGCCGGAGTACTAAACTCGCCCAGCCACGGCACGGTCGCCCGCTCCGAAGGGATCGACTCAGGGTTCTTGACGGCCAAAACCAGCATTCGACGCCTTGAGAAGATCACTGTTTCAGTGCTCAGAGCCTTGACTTGTGTATACTTCAAGTACTCACAGAGCCATCTATCCATCTGCATGTTTTCCACTGAATCTTTCAATTCAATGAGAAGATGGTCAAGGGCAAGGTAGACTTGGCGGACGGTCGACGGAATGAAGCATGGAGAATAATCGGACCTGCGACTACGGCTGGCACATTGTTTGTGATTAGTAGTATTCCGTAGTATTACTGGATTCAAAAAGTAGCCAACTCGCTCTGAGTCTGATGCATGTACAGTCAGCCATGCGGTCCCACGGACCAAAGTTAAAGCCGAGTAGGCAAGCGTCTAGACATGACCGATCGGTCCTTTGTTGACGCCGGAATTAGGCAAGTTTGCTTAGCGTCGGAGTAGCCGAGTCTTGAAAAGCCATGTAACCTCCAGCCCAGGTGGATTACGCGAGTCCTGCCGTCGACTCGGACAGGGAAATGGAGGAAGAGGCTTTGAGACTTGAGTGAGAGTGATGAGGCGCGGTGGAGCTGTTCGGTGGTGTTTCTTCTTTGTCTGCTCTGTGGTCCCATGAAACAAATGCGAAGATGATTGGAGTATCTTTTCTCCGCTTAGGATTGTGGATCCGGTTCAGAGTTCACGATGCAGCACCTAGTGCCACCTAGTGCTGCCGGTTGCGATGTTTGGTTTCAAGTCCAAGGTCGCTCGACATGGTACAGAAGTATATGATCGATTTGTACTACGAAACGAGTCAGCTGTAGGTCTATACGCTACACCATCACTGTAGGAGTATAGTCAACTTTGAGCGGAGCCCTAGTTCCTTCTTCTCGTACAGTAGTAGGTAGTTGCTCCTACTCCTAGCCATGTTGTAGTTGTTCCGGAACACCTCTCACCACGGAGCTTGAAAAGACGGCCCCACCATCCGGGCCCCAGAGGTGGAGGGAACGGGTGATGGAGATGGGGCGATGTTGTGGTGACAAAAGAGGAGATGGATCATGGATGACTACGCCAAGCCACAAGCTCCAGTTTAGGGAAACAGATTCTTCCGCAGCGCCTCCTCGGGAGGTGAGCAAAATCCCGTCGTGCGCTCCCAGTTGACAGTCGCACGATCCGACCGGAGTGATGGACAGACTAAAGTAGTACGTGAGCTTGCCAGCCTTGGCGGCGTTGGGATACGGCTACGGTAGGGGCAGCAGTATCGATGTGTGAGAGGGATGAGGAGTGAGATTGCTGACGGGGAGAGATTCTACCTAAGCTATGGACTGCGGTGAGGCGGCAGTATCACATGTCATACAAACAGGCGGTAAATCAAATCAAGATACAGATCCAATTGAAAGGCATAGAGTATATCTGATATCTTCCATGTACACACGCATGGAATCCAGGGCCGTATGCTTGGACAGTTTCAGTATGAGCGAAGTTGAGGTTGAGTCGGGTACGGTGGCTGATAGAGTGTACACTCGGACAGTGGAAGTCGCTGGTGAAATCTGGAAATTGTTCTGGGTGAGATTTAACCTACGCAGTAATCAGCAGGTACCCAGGGTACCGTAGAATCACATGTCACAGGCGATACAAATAATGGGCAGATACTACCCATTCGTAAGAGAAACGTGGTCAAGAAAAAGAGTGTTCTCGTAGATTTTCAGTGCAGGTCCGCAGGATAAAAGACGCCAGGAGAGAGAAGACAAGACCTTGTTCGGGAGAAAACATAGCAAAGGGACGCACTACGAGTACGCACTACGCAATAGATTCCCCAAATTGCCATAGCTCGGCACTAATGAGCTCTGCTGGAAAACGTCCCCCAGGACTTGGTTAGCCAGACCTAATCGGCAAATGTGGACATTTGGAAAAACAACTTCTGCTGTCTGTAGACCTAGTGCTTATACTGTCTCGGGTGAGACATGGTCGCTCTGCTTCCCCCAATTATCCCATGTCCAGGGCAAAGCTATCGAAACCCGTTGGCGCCTCGCCCCGGGGCACATCCGCCCATACTAGACAGGGGCCACGATGCTTCCCGTGCGGGCGAGTACTGTGTAGGTCAGGGGTAAACAACTTTATTTTCAGGTGCGCACAGGATGATGATTTCACGACTTCTTCCTTTCTGATGCAGAAAGAGGTATCCGCGGGCCAGGTTTCCCGCGATTCTGGTATGACCTGATGGTCCGGACGTTCAGTAAACACAAGATCGGAGACCAAGGAAGATATGATGGCAACACCCCCGCCTTCGTCAGACATAAACTATACGAAACATGATCAAATACATACCATGGTAGTACATAAGTATAAATGGTACAGACATGAATGT